ATTAACTTATTTATATATTTGAGGTGAGAAAATAGTGTAAATATATTTACGCTTCCTTCATAGCATTTTCCCATCTCGAAACATCCTTACATGTTCCGTCTCATGATATTAGATGCTAATTTATAACCTGCGGCCATAGGTACATCCATAAATTTTCCCTGCGTGATATGGAAGTGTTTTTGAATTCCTAAGATTATCGTAAAACGAGGCTTCCAGGAAGGACGCGAGGTTTTAATAGCTGGGCGTCGATGGGCGTCCATCCTTGAAATATTATAACTCAAGGTGACTGACGTACGAGACACGTCTTCAGCTTTAATAGTCTCATGGTGCGAAGCATCGTGTTGAAGAAATTGGTTGTACTCACTTTTATGACACATAATTTTAGTTTAGTCTATGGTACCCGCAAATATTCTAACATGCCCACGCTATGAGGACTTTCTCAAGCTATACTTTCCCGCTGAACGACATCATCAAGCTAACTTCGATAAATTTCGTTATTTATTCACGATATTAATAAAAATACATTTAAACTTTTTAATATTAGGTAATTGGCAACCCTGTAGGTAGGACTAGTTATGGCGGAAAAGTGACTTAATGACTAGAAATGATACATATTAGAGTGAAATGCAAAAATGAGTCAGCGATTTTCTAAATAAAGGGTTTGACTATGTTTATTACCGTCATTTCTGGATTGAATCTAAGATAGCGTTCGTTTCTCACGTTAGATCTTAGCTATATAAATAGATAGCTAATTATATAGCATATCTATACTTCTATACTAATATATAAAGCTCTAGAGTTTGTTTGTTTTTGAACGCACTTATCTCAGAAACAGCTGGTTTGAATTTAAAAAAAAAGGAGAGTATAAAACATAGAGTTTTAGGAGAGTATAAAACATAGAGTTGTGATTAATAGGGGATCGAAGAGACAGCGGAAAATGTCGAGAAAACGTGGAAATTTATTCATCCTTTTGGGTTTCCATTGCATTGGGGTTTAAAATACCCAAAAATATGTAGGAAAGAATGATTTCTCTTTAAATAATCTAAACAAAAAGTCGGCGACAGTGTATCTCTATCTTGTCAGATTAACTTGCAAGAACAACGGGGCGCGGACGACGTCGTGGGTAACAGGTTAAATTTATAGAGTTGAGAAGGAGGTTTGCAAAAACAAAAATTGATACCGAAAATAACTATCCTATGCGTACGCAGTCGCTGATTCAACTAGTTCTGTTATAAGCCTCGTAGAACTGAAATAGATAAATGCAAGTAACACAGGAGGGCAATAAACTCTCAACAATATAAGGTAGGCGTTGACGCGGAACAGCCAGCAGTCCCAGTAGAAACCGGAAGAAAAAATAATTTTCACAATAAAATTGAGCTTTGCACTGCGACGCACACTATAACTCCCGAGAAAAAACCGAGCGCAGTTTTCCCAGGATTAAGTCAACACCACTGTGTTAAACCAATGAAGCGGAGAAAAGGCTCATGACTTAGGGGAGAACTTAGAAACTGACAAGTTAATAATATTCACAAAACATCGCACTCAAGCACTTTAAAAGGATAGATTATATTTAAATAAAACACTTTAACCGTTTAAAACGCAAAATATTAGTTAAAGCTATTTGAAAATGATTTTTAACTTCGGCCCGACGTTTCGGATGCTTTGCAGCACCCGTGGTCACGGGGAGACTATCACGTGTCACACGGTCACATGTGTACTACTCGCGTAAACTATAGACAGTATTTAGGATAGATTATATACAATAGTTATTACAAACCCATTAACCATCATAGGTTCCCCATATTCCAGCAGCTCTCCCAATTTCTTATGATGAATCCCATATAGTCCCATGTTCTATATACATGGATATGTGTTTGAAGCATGACCTCCCAAAACCCAAACTTGCTATCTTACTCTCAACTATTAGCAGTACATCTAAATAATAACAGTCACGTCAAATAATAACAAATCTATAAAAAAAAAACATCAACAATGCGATTCGTCACGATAACTAATACCACAAATACAAAGCATAAACGCCTTTGTACTCCCTAAGATTGGGCATCAATAAACGTGCACGCTGGTTCTCAATCACGGCGCTGAGCAAACACTGGAGGCGAGTTTGTGTCAATATTGTTGAAGTCAACAAAGATAACAAAGAACCGTAGAAATTGACGATAAACATTGAGTTCAAACAAAGCACAGCCAAGGATGCTAACGATTTGTTTCTAATCTTTAAATTTATGTCCTGAATAGACATATAATACAGAATCGTAAATTTGAAAAATTAACACACGTATAAATGCATTAGAAAACCGAATGTGTAAACAACTGTCATTGGTTCAATGTTAGACTAATAAGTTGTGGACTCGGTTCTCACCATGCCCTTATTATTAAAGAAACAATTTATATTTTAATTTAAAGATCGAAAATAAATTGAAAAAAATTTCGACTCGGGCAGGACTTGAACCGGCATCGTCAGCTTTCCGTGCTGTCAATTTATTTTCGATCTTTAAATTATATAGTGCCTTCATGTGCAATAACATGTGAAAAATATTAATGTTTTCAAATTTATATTTTTTTAAACCTGTAAAACTCCAATGAACATCTAGATCTGAAATGGATACTGTCTATAGTTAACGGTGTCTATAACACTTTAACGGTTTAAAACGCGATATATTAGTAAAACTTATTTGAAAATGATTTTTAACTTCGACCCGACGTTTCAGATGCTTTGCAGCAGCCGTGGTCACGGGGAGACTCCCCTAAGTTTAACTAATATATCGCGTTTTAAACCGTTAAAGCTTTTTATTTTAATTTGAAATGGTTGGTAAGAATATCAAATTGCCCATAGATGAATAAGCCGATCGTTTTTCAGTTTCATTTTGTGGATTACTACACGTCCGATGCCAAAATAGGACGACAGCGCATTTTATTTAGATATTATATGATAAATTCATCTCTTATCAAGTCAAACCCACTGGCTGTACATTGTCATATACATATGAATAACGTAAGTTGTCTACAAGCCCGTGATTACGGATGCTTAAGACAAAAGCATGTTTCCCATTACAACAAACTTTAAAATGCAATTGAATAAAGGAAAATATTCACTTCTTTTAAAAGTCAAATGATGCTTAACCACCTTGTCTAATATAGGATAATAAGTTTGACATTTGACGCCTTTAAAGTATTACCTTTCAAAATAACTGAACAGTATTATTGACGGGCACCATCCACTTAGCCGGAAAAGCGTGGAGATGGCGTGTGGATTTGCGAATACCCAACGCGAAAATAGGCTAACCGCGCATCTTGTTTAGATGTTATATGGCTATTTCGCCTACCTTCGAGCGTAGGCCATAGCATATTTAATTTATTTTACATCTTAATAATCGACGATTAACACGAATGGTTATCAACTCTGACTTAATATATCTATAATTAATTGATGTACCGTGTCCGTAGAGATAATATTCACACCTACCATCCTAAATTGGACATAGCATAATATCATAACCATTGGTTCGTGAGAAAGCATTGATCGCGGACTGCGATGGGCCATTGAGTTTCAATTTATGATTCTTCAAAATCACGTTCGTAACCTTGAATGAAAAATCTGTGGGAAGTGAAGTCTTTATCCAGTCATTCAGATTATGGTCAATCACGTCTTAGCGGAGTTGAGATTAACATACACTGAAACAAAGGAAAAAGAGAAAAGAGGCAGACTAGCCTAACTGCAATTTTATGACTTGACTTTTTTATAATTTTATAGTTAAAAATGTTAACCTAAAAAGGCACAGTGACAGAAAATTTTCAAAATTTACAAATTCATTTTCACCTAAGTTAATTGTATTTATTTTTTATTTACCTCCTTATTGAAAATCATGTTTTTGTTATTAGGCCACTCTGCCTCTAGCAGTCTCATATAACACAAAACATTTGAAAAGAGAAGAACAGTATTACAGTATTTACAAAATAACTTCACTTATCACCCTAACTTCTTCTTTACATTTTTTTACTGAAAATATTCCAGTTTATATAACAAATATAAGTATAATAATTACTACCAGTGCTTGTCTTGTGGAAGAGATTATTTTAAACCCATTTGACACAATTATAATAGACGCGTCCCAGGTAAACATTACAAGCTTAGCTATTTATAATGAGCAAATCACCGAGCTAACAGCGACAACGACCCCGCATATAACTTTCAACGCAAAACAGCATAATGAGCCGACTGCATAACACTGAAGATGGCTATATCTAAAAATATGAGCGTCAACTATAATGATACTATAAAGAGGAAATTTTTTTTTGTTTGTATCCAATAGGCTCTAAAATTGCAAGAAGATTTTAACAAGATCCATAAATTATAATTAATACCTTATTATTAAAGAGAAAACAGCCTATATTAACCAAGGAGTAAAGAATTGATTAAAACTTTCACAACATTTAAAGATACTAAATCAAGCTATAAAAAATGCTTTCATATTTTATATTAAATTACGTGATTATGTTAATATATATGAAACTAAAGTACTTTTATTAACTTAGATTATAACTAGTTAATTCTTTGAGCAGTTATCAATATGAGGAAACATTTTAAGGCTCAACCTTCCAAGGCCTTACCTTAGTGTCTCTTTTGAAAATGTACGTTTAAATAATTTTAATGAATATATTTCGCGTTTTAAACTGTTTCAAAAAGTTTCATTTAAATGTGTACTACACTAAACTACAGTCAGTATTTAAGTGTAAGTTTATTTATCAAAATATAAGAATCCTTTACAAGAATGTAACATAATAGAGCATATATCAACTTAGCTAATTTGAAAGCTATAAAACAACTTATTATAGCTAAAGCCACGGGTAGCACAGCGACTCTCAGGTTATCTACCTGCACATTAGTTAGTTTGCGCAAAAACTATGTACAGGCAAGATTGTTAGCCGACTACTTGATCAGAGGATGTAACGTCAGATGGGGCTTTCGAAATTACAGGGCGATGGGGGGCGGGTCCACTGCGGTCCTATCCACCGGTCTAAGTGGCCTGACACCTCGCCGTGACGTTCCCCGATCCGATCCCGGGGCAATTATAACGGGATCCGATCTTACCTTGGACGCGGCGTTGCGGTACTACTGTGTCGTAATTGCTTAAACACATAATCACTAATGTCAAGAGAACGCGTAGCGAATCAATATCCTGGCGCCTTATCCGTGCCGATCTACGCTAATAGCTGGTACGTAGAGCCTTCCAGGTACTGAATTATGATAAGTGTATTTGCTTATGCGCATGTTTTTCATAAAAGAATAGAAGATGTCTTTATATGAAGCCATTTTATTAAAAAAGTGTAAATTTCCGATTCCGTTCGTGGCGTATAGGGCGAACATATTTCTGTGTCCGTTTCACTGATCGGTTCTTTTTAGTTTAGTTGATCGAACTTTGTAGTAGTCAAGAGGCAGTCCGCATTTTATTAAAATACCAATATTTAAGAAAAATGTTGTGTCCGTAGGTAGGTATAAAGATATATGTAATTTATAAGTATATTCTGTTAAAAACGTTTGTTAAAGTCAATATATATGTTATCGAGGGTTAAATGTTTGGATTTTAAATTGGGATAAGCAAGAGGGGCTGTCAGTTTGAACCCCTTGGAAACGATGGTTGTTGGGGGGGGGAAAAAAAAAAATTTTAAAAAAAAAACTCTTTTGGCTGGAAAGCATCCGAAAACCGAAGTTAAAAATCATTTTCAAATAAGTTTAACTAATATATCGCGTTTGAAACCGGTTAAAGTGTTTTATTTAAATATGTACTACTCGCGTAAACTATATACAGTATTTAAAAAAACTACTTCTATATTAAAATGGATTAGTGAAATTAATTTTATACAATGCAACATTAAAAATATATCTTTAAACATATTATAGTGTAGTAGGTATAATTTTGGCTCCGTTTCTTTTTCACCAAACACGCGAAATACATTTGCGGACTGACTAAATGACACGTACGACCTTACACTAGACAGATATTAATTTAACACCTAAATCTAGATGCACTACATTCCTAACACACACGAGACGCGAAACACAAAACCACTGAACATGCAAATGACCGTCCCGCTAAAGTTAATGGCGCCTGCGTCACGACCCGGCACTGTAACATTAGTTTGTAAGGTGATCTGTTTTCGCAGTGACTCACAATGCATCTTACGGGACATATTCCGAATATGCTTCTCCTTATGGGTTCTTTAAGTATGGTAACTTTTCAATGGTGAATCTCTCTTTAATAAATTTTAATGGTAAATCTCTCTTCTTTAAAGCTAAATAATGGTAAATCTAAGCTAAAAAGTAAGCTAAAAAATGGTAAATCTCTCTTCTTTAAAGCTAAATAATGGTAAATCTAAGCTAAAAGTAAGCTAAAAAAATGGTAAATCTCTCTTCTTTAAAGCTAAATAATGGTAAATCTAAGCTAAAAGTAAGCTAAAAAAATGGTAAATCTCTCTTCTTTAAAGCTAATAATTAAATTAATGTAGTTTATCTTTTTTTAAAGCTAAATACTTTGCTTTTTTATTTCAACGCTCTAATCTCAGACTCTACTGGTTCAAATTAAAAAAAACATTTTTGCATTGGTTCAACCATCTATCGAAGATGATGTTAGGTTATAATGTCAGGCTCCAATTGGACTCCAATTGGAGAGAACAGTGAAAAATATGGAGATGATGGGGAAAATTATTTATCTTTACATGCTTCCATTGCGTGTGCTGCGTAAACGTTTCAAGAAACCGAAAAATATGTATTATTTAATGTTTATCTTTTAAGATTAACACGCAAGAAGAGACGAAACGCGGACGGCGCTGTCATATTTTATAAAGTTGAGGAGATTGGTTGTAAATAAAATGTACGTTTCCCCAAAATGACTATTCCATGCGGACGAAGTCGCGGCCACAACTATTGCTTGATATTTTGTCTTATACTAACGAAAAACAAAGCAATTTTCCGACATAAAACAATGGTAATTAACAGTTTTGTATAGATTAAAAATGTATTAAGCTTAAAAGTTAAAGAAAATGGAGGGGAGGCAAGACTCGAACCTACGTACAGTATTACTAACCACTAATACTATAGTAATTTTATTAAAAAAAAGAAATAATGTAATACTAAAAAATAGGTACAAAATACGTTTGTGTGTCTTTATAATGTTTGTGGTTCAACCAATTTGATACCAAGCTACGAAAGCACATAAGAAAAACTATAACGTCGGCATGTTTATTAGGCCGTAAAAGTAAAACGTTTAATTGGATAAGTCGCGAAGGAGCGAAGGTCAGGCGTGAGCCGACGCGACGAATTTAATCACAAAAAGCCCAGCAAAGCAAGGGCAGCCAAGATGCGAGTAATTTGAAATGTTACTTGAAAAGGAGACGTGGTCTTAGACCTCGTACACGATCGAAGAATGTTTACACTTCTTGCTGTTTTTCATTAAGGCTCTTTTCAGACTACGCTACAATATAATAGCAAGTGTTTCTCCGTCAAGGGCGGATATTCGCTTTAGTGTTTTTAATTATAGATCTGCATTTACTTTTATTACGTTTTCCGCGATACGAACCCAGGACTGCTAGCATTCCACGTATGCCTAGGCCTGGCGTTTAACAATTGTGCCACATTGTATATTTTTATTTCACGTGAGTAGTACACATTTAAATAAAACACTTTTATCTGTTTAAAACGTAAAATATAAGTTTAATAATATTTTTCGCATTTTAAATCGTTAACAGTGTTTTATTTAAACCACATTCATTATATGTCGCACATATATTATCACAAGTTTGCTAGGATGTCTGTATGGATGGTTGTAAATATTACTGGCAAAAACTACTGAATAGAAACGTTTCGACAATATAGCTCTAAGCAGTAGAATATTGTATAAAGATTTTGTGTAAATTTCCCAAGCTATAACAGCTAAGTGTGTTCAGCTATTAATGTATAGAACTCGAGCGTGTGCTATGACATAAAAGCTATTATATTAACAGCGTAGTCTGAAAAGAGCTTAAACCTATACGCTTCTGAGAAGCTGCATCAACACATATTATAGATGCAGGCATTTCGATTGTAATGGACCGGCATTGGAGGCCAATTTGTGTCAATTAGCAATAGTTTCATTTGATTTTAATAACAATAAAAAATATTTATATAATTATCGTAATGTTTGGACTATAATGTACAATGTTTGGTCCTCCAGGCTAAACAAGCAACGTCTGTATCAAATTAAATCCAATTAAAACTCATCTGTTCATTAGTAATTAAAATAATTTAATATAAAATATTTTTAGATTTAAAAGATTTGCGAATTCACCATAAAAAGAGAAAACCCATCAAACTAACTTTATTATACTACTTAGATGAAGAGTGACGCGCCATATTTTATTAATATGCGCGCGCGCTGAAATCCTTATGTAAAAGAACCCCTGTGGATAGATAGTATATTGTTATTACTCCGTTAATTTATTGCCGACGATTTACAATGTATTATCACCATTTATATAATATGCTATCGATAGATACAAATAATCGATTCCCTTAGCAAAAAAGGCACACAAAAAAGTATGTTATAAATTGAAAATTTTAATACGCAAAATTGCAAATTTCAATAGAATCCGAAAAAAGTAAACAACGTCATGATTGACAGATAAAAAAGGCTTTTGACTGTCTGGCCACAGAACTGAAGAGGGGTATATCATTAAAAAGTTATTCTTGTCGTAAAGTGACTCACAACCCTCTCGTCTTTTTGCTCTGGCGAAATGCGAAATACGTCTAAGCTATATGTACAAGATGTTGACTAAGAAGAAACTTGCTTATATTTATCACTATATTTTTACCGTTTACGTGACGTTAACAAATAAGTTACTGTAATTTTTTCTGGCATCGGATTTACACCTAAGCCCTTTTTTTTTCCAATAAAATATAAACTTTAACTTATTGTATAAAAAACAAAGACCAGTGCTGTAATTTCGAAAATTATCGTGTACAGACATACAGATAAGATTTTTTTTTATTTGTCGTCATTGATCATTCCATTAAGTGGACATACAGACTACTTCCATTACATTATTATTCCATCGATTCTGGCGTAGCTATTGTTGTCCAGAATAATGTTTCCCTTTTACAGCCATTAAGGTAATATCGCAGTCCCTTATGAAAATAAAACGGTGAATTTTATCGACCCTTATCTCAGTCATACGTAACTCATTCGATGTAGAACAATACGATAGGCATCGGTTGAATGCGATTAAAAAGATCGAAAAAAGATCCCGCGGGCATTGAGGCGATTGGGCTCGCGTGCTTCATTTTAAGTGCAGTATCTTGTTGAATGCTTCAATGCTATATTGAATATTATCGCAGCCCAATTCTGCTGCTTTCACTGGCTTCTCGATTCTGCTAGTACAACCTCTATTCATATCTTATTGAAGGGTCTAAATTGCATTGTCGTCTCGATAGAGTCTCGCTAGCTCCTTTCGTGAGTTACCAGAATTGGGGCATTGGAAATAGGCTCGCGGGTTATAGATACGCGCTGTGGCTGTAGCTGGCGGGCGATAGCATTGTGTGCGCTGCAGAGGCGCTTGTCAAACAGCATCCCACCAATTAACGTGACTCTCGGAGCTAAAAGTGGCGGTGTTACGGCGGCGGCTTTCAAGTGAGTCGTACTCCAGTTTGTTTTATTTTCGTTTGGATCTAACAGCCGGCGCGAGACGTGATCATATGCTGTTAGGTCAGAATTTGCACTTTTCACTTGCGCCGTTTATGTATTATATATCTTTATGTGTAGCGACGCAGTAACGTATAGTAACGATAACACTAAGTTATGAAAAATAGTGGCGACAATCTCTATAAGATCCTACCGTTCTATTTTGTAAATTTAATATCCATATTTCTAGACGAAGACCAACATATTTTAGCAGAGATTTAGATTTATAGAAACATGGGATTCAATCTATAACCCGACCCAATAGGTACATTAACTAACAACACGTAGTTTTTACTACAAATACTTTTGTAAAATAAATATTAAATACTGTCTGTAGTTTACGCGAGTAGTACACATTCATATAAAACACTTTAACGGTTTAAAACGCGATATAAATTGGTTAAACTTATTCGAAAATTATTTTTCAATCGACATAAGTACATAACAATGTAAAAATAGAGAATACACTACGCCTGCAGAGAAAATATAAAGATAAAGTGGTAAAGAAAGAGTGTATTTTAGATTAGTGTTATCAATTCAATTCTCAAGAATCCCCCTTTTAATAACACTTAGGGTTCGCGACCATCTGTGGCAGGAGGAGCATTTAAAATATCCTTAATGGTACGGAATTCTCTCATTATTTCTAAACAAAGATTTAAACGCGGTCCTACAGAGGATTCGTGACCAGCAATAATGACGAAACATAAGTAGAAGTGCCGGAGGCGTCAGTTTTTTACAAATGGTGTTTATTTATGCTAATAATGCTATAGAATTTGTGCTAACTTCTCACTTTGCAGTCAATAGTATTGAAAAGGCTTTAAATGAAATATTACGCAATCATTCTGTTGTAGAACATAAATAATTGCATTATTTATTTTGACCAGCTGTAATGTATGCCTAATAAACAACGGGCCGTAGGTTCGATTTATACCGGGTCCAAACGTGATTCTAATTCATTTATAATTATTTCTGAAACGTGTTGGATTTCGTCTAAATCTAGATATTTGATGGGTGATTGGATTATCGACATTTTGAGTAATGATCCACCGTCCACAGATGAAAAAACCGTCAAGTTTAATGGCGTTTTGGTTTCATTCTGTGGGTTTCCAAATATCCAAAGCCAATATAGGCCGACAGCGCAACTTGTCGGGTTCACTTGATGGTAGGTGAAATACATTGTTGCATTCCTCTATTATAAAAAAAACTCAGTAAAGAGTTATAAAGGCACGAAAACGCTCTCATTAATATCCACAACAAATGTAGTCATGGAATCCAAAGATGAAATATAAGCATTAAAGTGTTTAATTAAATACATGTCTGATAAACTTCACATCAATTACGGTTTTGTTGCAAATAGAGAAAAAGCAAAAGCTCTACCTATCTCTCCGATAAGATCAGATTTTACTACGCACGTAGAAAGGGAACGCGAATCGTCTAAGATTTACGCTATCTCGATAAGATTTCAACTTATTTTATCTATTCGATATATGGCTAAGTGTATGTAATAAGTTAGTTTAGTTGAAAATTGAAAAACGCGTAAAAGAAACGTATTGTGAGAAGTGTAGAAAGAATAAACGTCAAACTTAAAAAACCTGTGAAATACCCTTATTACTCCCTCCGCACGTCAATTAGTGCATGCATAAAATAATTCCGCAGGAATCTTCGCTGTGTGCCTGCATGCAAACACTTCAACAATAAATTAGCATGCGTGCTGTAATTGCTCGGGAGATACAAGAGCGATTCGACCGGTCGATTTAACAAAGGTACACCCTTGAAGACCTGCCAAGAGAGAAAAAACTACGACAACCCTCTGGACGAGCGGAGAATTCGCGTGGACCGCAACAAAAGCAAATTGAACGCGAACAATTGTGCGCTACGATTCGCGAAGATAACTCCCGTACGAGCGCGGGCGACCAGCGTCCGACCGACGCCGGACGTCCGCGCTGTATACCGCTGTGGCCGGTACCACGAGAGCAATGTTTCGATTCGTTGAAACACCATCGCTGGCTCGGTGAGTGGGAACAGCGATAGATGGAACGCTAGCTCATCGATGTACGTCACGTTAGAGATGAGCAGCGCGGCTTTTCTTTCCCATTATTCGTGATTTGGCTGGCGCGGGACGCATCGCTGTTATAAGGGGGGGTCCCGAGGTGCGCGCGCTCAGTTTACCCGAGTGTCCCGTGTTGCGTGTGCGCTCCCACTCAGTGGTAACCCACACATTTCGACAATAAAACGTTCAATATGCAGGTCGTACTTGCAACATGTTTCCTGCTCTTCGCAGCCACCCTCGCTCCTGCCGCAGGTATGTTTTCAGTCTATAAGTCTAGCTATAAATCAATAATTATATCTTGATCGTGCAGTATATTCTAACCCACTCGTTTGTAACCCCGTTCGCTGCTATATTTGTATCATCCTGAATCTACACTGATCAAGATTGCTTTTTTGATGTCAAATTTTATGTTTATCATTATAATAAAGTAGAAATGTAATTTATTTAACGAGGCATTAGGAATTTAAAATATATTACGAGAAACCGCAACAAAAATTCTATAAAAAAAAATCACATTCAATATAACTATAGGTTATACCTAAAATTGTCTTTAATTATAAATTGAAGTATAAAAAAAACAACATTTAAAAATATATGTTTTTTTTTATAATTAATTAATTAATTTAATATTAGGACTAAACAATTTGCAAGAATGAGACCCAAGAATATTTGCAAAATTGGAAGAAATCTATTTAGGTAGCTTGTGCGAAATTTCTTGTGTCCTCAGATATTTTGCTATGAATTGAGAACTATAGTAATGAGCACGTTCAAATTCTATTAGAAGGGACCTACAAACAAATCAAACAGGAATTCCCTTGGGAATGGTAAAATTCTACGATGACAACAGTAAAACAGTCCATTGAATAATTGCGGTCTTGTACTGGTCTCCCACAAAACGCTTCCCACATATTGTTCTACGGAGTTCTTACCGTGGAAATGGTTATGCAACAATACGCGCATGAACTTAAGACATAATAAAGAGCCTATTACGAGTTGACATTCCTAGGAACGCGCCGTGGTGTGACCCCGGGTCCTCGACCTTCATTGTTCAGCTTCCATTAGAGTACAATGCCAGTCCAACCGGGAACAACTATTATTTTTAATTATATTACAGCTTAGTAGCAGCCTTAAGATTCTATTTCTGGAAGCGTAAAATGCTTAACCTTAAGGTTTAAACTTGCTATTAAACCAATACGATTTAAATTGTCTAATTCTATTATTAAACATTCTTTTATCAATAAAGCTAGGAAGAAATACAAACGAACTATTTTGATTAGATTTTAATGCGTTCCCAGCTAATCTTAAAATCTCAATTCGCAACGAACGTCTTCATGTAAAAAGTAACGGTTTTAAAGAGTACAGCAATAAGCAAGTCCGTTACACATTTGAATAGATGTTGATCTGACAGAAATGCTTTTATAATATGCAGATTACCTAGTGAAACATTTATTTTTAGCCTAATATGTCTAAATCTGGGCGCAATCTCCTTTTAGATTTTGATTCATCGATTAGACCCCGTTTTTTTTGATGTGGATTCGCGTATTTCAATGAATACATAACCAGGATTAGGATAAGATGCGTGATTGGATGTGAAGACACTATATCCTAGTCCAAAGACTAGGACTGAAAATTAAAAAACACACACACAAATATCAAACGAATATTTTGTCAGGTTCTTAATCCCGTGATCTAAAGTCAGCTGTACTTACTAAGCATTAGATTGGACCAGAATAGTAGTCAATATAAGTCGTAGGCAGTGAAAATATTTGAGCGAAACAAAACACGTTATCGAACACGTTCCACACAATAAAGGAGGAATCACATAATATTTTATGCGGCATGTAATATCAACAAAACGCAACCATAACGAAAGCTAAAGCCAAGTTTGCGTTTGTTGACTCAAGTGTGAGGTGAGTGCAGCAATAACAGAGGCAGAAGGGCTGAACAATACGAGGGGTACGAGGGAATAACATAGATTTAGTTATCAAACAACATACATGGAATACCTATGGATATTGTAATAACATCCTTTGTTTCACTCCGTTGAGATTTGAGTCACTCCGAGATAATTGCTTAATATCAAACAAAAACAAATTCAACACCTGAACAAAATTAAAGTTAATGAACTTGAATTGTTTGTCGGTTCACCTCAAGAATTCAAATCTAGTCGTGGGTGATATGGTAAGAAAGTCACAGTCGGTTAAAGATTTTGCAACAGCTACATAAAAATTAATTAAGAAAACCACTACATATTACTAAAATTGGTGTTTAAACAAAAGTTTGATTTCCTGAAAAGTAATTTATATACAATTTGGATTATTTTTAATTTTGTGGCGCGTAACGTTACGTTTCCGCAGACAAAGGCGCGAAAAAGACAGCTTGTATAATATAAAGTCACTGACATCAGTTTGAACGATTATGATGCGGTTCAGTAAATTAGCAGCACGTCTCGAGGGATCTCTGCACTGATAGATCAAAAAATCAATATCTAACAATTGTTCTAATGAGCCGTATCAGCAGTATCGGGCGAGTTATCGGCAGGGCAAAAAACTTCCGAAGTTTTTATGGGGAAAAAATAGCGAGGGGCGAGGAGAGAGCGACAGGTGCGCGGTTCAACGTCCCGAGTCTAGCCACCGCGGAAAGGAGACTTCTCGGGAATAGCATTATGGGTTATCTGTCCGCGTAGATTAGTCGGAATGCTGCACCGGGTACCGTAAATGAGAGACTGATCGTTTTTACCACGCCACGGTTGGAGACATTCTACAATGAACTTGACATAACTGTCGAAAGCAGCCCAGTGATATACGAGGTTGCGAATGGCACAATTTCTACCTAACATTTGCTTAACTTGGGGGCGCAAAAATTAAAACACCGTTTGTAATTAACAGATGAATGCAAACACACAAAATAATCTATTACTATTTGGCCTAGTTTGGCTTGCAAAAAAGAAATAGGCATTATCAAAAACAAACACAAAACTTTTTAACAGCAATAAAACCTCGAGACCTAAAATTTTACGCTCACAGGAAGGACATTAAAATTCCTCTGAAGTCTTAATTCCTCTATCACAACGATGATGACAGAATATAAAATTGGATTAACGTCATTGTGGTGGGTCGCTGAAGAGTCAATCTATATTTATAACGCTACTCTAATACCTTTTTTTATTCCTAATTCATGTATAATGTTACGCGCAGCATGTGGTGCTTATATTAAATTACAATCGAACAGATTTTTTCAACATCACGCTTTTTTGGAGTCACGATCTCGATACTGATTGAAAAGATCTTCGTTTGTCGGTTTTTCTATATGCGCTCAATGACCATAGCGTAACAAAATTATTGATACTTGACTATTATCTGTATTTTTATTCTTATTAGCTTCATCTAATTCTTCATTAATATAGACTTGTCTTGATGAAAAAACCAAATACTTTATAAGTTTTTTTTACTATTGGGTTTTAAGTCCATTACGTAAGTTGAACTATGTACATTCTGATTTCTCTTTGTTTTATGATTAACCTATTGCAGGGTTGGTAGATGGTTATTCTTGTATGTAAGTATTTTCAGTAAATGTTAAATCAATTAAATTTCATTATAATTTCGATTAAGTAACTTGTGATATTATATGTTCTGACGTTGTAGCAAATATTTTGCAAGATGCTCTCGAGCCCCAAACTGTAAGGACATCGGGTTCGATTGGCTAAAAATAGTCGTTACATTCCACCGCGGGGGCGGGTGCTCGAGGGCACAGGATCGCGGCGTCCTTGGCCATGTCTCCTCACTCCTGCGCACGCCATCAACCCTTTTTTGCGTTCCGATTCTGGTTTTGAGACGACCGCGAACAATCGAACTGCAGATATTCCCACGGAGCAGTGTATAATCATGATTTCGATAAAACATCAAATCGGCCATTTTTATGCCAGATTAGACATACGTGATTCGTGAGATTCGTCTTCACAAAACGTTTTATCGATCGTTCGCATGTCTGGTTTTTTGTTTGTCTTGTTCGCTGATTTGTATTGTATAGTTTTTCACTGAAACATTAATTTTATTACCACTTTTGTCATTGTTACATGATAGAAACACTGTCTCAATATTAGTAGAGTTTGTATACCGTGTAACAACGAAGGTTCGTTAACACGGATTGCGTTCATTAACCAAGTTGAGTCGGATTGCATATTCCATCGAGTAATCAGTTGGCCGTGAAGATGGCTACCTTGCCCTTGCGCTTGGTTAAAGGTCTTTCGACCTATGCGAGACTGGTTTGCGTTATGCAACTACTGTGCAACGAAGCGCCGGCGTTAAACCGCAAAACCGCAAACCCTATAAACTTCGCTTGTTATAAATGTTTAAGTACACTCGCAACAGGTAATTAACTTCTTATTTTTTATAACTGTTGTATTATATCTATTTACTAGCTGTGTCAGCGACTTTGTCCGCGTAGAATAGTTATTTTGGGCATAGAAATTTAGTTTTTGCAAACCTCCTCTTCATCTTTATAAATTTAGGTTGTTACCCTCGACTACGATCGCGTCTCGTGGTTCTTGCAAGTTAACATTAAAAGATAAACATATCGTAGTGTCGCAGATATTATTTCATACATATTTTTTGGTTATCTTGAACCGTCTTCGCAGCGTACGCATCGGAAACCCAGAGAGATTAATAATTTTTCAGCGTTGTTTCCACATGTGCCGATTTGTCGTCGCTCCTATTAGTCAGAGCGCGATGTTTTAGCCTATAACATTCCTCAATAAATTCTCTAACCAACACAAAAATATTTTTTTCAATTCGAACCAGTAGTTCCTGAGGTTAGCGCCTTGAAACAGCAACTTTTATATATAAGTCTAGATTGAATTAAATAAAATCCAAAGCAATCATGAAAGGGTCATGGACCGTTGAAAAATCTTGTAACTCATCTAATAGTACAACATACATAATGTATTAGACGTCTTAGAGAATAATTGCTGTGTACTGGTTTTTACGACTTTTATAATTACAGTGAGGGTGGAGTGTTTATGCAAGAATCGAGCTCGTTGCTTGTTATGCAACCCTGCTTTGTGACCATTTAAGATGTAATAGCAGGTACACGGAACCATTTTTAAATGACACGTTGATGGGGCTTCGGACTGAACATTATATTTACATTTTAAAAGATATTTATATACAAGTCTAGAGACTTACTTAGTATTTTCACGCATTAAATAAGACAGTTTTAACAGTTCAAAAGACGAAGTATAAAATTTAATTATGACCGTGCGACATCACTGGTCACGGGAAAACTTCGGCTGTAAAGAAATCAAACGTCAGGTGTTCTTATTAAAAGTGTTTATTTAAGAAATAATACTGTTTTGAATATTTGTAATAACTTGAAAGCAACTCAATATTATATATGAGATACAAATTTTGTATATTCTTTAAAGATATATAGCTGAGCAATGGTCATAAGAGCCTCTTTACAATTTAAAACTAAAAAATAAAAGCCCTTCTTTTAATAGGCAGAACAAACAAGAGGGATTGGCAAATAATTTTGAGGCATAAAAGCTTATTTGAAAGGCAAAATGTGGCCGAGAGAAGTAAAAAGAACTACCGAACATCGAAAGCCAAAAAATGGTCGACAGCGCATCATGTTGAGATTATATATGAGTGGGGTAATACATCAAATGAACCCAATGTGTGTCCGTCCTCCTCTATCATACAAAAACTGCTAAATAATGTTACAATGGTAAAAGGCCGCATATCCACGTTATAGAGGTTCGATTAAAAAGCACAGTGTCTACAGAACACGTTTTAGGAACAAACGAGACGTGTCTAGAATTGGAAATAATCATTTCCGATGTTCGAGTGAACGCATGATTCCGGTGACTAATCGTGAAATCGAATCGATTGTACAAATGACTCGATAAAGAAGTAAAAAAAGGTACCTCATTACTATTCATTAAAATCCTGCGCATCTTAAATAGAGCCTACGTAAAAATGTACTTCCTTCCATTCATACGAACGGTGAATGAATTTTTAAAGAGTTTGTAAGCAGAAATCATTGTTAACTTTCCATTTCAACAAATCATAGCATATATTTTTATAGTCTTTTACACGATTACAGATTTGTTTATCATTTGAATTGCAGATAAAGTATATATGCATGATAGATAAAAGATTATACTTGAATCTACTTTACTATTTGAATTTAACTTTTTACAATGATTAAAATCAAAGCCTTTGTTTGATAGGTGTGAAATACAAGATGGAGATCTAAAATAACAAAGTCTAAAGTTGTGCGAGTAGTACACATTTAAATCAATTCATCAATTCAACGGCTTTAAACGCGACATGTTATTTACATCAATACATTTCGCGTTTTAAACCAATAAAAGTATTTTTTTATTTATCAAGTCACATCAAGTTTTATGTTTATGAGCTGTTTTGCGAAATGGAAGCTCAGATATAGGGCGAGTATAAATAGCGAATTGAAATGGTCGAGCTGTTTAGTTCACACCTCACGAGCCGATGTGTCACTGCGGTGGTAATTTTGGCCAGCGCGCCGTTACCACCGCATCCGGTACAGTTTTGTATTCAACTGGATAATCCGGATTTATTAAGCTAATTAAAATTAAATTTTAAACAGAATTATAGCAGACTGAATATAAACGGTATTACGTTATTTACGTGGTAAAATCGATGAAAAATCTAGTATAATCTTAATCTTCAAAACAGAAATAGTACAATATTATCATTGTTGATTTAAGATTGTTTTAAACACTATAAAGGTATGTAACGTAAACCTATCTAAATAATAATTCCAATTACTGTATCCGTCCAATATAGAGATAATGGAAAAAAAATGTTAAAATATCTTTATCGTTATAAAAATTTGTATAGACGAAGCGTCGGCAATGGACGATAGCGTTGTCCCATCAGTATGCGCGTGAGGCCTTACGACGTGACTTGATGCTGTTCAAAGCCAGCAAGCATATATCCCCTCGTATGTCAAAAACTCGTCCCAGAAACGTGTACTAAACGTCTTTTTTCTCATCGCTTTTTAACTTCGATTAATTTGAACCGTATTACGATTATACTTTTTTATTTTCGTAGTCATTAAAGCGAGTTATTGGTCTTAATAATATGATTATCTAATTTTATGTGTTTTAAAGAGATCCCCTTTTAAACCATTTATATATATATCAGTATTCGTTGATTACCTTTCCTTAACTAATTTGCGAAACTTGTAAATTGATGTTGTTTCTACACTTTAATTTTCTTTTATTTATTTATTTATTTATTTTAAGTAATACCTTTAATTCTTACAAATAGTAAGATCACTAGAATTTGTATTCCAAGACGACGCCATATTCTTCAATTCAAAAACCGGACACCGGAGACGAGCACTTTTTTTAATTTCCAAAGTAGAACCCGTAATGACGTTTTGTACGAGAATGTAAAGTACTCACATGTATAAACTCTAAATACGTAGTCTGTCGATTTCGTTTTTATAAAATTCCGAATACTCCATTATAATGGTGATCGATAAAATAAAAATTACACGTCCCAGCTCGTTTGCTTCAATTATAAAGCGTGTGATTTAAAAACGCAATCTTTTAGCGTATAATTATTTTTTTTATCTCCCGTGGAAATTTCCTTTACATTAGCATCATCTTAAAAATGCGCCTAAGAAAATGGGAGCAAAACGAAACGTGGAATTTTATAAACGAGGCAATTTTGTTAATAGCGTCCTGTTTAACTTTCTTGTTTAAACACGTAAATGGCGACGCATTTGAAAAGCACTACAAAGCTTTTACAGACATGTGGCAAAAAAAACGTGCACTGCGCGACGCTCTTTATGCAGGAGACAGCATTATGCATGGATTCCAAAGAGCGAGGCTTTTTAATGGGCGAATAATACCGAGTTCTTGGGTAATCTCCGAGCACGTAAACTAGTCGTTTTTACCTTCATTTATGTGTGGATTTAAAGTGGGAACGGTTGGTATTCGGGTAGAATTATAATTCTGTCGCGAGAGACGTGTTAGGTGCAATAACTACGGGAAAAGGGAGCAGGAACCATTGATTAGACAGAGATCGTAATTTTAGTTCAAGTTCGAAGACCTGAAGATAAAATCTCCACTTAGATGCTAATGTAGCGGGTGAGCGGACGGAAGGCATAAAAACGAGTCTAATCTAATGTACATATATGTATGCATATTTAATAGACACTCTCGTCATGTATGTAATATTCATAGAATTCCGTTTATATTGCAATTTTATTCAAACAACTTTTCTGCTGTGATTTAATTGCATAAGTCTTAAAGAGTTTTCTAAAGTTACGAATGGAAATGGCCGATATTTTTCCTTTCCGAAGGTTTTAAATTATGTAAGCCATTATGAAGCTTTCAAACTACCCGTCCATGGTTAAATGGTCACATAGATTGTGTTAAACAAATTCGTTCCTAGATTCCAAACCTGCTTTTTGACTAACAAACTTCCGGTTAACAAAATTGAAATAGACACGGAACTGTGTTTGTGTGACAGGATTTTACTTCTTAAACTCGTAACTCACTTACTGAATATATTTTTACTTCTTAAATCTCAAATTTACAATGATGTGCAGCGAATAAATCTTCTATTGTTTGCAAATATCTAGAAAAATACTTGATTTAAATCTCGTTCAAAAATAAATATTCCAAACGTGTGAGCAAATAATTTAGACGCAGAAGCACTTGTATTGTGCAATTTATTTTGGTCTGAGTTCGATTATTATCTGAACATTATTCTCTTATGGTATGTTATTCGAAGGCGCTTTGTTGTTTCGTGAAACAAGTTAACACTAGATAATACCTTCTTAATTTTTTTTAAAAAAAAAGGGGTGCGAAAAAAAAAAACCAAAAAAATAGAAATAAAGGGTTTTAGAACATTGGTGGTGGAGAAAGGCTTTTGCGACGTATTTCAAACATACTTAATACCTTAATAACTCGCTTATGAATATTATGTTTACTTTATAGTATTGTATTAAATTTAGATGAACTGTGAGAATGCAAATAAAGGCTTCATTATTACATTTTAGAATGTGAAACACAACGTTACACGAAAAAAAACAAAAATAAAATAAGATATCTCATTTACAAACACATTATTAAACTTTTAAGATATAAAGTCAAAACCGATAGCATTGAATACAAAACGCAGTTCGTCGTGTAATATTAAGATTGATAAATATAGTTGTGTTCAGGGTCAAACTAATTCTTCTAATGTTAAAGTCCCATTCACGTAAATAACGACTTCCCATGTTATCACTGGACTTCTGGAGTGTATTATAAGATATATAATCAACGAAGGTTTTTTCAGAATTGTATAAGCAAAAGACGTGTTAGTCTTGTATTTCTTATAAAAGTGAAAACTTGGATTATGTAAGATTCAAAATGAAACCCTTTTCAGGGGCAGGGGCTTATCTTCCCAAAGCTAAGATTTTTACTACTAAATCACAAATAATAATTATAATATAACTCAAGTAGGTAAGAATGTCGAATATTATTGTGTACGCTTGTCTACAACGTTTTCCGTCGATCGGATATCAAAGCAATAAAAATGCGATAAAGATAAAAAACACGAAAAGGCAACGAACTTACAAAAACGGCAAAACAAAAAAGGACCCTCCGTTTTTTTGTTTTGTCTTCCGCAATACCGTTAGGAGGCAAAATGTTATCACCATGTCGTTACACGACATCAGCTCCATAATGTAAAATTCACATCCACGATGTCTAAACTGACTTTATTGTTACAGCACAACGGATAACGACGATACAACTCGATGGAGTGCAGTACTTTATATCAAGAATGAACCCATACAGTCCGGAGCTCAACTATTTCCTAGCATACCAATATTGCAGGCAAGTATCGCACCTCTCTGAGGTATCTTACATTGTACTTACATTGAAATATAATAGATAATAAGATGATAAGTTTAACGATTCCCGTCCATGAAGCATGTCTTGCATTATTCCATATAAGTCCGACTACAAAATATAATATCATACTTTATTGATGATCTCTAATTTAGACGACCAGACGTCCCATTACCGTATCTATACTAATATTATAAAGCTGAAGAGTTTCATTGTTTGTTTGTTTGAACGCGCTAATCTCGGGAACAACTAGTTCGAATTGGAAAATTCTTTTTGCTTTGGTTTTATATATTATATACCTCGATAAAGGGTATATATTTACCCCTTAATACGGTAATTAAAAAAAAAATCTAAAATAATGTCCCGAACAGTCTATCTTTTAAAATTACACGCACCAACGATGGGACGCGAACGACGTCGTCGATAACACTAGATTAACTTTTTCTTCCTATATTAGACAAGACGTATGAAAAGTTACACCTCCATATTTCAGCCTAGGGTCGAATCATATTTCCCAAGGCGCAATTCTCGCGAGACGTAATAGTCGCATCGTGACTCTCAATGCTTATCTGGCCTATCTGCGCTCTTGTCCCAGTTGAACCTCGCCATAACTACAGTCGAATGGCCGTTAACAAGCGTACCCACTGCCCTTCGATGTCTTTACTCCTGACCAGGAAATACTGGGATCATTTGCATTACCGTTACCTGGGAAACGCCGAGAACAGTATCGACATGTAGGAAGTGCTAGAGAGTAAAGACTGCCTTGTTTAAATATAAACGCATTTGAATCGCGAAGCTTTTCAAATTATATTTTGAAGTACGGTTTTTACTACTGTGCCTAGTATTTGATGACAAATTTGACTTTACAGGGTAATTTACAAAAAAATATATATAGATAACCATTTTAGAACAGCTACAAAGAGAAACTTATTCTAATGTCTAAGACTTCAGCTAATAGGAATAATTGTTTTTAATCTGACTGGCTCATTTCCGAATATCCAAAGCTAAAATAGGACGACAGTGCATCTTGTTTAGATGTTATATGGCTGGGCTATTTTACCTACCATTAATTGAATCCCATGCTTGTCTGTTCTCCTCTATGTGTGAACTTTTTAAAACTATGAGTACTTCTGCTAACTTTACTAATCAATAAAATGTCGTGCGCATGGACTTAAAATATAATAACAACAAGATGGACAAGAGACAAGATGTAGTATGAAATACTGTCTTATAGTTTACGCGAGTAGTACACATTTAAATAAAACACTAACGGTTTAAAATGCGATATATTAAGTTGAACTTATTTGAAAATGTTTTTTAACTTCGGCCCGACACCACGTCTTCCCGTGACCACGGCTGCTGCAAAGCATCCGAATCGTCGGACCGAAATTAAAAATCATTTTCAAATAAGGTGAACTAATAGATCGCGTTTTAAACCGTTAAAGTGTTTTATTTAAGATGTACTATGGTTCTAAGACAGCTCGTAAACTAGCATCTAGGTTAGTTTGTTTTGTCCCAAATGAGAGTCGAGGTTATTTCCCCTGAACCCGACCACGTGCTCGTTTCACTAATGACAAAGGTCAGTTGCCCCGAAGCACGATCACGAATCGCGATGTCCTCACGATACCCGTCGGTAACATGACCCAAATTCAGTCCCAATTGCTGGCAATCATAGGGAACATTGCTTTGTCGTACCACGAACATGTTATGACAAACTGTAGATACAACCGATTTCGTAGTATAATAATATTTGATGGCGTTTGACATGATGAGGGTATTAGCATGACACCGCAACTGATGGCGTGACGAAGTGTCTTCTCGACGTCAACCGTGAATAACGTTAAGTGCCGCTCGTAAGCCACGGTTAGTTTTCGCTGTCTGCTATCTCAAAAATGAGCTAACGGTAAAAATAATTATTTTCGGATTATTCCTGTCGCCACTTCGATCAACAAAAGATAATAAAAAATTTTCAAGGGAAGCAATTAAGAATGAATCTCTCTTCCTTTGACAATAATATCCTTTGACAAATAATACAAATGGTGAACCTTTACGATCAAATAATTTGACGTATCTACATGGTCGTGTGCGCTGAATAAATATGAATGAATTTAAAGTTTTGAGAACGCGGCTCTCTATTTATGCCTATGGGACTGAAGTTAGAAACAATGAAACAGTTATGATACTAAAACTGTGTCGACATGTCATCGATATCTATGTTAAAAGCAATTACTCTACTGTGTGCGGTTAATTAATTCAAGTGGAGCGTAATTTATGACATTTTAATTCGATGCAAGTAATAAAAACGTGCCCGGCGTTGCAAAAAGCTAAAAATGTTTACATTAAAAAGAAAGCGTAATTCTGTGAACGGCCATCGAGTTATTCCCACGGAGAGTATGAAAGAGAATTAAAATTTAATAAACATGCATTTAAACAAGAGAATGAAATTATTTAAATCTTTCGAAGCACGTCAAAGCACAGAGGAAGTGATAATCACTCTTTTAAATCTAGGATACGTGATAGTTATAAAAATACGGCCGCATAAGATTACGGAACTTGGGGATTTAACCTGTAAGAATTCAGGTATCCGTAGCGTGGAATGCAGACGCCCCGAGCAAGGCCGAAGTGTGTCTTAAGCGGATAAATAGCCTCCGATAAACTGGCTCTACGGTGTAGTCTATTTGCGATCTTATAAACCTTATAGAACACGATTAGCCAGGACTCTTAGCTAAATAGCGTTCGTGGATCTCGCCTGGCAAGTTTGTACTTATCGCGGTTGAGAAACACACAATTATACACGGCCAGAGTTGCGTTACAACTGTCAATGACACTGGAATCTTTGACATTGCAATGCTTCTCGTTCGCTCCACTACTAGAAGGGTCAATAACATTTTATATAAACGTTTAATTTGTTTACGTGCAGCCATATTCAATTAAAACATGTGTCGGCTTGAATGAAAACCACTCGATCATTATGTTATTTATGTTCGCGTTTTTCGTTTGCAGGTCGTTAGGTCTTCAATTAGCTTCGTTTGAGACTAAAGAAAAGGCCGACTCAATTACTACGTACCTGACGAATGCAGGTAACATTGTGTTTTTGCTACAAATATTTTTTCATTGAAGCCATTAATTTATTTCATAGTAATAGCTAGCTAGACGTTTTGTAGAAATTACAAATATTCCTTTACAAGTCTCCTATGTTCTTATTAGTTTTCAACAAGTGCCTATGGAGGCCCCTGTCCGTTTTTTGTAGGGAAATAAACATAAATAAGAATTTGTTTAAGCTCAAACACATTAACGTTATTAATTCGTGATAGGTTACAACAAATATGACTTCTGGACGTCCGGAAACAATCTAGGAACAGATATGTATCTATGGATGAGCACTGGACTACCGTTCAACGCCACGTTTAACTACATGAGACGTCTGACTATGGACCAGCCGAGCCAGCACGCTGACGATAGCATGGACCCCTTGGACGTTCCACAAGGCAGCACTGCACCCCAACGCACTGCTAGACATGGGTACGTAGATTACATCAAGAAATAGATATATATATATATATATATATAAGAATGCCACTTCCTGTTTTCTTCTCTAAGTTTCAAAATTTATAATTTCGTAAATGAATAAGAGGTTGTAGCGCCATTTGACTTATTATTCGAATATAATTAGATTGTTCTCAATATGTCACTTGTTATAAAATCCATGTAGTGGTAATTGGAAAGGAATGTTTAAACGATCGCAAAAAGAAAAATGGATGTGCTCTACGATCGTGGATAGTCTTTTTTGCCAGTACCTGCCTTAGACGGCTCGTTAAGGCAAGGCGTGGTGCACCATATTAAGCACCTGCCGTATTTAGCTTCTGTACTTACGATGCACTGCAAAAATAAGTGACGGGATCCGTTTTTTAAAGAATGCATAATGGAATATTCGAATTAGCAAACCAGCTTCTTTAAATATTTATTGAAGCATTAATTTTTTACTCAACTTTTCTACCTTGACTTGCTTGTTTTAATTGGATCGCTTAATTTGTTGCGTCTAAAACAAAATTGTTGTGGAGTGTTGCAAAAAAGATTGACCTCTGATTCACTTAGTTTTGATTTGATTTCTTTTTTTTTTAACTTTGTAATGCAAATTAAATAGTCTGTTTTCTAGAACCGAGCACGTCATGACGAACGGTTGCGTGTCTCTTAAGGCACCGACTTTCCACTGGGAGCCCCAGCACTGCGGCGAGATCAAGGACTTCATCTGCGAACAGACTCGCTGCTACTACTATAACTACGGCTCGATTCCCGTTTCCTCGGCGCAGGGGTAATGCCAGGTGAGATGCCAGCTGTCTCCGGAGGCCCGTTCCCCGTCGACCGCGCGCTCTCTTTGCCCTTCCAAGATTGCACTTTAGAAATCTCTCCTTTCTGTATCACTATCATGTCAACGAGACGACATGTTTCTCTTTCGGGATGTAGTTGTATTCGAGTCCTAACCAAATGTAGCCATAGTTTGACACCGGTGTTAAAAGCGCGTGGACCCGTGGACCAGGCTTCTACGCTAACCCAACCACCAAACAAGAGCCCTACACACCCAACTGAAATTCCGGTATAATATTAAGAGATTTTCACGAAAGTACATTGCTATTATTCCAAATTAAAACTTTTTGGTGGGTGGGAGAAGGGGGCTTTGCTTGGTATCTCTTAATTGCTTTGTCAATAACATTCTCATGTTTGTCAGTGTGTTCTAGGCTATAAGGTGTTTACAAGCTATCATCACGGGAGTAGCGTAAAAAATGTCGGTAAAATAATCAGAAATACCAGTAAAAACATAACAACGGTGAACATCGCACACCTGATGATACTTTGTTAACAGCTTATATTTAAGTGAACATATCACGAGGGTCGATGTTTTTTTGTTGTAACAGAAAGCCACTATCACTGACGACCACGACCACAGCGCACCCGATCACATCGTCGTCGCCTCTCCCGCCACGCTCCGAGCATCTTCCGACACATTTTACCCTTAACGACCTCATCGGCAAGCTGCGACCCTCGTCTCTCGACGGCCTTCAGTCCCCACATCTTAAAGGTGGAGCTCTTCTCAAGTCACCCCCTCAAATAGATTCGCACTACTCTCGTGCCGCTGACGCTCACCCAAAGGAACCGGAGCGTGAACCAAAAGAGGAACCAACTCAAGGCCCGTATGAGGACGACGAGGGTATGGCGGGAGACGATCCCGCTGCCTACTTAACTCAGGAGGCTCACGACGCCCCAGCAGCAGAGGAGATACCCTCCACCGCCGAGCCGGACGCTACTGAGCGGTCCGTCCACGCCAGCGGTATGCTGGCACCCCCCGCCTACTAACTTTCGGCTCGACGGCTTCTTTAGATTAAGCCCGTGACATTTAGTTGTATTTACTACCAAAAGTATTATTCATTATTTCGAGACATTATTCAATGTAGAGTGATAGTAAGACTTATGCTTGCTTATGAGGTTGCATGAGGCCTCGATAAATCATTTTCGCGATGTAAATGAGAATTATGTATTGTATGTGCTTTATCTATAAATGATGTGTGGTGGGAATTTATTTTGCAATGGGTTCAATTTTAAAGGAAGATGCTGGCGACTCGTCAGCCGACTTGCCTCCGTCTTCTGGTTATCCAATGGTGACAAACATTCCACAAGTTATGGGTACCGCTAATATCGATCTATGTGTATGTATATGCGTTTCGAGATCTCCAAATTTTTCACGATAATTTTACGTATTTAACGCATTTAAGCGATCGGATAAATTAAATCTGGACATATCATTTGGATTAGTTTTAAGATAGTATTTGTAATGTTCGACGTACCTAGTTAAGTATTTTAAGTTGAAACTCAAGAATTTAAAGAGTAGTGATGTAGCGAGAGTAATAAATTGTAAAAACAATTACATTATGTGTTTCATTTTCATAAAAAGCAGTGAAATAAAATTTTCCTAAAGTTTCTGTGTCTATTTCATTGATCGATTACATCTACTGATCGACCTCTGTTCACCGGTCGACTCTATATTCTGTGCGATTTGGACCTTTCAGCGTTTAACGCAATTCTAATGAGTCGAGAGGGAGATGAATTCTAAATGCTATTAATGTAGGGAATATAGCGACGTAATAAAATGATTATCTTCTAGGACTTACCACCCGTTGATAACGCCCTCCACGTTAAGCATGGGCACAATTTTGAATACATATTTGGCCCTTAACGCGGCCGCGGGGGCCGTATCCGCCAAAAGGTATCCCAAAGTGCCGTCCATCACCCACGAGGCATTGCTTTCCCCAGGGTGGACACGCGCAGTAAGGAATACTATTTCACGGTCCTGTAATAATTTTAATTTTATAAATTTGATTGGATCAACAACATAGTTTTGATATAGAATAACCATGTCTTTTTCAGCATCATAGAAATAAAAATGCGCCGTCAATATTTTGGATTCCAAATCCCTTTTGATAGGGTCACCATATTTTAATAAATCATGCTTTACAGCGATTATAGCCGATGGGGTGCCGAACCGACAAATTGATTATTTAATATTACTAAATCTCACCACAATTGGATTCGAAGGTGTATCCTCAGCTGATATAGTGAGAACGGGAACTTCGTTGCTATTTAACGAATAACAGAGTGGTTCCACTCGAAGGTACGCGTTCGCTGGAAGGAGAGTGCTCCAATGCCAGATTCGAGTCTAAAACAGATAAGACGACTTTGACGGTTAACAAAATGAGATTATAATTGGGATAGCATGAAAAATATGTAGCAATATTCTTATTATTATTTATAATATTGTATTAAAGTATGAAGTAGTGAACTATCCTCTATATCATACTCTTACTCTACTCTTTCTACAGTAGCCAGTCTCGTCCATCGACTTATTCGCGTTTTAAACCGTTAAATTTTTAATTAGGAAGAATGTTAATATAAAATACTTCACTGAATATTTTAAATAGATTTGTTACTAACAAATTACTGTTTCGTTGGTCTAGTGGTTAGTGCACTTGATTGCGGATTAAGGAGTCGCGGGTTCGAATTTTTGGTCTGATGAATAGTTACTTACCAGTTACCACTATTTAGGGGCGGTATAAGTATAACTATTTTAGCGTGAACCCGCACTGGAGCAGCGTTGTAGGTCTAAGCTGTACATCCTCTCCTATGTGAAAGGAAACTTTAGGGGATCACAATATGTTAAAATAAGAAACTCACCAGCATCATAGAGTATGTGAACGGAAAATGATAGGCGAGATAGCAGACGTCATTTGTATGAGGAAACTCAATGTTGAAGGTGACTGTGAGGTAGCACTTGTTATGGCTCTTCTGATTAGCGTAGTGGTAGCTGTTGCGATAGTAGCAAATATCTGTGCCGGCTCGAACCCAACCTGGAAATTTTGCAGACAATAAATATATAGAAATTACCAACATGGAACAGATAAAATTTATAATGGGTTGATCATGGACAAAGTTCGATTTCGGATCTATTCTATAAAATTTGTCTTCAGTAGGAATTCTTTGTTTGGACATTGTTTGCAATCTTAATTTAAACTGTAAATACTACGTACAGTACTAAAACAATTGTAATTATAAACAAACACGCATTTTCCTTCTCATAGATAAAATTAATATATTAAAAATTTAATATATTTGAAAGTGTAACAGATAATAACAAACGAATCGTAATGAAAAATGATTTCACTAGTATATTTTGCGTTTAAGTGATTTATTTAAAGTTGTATCTTTTCGGTGTACTTGGTTAATCCACGAATAACATTGGTATCGCATTATTTAAGAATATTTGAACAAAAATATCTCAGACATATATACAGCATATACATATTACCAGGTCTTCCTAGTACTGCCTCCTTCACGGAATACATAACAGGCTTCATGCCAAAATTGAACTGGCTATCAGATTTCTCGCAATTCACGATGTTGAATATGTAGGGACGCCCCTGCTGCATGTTCCGCACTTCGAAGTAGAACCATTGATGACGCTTGGTCGAGTTTACATCTGGCATCAGGATCAGTTCGTACTCTCTTGGGCCTGTCTGAATTAACATTAACTGTTTTAACTTTAAATTAAATGATAACTATTGGAATATTAATAAGATCAAAACTTAAATTTGCTAATTATTCAATTATGTTTAAAACTTTAATTAGTCCAAAGTCGGTAGGTCTATAGGTAAATATCCTAAGACCAACTCAAGACTATCTATGCCAATTTTACAATATTGAAACATGAAAATTAAATTAAGATTCACACTTTTAATACACGTTTACTTCAAATTTTTCATTAAAAATAATATTGTACTAATAATATTGTAGTTATTTTGACAACGACATGGAGCTAATGGTATCCGTATTTAACTATATGTACTGTATACATTATATACTAAACTACACGCCTATCTTATTATTGGAAAGCTGAAGAGCTGTTTGTTTTTTTAGACGCGCTAATTTCGAGGACCATTGGTTGGAATCTTATCTAATTTTTGTGTTGGATAGCATCACGTTGCGACCATAAACGCTTCAAGTAACCAAAAATTATATATGAAAGATGAATCCTCTTAAAACGATCTATGTGGATAATACGTCGGCAATAGTATGTCTATTTTTGTTTTTATGGTAATCAAATTTCCTCGAAATAACCGCATTAGAACTATGGGTATGTAAATTCGTTTGAGGCGCATCAGCCATTTGTAAATAATTAAGGCATTAGACTTCATTACCTGAATAACTTTCCTAAGATTTCCAGATTCGAATCTCGATTCAAAACTGAGCCGTGATGAAAAGCTGTTCACTTTTGTAATTTCCAGTTCGTCCGCGTTATTCAAAAAGGGACTATCTAAACTGAAACTAATAAAAAAATAACGATAAATTGTCTTTAGCTAATAACAAGTTACAATGCTCTCCTTGGGTTTTTATTTGTCTTACAGAAACTAATATCATTATTCACCTTTTTTGTGACGTAGTATCGTTGTTGCCAGTAGCCGTTGTGGATAGAGCATCTAAATCATACACGACTTCGTTCATATATGTCTCCGGATTGATTGCTCTATCAACGCATGACAATAACTTATTTCTGAAAAAAAATATTCGATTTTTACTTCAACGTTAAAAGATTAAAGTAGGAAAACAGAAAGATTTCGTTTTAGTATGTAAGTGATAAGTAAATACTAATTAACCCTGTATTTCGTTTGTATAGTTTTTAAACAGTTTACAATCTGCTTGGTCAATTGGCAGACTGTGCGCTCCAAGCTTGGGTTCCAGCCCCGCCCGTGCAATAGAGATTTTACAACCTGGATGGATTTTTAATACATACCCTAATGTTTGTTTAAAGTTATAATCCACGTGCAAAAGAAATGATATACAGTTATCTATATGTCTTTCTTTCTTTGAAATTGATTGACCTATAGTAACAAATAAGAAGAGAAATAAGAAATTAATTTTGGATAAAATTACTTCCATGAATTTCCTCTACTGATGTTCATTAATAATGACGTGTCCGTTCTGGTGAATCCCAAAAAAGTGAATTTACCTGCAGGCAGTCCTTTCCATTTTATTTAAGGGTTCCGGTTGATTAGCTCCTTGACCACCCATCATGTCAGGATAAGCCACTTTCACGAACGGAATTATGCTTTTAACCCTAGACGAAATCGTACAGTAGACGGACGGGAAAGACGTATATTTTGATATATCTTTGTGGATTTTCAGTGATGAACATGACGTTGTGGCTGAAAAAGTGTAATATTAAAATCAATGTAAGGTAAATTTTATGAAATTATTACCTAAATTATTGCCAAGAATTGCAAACAACAATATGAGAAACAACACAAAATTACAACAACTATAAACCATGAAGTGTTCGATAAATTCGGAGAAGATGCATTATGAAAGATGGTAAACTATAAAACATAGATGAGTAACTACTCAACACATAAATAAAGTAGCAAAACACATAAAGATGGAAGATTTTTTTCCATGCATCATTATTTCTGTTGCTCTAACCAACTTTTTGAAATAAGACATCTAAACAAATTCATATCTACTTACATGTACTCTCATGAATCCTGTGATAACCGGCCGTACCCAGAAGTGAAGGTGTTTGTGCGGACCCAGTTATATCATAATCAACAAGGCTTCCAAGATTTGCCGCAAAAGACAAGTTTATGGAAGAAGGAACGTTCTTATTGGCAGTTTGCGATATAAGGTAATCTTCAAGAATGGAGCCTCTAGAGTTTGAGCGGCTTTTTACTAATTTGACTTGTTTATTATAGGAACCAAATTCCTTAAAGAATATAAAGTACCTGAAATACAACATGATATTATCATAAAAAATCATTCTCATTGGACATTGAATGAGATTTAATGCAAGGAACTCTTCGTTTGTCGCTTGAGTCAAATAGCGTTCAGAATTTAAATCCTGCTTATATTAATTGAAAAGGTATTGTGAGAGATTACAAATATCTGTTTTTTCTTAATTCTAATGTTAATCTCAAAAATGCCTACTTTTTTAAGTCTTCTAGATCTCTCTCATTGGGATTTATCCAAAGTGCACTTTGTAAGCTATCCCCACTTTTGGTTTGACTCTTTGTTGAATCTTCGGTCGTCTCCGGTTTCAACTCATTCTCGTCATATTCAATATCTGGAAACTCATCTATGCCTTCTAAGTCTAAATCCGGTCCATCGTCATCTAAATCTGAGTTTACAGTTTTCGAATCTGAATTAGCCGCTTCTTCTTCATCGTCGTGACATGGCCATGACGTATTTGTACCTGTAAAGCAATTAGATTTCATGAAATTAATAGACATACAAACTGAAAAGTCCACATATCTTAATTATGTATAATTCCCTCTTTTTTTAATTCTTCTCTGTTAAATTTTATAAATGTATGTCCATAATCCATTTTGGTTAAGGTGTTAAATTACACATATATTATAAACTATATATAAATATAGTATTACCTTTCAAAATGGGATTTAGATTAAATATCGCTGGACTTGTTACTGGTACTGGAAGTGCTTGGTGTTTCAGACATAATGTGATCACGGAGCACACTCGAGCCAGCAGACCATCAAACTCTGGCTCATCCGGACATTGGGAACAGAACCTATGTAGAGTTTGGACATGCTTCTTTGTACATAACGATCTCCTACCCGCTTCTGTGATAAAATAATTAAAATAAATATGAAGTATTGTCTGCATCTTACGCCAGTAGTAAACTTTTAAGTAGATTTCCCCCCGTGGCCGTGTATTTTAAGTATAAGATACACCGCTTTGTAGAAAATCAATACTCAAGCATATGCTATGGCAAATTTGCAGATCACAATGTTTCCTTCATTTTATGCATTTCAAAATAATACCTTCTTTTGACAATTATAATATAACAGGGGCAACATTTTTGCACAAATATAAAAAATCTAAATTTTTAATCAACAGAACAGTGTATGTCAGTGATTCACTCCTTGGAAATGTAATAAACGATACGTACTGATATTGCACAAGTGCTGTAGGGTTTGCAGAATATGTGCACAGATCTTAAGTCGCATGCGTCCCTCGTAGCGATCCCATCGGTCGAAGACGCGGAGTAGAACGCTACAGAGGCCTGTCTTCACAATCTGCATGCAGCATACTTCTGTATGAGTTACCTTTGTGTAACTTAACTGGTACAGGACATAACAAGTGACAGGTGAAAGTTGGCAAACATAAATTGTGCTATGAGCAGATAATTGAAAAACAAAAGAAAAGCATTTTGCCAATTAAGTTAAAGATTGTGTTGCTTTTATTGTATTGAGAGGAATAAAGGAGTTTATATATAGCACGTAAATAGGAGCTTTCCTTTCATATCAGTAAATATAAAATGTGTGTTCTTGGCATAAAACGTAAAAACAAATCAGTAGTAAAAAGCTCTCTGGCTTAACGCGGACGGTGACCGCGTTCTGGGGAAAGCAAAAAGCTGGAGTTATTTATAACGCAAATTCGTATTTCAGTTGCGACAGTAGAATATTCGACTAAATTTCAAAAACCGTCATAAATAAGCAATACAAATTGTGCAGAATACGAAAATATGTTTGTATTATCCATACATTTAATTAATTAGGTACTTCTTCTTCCTTTTAGAAATCAAAAAGTGCCAATAGTTACAGGCTTGTGACCTCACCAATATTATTACTGGAATCACGAGACTAGGAGACTAGAAAATAGGTTTATATATTATTGAATACTGTTTTAGTTAATCTAGTAGCGATTCGTTTCATATTTGCGTAGAGTCAGAATATCTATCTTCATAATTTTAGCTATTAACTCAAAGACATTGAAATTCTGAGCAATTGAAGTCAAGGTTCGAACAGATATAATTGGGATCGTTAAATTGGTTATCACTTAACTGTTTTTACTGAAGTAATCAATAGCGTCTAGACATAAGCGCAGTCTGGCGGTCGGTATGAAGCCGAGACTGACTAGCACCCGTTCGTATGTCGTGATGACGCCGTCCCGAATCAAAATAGATGTTGTTACAGCTGTAAAGTACGAAAATCATGTCAATGTTAAAATTCAATATCACACAATCAAACAGAGATAACGATAGTCCCATGACCCTAAATATAGTTGGTGTAAACAACAATATTGGAGATTCGTTTTTTTTTTTTACATTGTGGTTTTATATAAAGTAAATATCTATTTGGATTTAAAAAGTTCGATGGAACAGGCAGAACTTAAACAATGCATCAACAACATTCCTGCCGTACATCTGTCTCTCTTTATACCCTTTAATTATTAAATAAATTTTGACCAGTCCACTTTCTGCCGTCACTTTGTCGAGTATCAAAAAGTAAAGGGTAATGAAAAGGTAACGTTTCTTTATCTGGTAAATAATTTCAATGTCAAAAATTTTTACTTACGATTCTTTGCGAGCTGCTTCATTATAACTAGGAGCGGGAATATGAGCTTATTGTCTGTAAAGTGTCCTTTGAGGATGAGATGCATCGTCCTGACGCAGCCGAGCATTCTCACTTTTATCGCGAATTTTGCATCTGGAAAATGTTTAAAACAGTTGAGTTTCCACAAATTATTAATTGGGTAATACCTAATAATATTAAGAGAATTATTTTAATAATTTTAAAATTTACTATATGGAAAACTACTTTTCAAAAAGAAGAGGCATGAAAATTCGTTTTAACCTTATAACTTGTTTTCACTATCATTTTATTCCTGTAAAGTACGGGTACTGCTATTATTAAGAATGTAAAATTAACCTCGGCTACTGAGAGGAGCAAGAATCCATATAAGATCGTGAATAATCAGCTCTGTCCCAGCATGACGTTCACGCTTATCGTGTACAGCCGATATCACTCTTCTTACAAGAGCCTGTGTCCCTTTCAGGGATATGAAATCTTGGGCGCACTGATTCCTCATGAGGTTGTTTGCTGAAAAAGATATACGCGATTAATGGCCCGCCTACCTTTGGGTGACAACGCCGCTAGAATCCACACGAGGTCCTGCAGCATCAGTTCGGTCCCAACATTCCCATCGCGCTTCCCGTGCGTCGCAATGATCGTACGAATCATGACCTGTGTCCCGTTTAGCGCAATGAAATGTTGAGAGCACTGTTGCCTTGCTATGTTGTTCGCTGAAATCGTGTAGACCAAATTTACAAGCTAAATTATTGTATTTCAAATGTCTTTCCTTTGCAATTGATCCAAATCACTAAGGATGAGGGTAATCCAGTTCTTGCCAAAATTCAGTTTAAATTGATTGAATTCAACATTTATAAAAAAAAAAAAAAAAAAAAAAAAAAAAAAAAAAAAAAAAAAAAAAAAAAAAAAAAAAAAAAAAAAAAAAAAAAAAAAAAAGAAAAACCCCCCCCCCCCCCCCCCCCCCCCCCCCCCCCCAAAAAAAACCCCCAAACCCCGGGGGAAAAAAAAAAAAAAAAAAAAAAAAAAAAAAAAAAAAAAAATGGGTTTTAAAAACCGAAAAGGGTTTTAATTAAAATACAACATTTATTTCAAATAACTTACAAATTATATCCATCATATTGTTAACAATATCCATTATTTTGTTGTTAAGAATATAAAATTTATTTGATGATCAACGTAATTATTAGATGTTACAAGCGCATACAGAACAGTTAAGCAGTACAATATTTCATTTAAATGTATTAAAATTTAACAAGAAAAAATCTCAAACAAAACTTTGTATTTATTTAAAAAGCGAGTGTTGTTAAATATAAAAAAAGTTAATAATTATGCTGCAGATAAACTTAAGTTAACTATTCTATATTCTAAAACTTTGTTTTTGTTGGTTTCTTAATTATTTTATTTCAACTGAATGCTTGTCATTTGAAATGGCAATTACGATCTCGGCGCATCTCTAGTAACGACGTCATTGATTTCGTAATAGTAAATTACACAAATAAATGTCACGCCGTGTATGCTATTCAAATGTTACGATTAACAAGGCTCCGGATTAAGTAGTCCAATGTCAGGTTAGTTTAAATGAGATCGTTTCAAAATGTCAGTAGGCGGAAAGACGACAAGGCAGCCTTATTGATGAGAATATTATACGAGAAAACAGTGATTAATAGTGCACAAGCTTTGCAGTGTAAGCATTTTTTTTCACACGACGTACCCTTTCTAACTAGAGGCGGTATATTCTCTTTTCCCGTTTTCTTAATATCTCTCTTCTTCGTACCTGATGTCTCATTTACTATGTCGTAGAAGAATTATATCATTAATTATCTTAAGGAAGTAACGATTATTTAAATTAAAAATTACAACTTTCAAAAACAGTACCTGAACATTTCTTTCCCTTTCCTTGTTTTAAACATATTGCCTCTCGTAGAATGGAAGTTATATATGTTGAAGTAGCCGTGTCTCTTGAGCTCTGAAACAGAATTACTTTCGTTTAAACCTATTAATATCCTAAATACTGTCTATCTCGGTACCATTTAAATAAAACATTTGTTAAAAAAAAAACTTAATTCCGACTTCCCTCCAGAAGATATTATAACTATAAGTTTGAAACGGGGCTACCCTTCTATAGAAGAAGACAGGGTTTAAAAGCTCATATCCATTTCATTTATCCAAGAATTGACGAAGATTCATCAGAGATAAGGTGAGGCAGGCAGATGCTACAATTTGAAACTGCTAATCTGTAGACATTATCTAAAAAAATTCTAAATACTAAAGTTTCACCCAACCTCCTATTTTCTAGAACTCGTAATCTGGAGTCATGTGAAAACTACAACATACAACGAGGCAGTCATTCTCATCTCTTTATATGAATGAGCAGAAATGTAATTATCACTTAACTTACCTCTAAAATTGATAGTAACATTTGTATCGCTCCAGTTTGTTTGTTCCAGAGCTTATCGAGAGTGCATTGGCGTACATGTTTATCTGGAACAAATACAATACATACATATAAGCGGTGGTAGTGCAAATCAAATACGAACACGCTGAAGTAGGCACACTGTAATCTATCTTCCCCTTAGGAGACATGGGACGAACTCGTTTGTGATAGATTTTAGTAAATCTAACTTCTGCTGATGTTCATTCAAATGTAGGAACAAGTTTAACCATTTAATGGCATGAAGGGCGGAAGAGGCTCGCGAAATCTGATTAATTAATTAATAATATTTAATTGATTTTTTATTTGTGATCGATGGATGCTATATTATTCAAACCGTATCGTAAACCTTTGTCTGAATTTTTTTAAATGTTGAATGCGGCGCTTTCTAAAGGAATTTCATTCTATTTTAAACTAATTATTTTGCCTTTTAAACTGTTAAAAGTGTTTTTATCATATCTTATTATATCTATTTTCATAATTTCCGCGAAACTCTTTGTTACTAATTAAATGGAGCGCAATGAAGGTCTTCAAGTGATATTTTAAACCGTTTTTACGTCTACATAAATATTGTTGTCACTGTCGCAACTACCAATACAATTATTTACAGTACAAATGTTATAAAAGGCGTGATTGTTGCAAATTGCTCGTTGAATTCCGCAAACAATCCGTGAACTTTTAATTGCATTAATTATTTTCATTCAATATTTTGGCAGCGTCTTGATGAAGATTGATATCGGCGAGAAATTGATCGTGACATTATAACAGACCGGGGTCAAAATGTTTATTTAAAATTTGTAAGTATTTCTGAAGCAAACATTTTGAAATATTGGCTAAAATTCATACATACTTTATAAATATGTATAAAACTTAGACCAGAACCTTTGAAAGCATGTTAAAAAATTTCTCTCGATGAGATTTTAGCTTGTTTTCATTGTATTATTTCACTTAATGGAACGTGAATAGCGCCAGGCATATAACATTTTCACGAGAGATATCGAAAGACTAAAACCGAATCGCGATTTATTTTAACAGTTTTTTCAACTGTGGTTCGTTACCCAGACGGAAACTTCGATATTCCTACCACCTTTATCATTTATAGACAATGTCTAACAAGTGTTCGAATAGTTACAAATGGATTAGAAACGCGTTGGATCCGACGGCTATAGAATCCTCTACCCGTTGATTATTACTGGCCAAACAGTGCTACCATAAAACCAAAGATCCCGTCAATATTTAAACATATAACAATCTTTAAAATAAACAACAACACAACCTGCAAACTACAAAACATTACAATTCTTATCTATATGTATATAGGACTTTTAATCCAATGAATGCGATTATTAAAAGAGATAACAAAATGAATGATTACAAATGTTACAACAATGACAGTTTGTTTAGAAGTGGTTGGCCGAAAGCCAGCACGCCACGCGCGGTTCTGGCCCACGTCAGCATAATAATATTACAAATATAACGATCACTATTAAAACAGCAAACTGCAGTAGTTCAACCACAAGATCTCATCCATAGATAAAAATGGCACCGAGACCATTAATATTTTCAATATAATAGCGAATCGAAAGCGTGAAGATTCTTGAGGAACGGGAGCAAGGGTAGCACCTCCCAATATCTTTCCGTTGTCGAGGCGACTCAGGGATAAGAAACAGAAGAACGGACGTTAGCGTTCTTTCAATATTATTCCTACACCAAATTGCGCTCTTCAAACCGTCTGCTAAGCGTTTCGCCACATTAGCATTTTCCATTTCACCAATTCCCATTCAGCCTCGTTAGTCCTGGCTATGGTAGCAGCTATAGTAACTGCGGGGTAGGGGCAAAGAAAACCCTCTTTACCCGGGATCCTTGACGACCCCTGGCTATGTATATGTTAATTGTGGTTCTATGCAAAGTAGCAAGAACAGCTAGTTTTTCTTTAAATTTAACTATTAGAAGGTTAACAGCTTACATGTGTCTCAATTTCAACCAAACTCCTTTAGAGAACAATTATTTTAATCGCATAATAAACACGCAACAACAGTTTGCCAAAAATTGAACCTATTCCTTAAAATGTACTCTAGTTCCGTTTCAGCAATTCTGAATATTCGATTTTCAAATTTGAATAGCACAAGTTCTTTGGCAAGTAGTGTACGCGAATGTACGAAAAGCAGAGCAATACATCACCGGCAGTTGATGAATGAGTGCTACTGGGACTCGATTCTGCTTGTCGCTTGAGTACCATTTTGTATTCTATTTGTAGTCTGCGTATGCGACTGAGACTCATTAAAAACGCTATTTTACACGGGGCGAATGACGAAAAATAAGTTTACTAATATATCCTTGTTCTAAACCAGCAAAAGTAATTTATGTACTCACGTAAACAGAAAATAATTAAGTTTTGGCTTTGGATATTGGGAGGTTTGCAGAGTGAAACCGAAAGATGAATTAACTTTACTATTATGTGTGAACGTCGTTTGTGGTTCTTCGTAATGCGGACTGTTTTCTATATTCGACCACCCATGTAATATATATTTTTCAGACGTAATCCAAAATGTGTTGGCAAAATTGTCATAATTTTGGAGACATATTGGACCTAATGGAAATAGAAAACACGATATGTTCGATAACTAATTTTCTTGCCATCGTTGTAAATCGTGAATTAGCAGACTCGATCCCTGGTCGTTCGTAATTTTGCGACTTTTTCGACGCGTCAATGCGGAGACTTGGCAACAGTCACAAACGTAAATACGTCCTGTTTCCAGCTGACTAATAAATTACATTATCAAAAAGTGAGATTGGCACTGTGTTTACACATTTTACGTTCTTCAAATTTATTTGTTATACAATCGTAATAACCACTTAGAGAGCGGATGTTTTTGCATTAATACACGCGTCCAAACCTTATAATAGGTAGAAACTGCTTAGTATAATTATTTGTTCTATGTTTCGATATTATGGTTTTTCTGTGTTCTTTTATTACCAGCATTCCGATATGACATGAATACTTTTTGGCTCGTATTTATATACCCCATACGTGGTACTGCCATTTTTTTTTGTGCAACCACGGTTATGTATAATAACATTTTTTATGCTCTCTTTAACTCGTTCAACTGAAATATAACAATATATTGTTTATCTACCGTCACACAGTTGTAATAACTAGTACGGGGACAAGCAAGATATAGATAGTTATCATTTGCATTTTTTTTTATATTACATTAATTTAATGTTTCTGTAAATTAAAAACGGTAAAGCTTTTAAGCTCAATTCGAAGTTGGTCCCTCACTAAAGCAGGGGTGTGGAATGGACTTTCAAGAACCTCATTAGTTATACGTAATGAAAAATGCAGTAAATCCTAAATGATCTACCATCAAAGCTTGCTCTAAATTATTAGGAGGGTTATGCCTTTCATTCTAGTATATAATAGTCTTAAGTTTAGCTTTAGCTAGTACACAGTAGAAGTCACAGTTAGAAATAATGCTCATTTTGTTTTTATGAAAATACGTAATTTGATTTCCATAGATTGTAGACTTCATAATGCGTAAATCAAATCGCAAATTATCGCTTCAGGCAACGCAGGAGATAGATGATAGCGCGTCACTGTCGCAAATAGATCGCTAATGTGGCTAATGTAAACATAAATGCATATCAACTCCAGAAGATTGACAAGCACGAGAAATTCGTTCCAAGTGCACTACTAAACAAATAACTAGAAATAAGAATAAAAAACAAAATTGCTAATTATACAAAATACTTTACGAAACAATCTCTGTACACCAGTGACGCTGTAGCTGCTGATTTAATACCCGAAATCAGTTCGCAGTTTTTACATTTGAGGAAGACAGACACGATAAGTTTACTTGATGGAAGGCCTCAGCCATATAACATAAAGATAATAAAAATAAAATATACTTTATTCTCTTTAAAATTATTTAGATTCGTGAAAATTTTTTTTATGTTTGTCTGTCTGTTTGTCGTGATTCCACAGAGTGTTCAAAAGAGCAACATAACTGAGAAGAACACCAAGGAAACTCAGTCCGGCTTTTTAAAGCTTGTCTTATAAACTAATACATTGTGAATTTATTAACTTAGGGAGCAATTCATATTACTGCCAGGCGGTCTCGTCATTAAAGAAATCGTTTAGACAATATTACGCCTTTTGAGAGAATCTAAATTTTATAACTTTTTAAAATTTATTTATCGATAAATTTGACACCTCAACTGGCAATGTATTGTACATACGAATACAATTCCCTGCAAATGAATTAGATATTTTACGGAGCCTATATTTAGGGATAGCTAGGTTATCCTTATTTCGTAACTTCAAATTATGCCTAACATCGAAACAAGATGCGTCGCGACCTATTTCGGCTTCGGATGACCAGAAATCACAGACTGAAACCGAAACGCGATTAAACTTCACGAGTTTTTCATTTATGGTTGGTGACTCAGACGGAATTCTTCTACGAAGATTTAATATTCACATTTCCAAACGAAATTCAACAGTTGACCCGGTGGAGATCGAACCGACGAACCGTGATTATTGCGTTGATGTATAGTGCTACTATTGTACCGACGAGCTCGGTTTTATTTTATAGCTGGGTTTTACATCATGTGTACTCTTGTAAACTACAGGCTACACTCAGCCTATGACATTTTAAAATAAATTGCCTAGTGATTGCATGTCATGGAACCGTTGAAGAGGGTTAAGGCAATTGGCCGGGGTGTTCGTGCCCTCTCCAAGCGTTACCATTCATGGATGCGATCGGAAATACTTCATTAGTTTCTAAAACTATAATAGGACCTAGTAGTGCCAGGGGGTTAGCGGCCCTTTAGCAGTTTAAATTAACTTGGTTATATAGATGCAGAATGTAATGTGTTTTCCGAAGCTATAGTTTACTTAAATTTATGATTATAGTCAAATTTAATTCCTTAATCTCTATGTATTTCAATAATAATATCGAATAATTAATGAAACACGTTAACGGTTTAAAATGCGAAATATATTAGTTAAACTAATGCATTGCAATAGCCGTGGTGATGGGGAGACCTAAAGATGGAGGGCGTTTGTAATGTCAAAGTAAAAAACTGCTACGCTAGCGCCATCTGTTTCGTCGTATTGGGTATTTGGCGAAACGGGTCCTTGCAGAATTGCTTGAATAAGTTTAATTTATATATATAAAGTTATATTTCGCTTATTAAACCGCTGAATTTTTATTTAAATGTGTATCACTCACGTAAACTACAGACAGTTCGAATATTCTTTGTTATTATCACGTTTCTCATATTTGGCCACAAAAAAGCGTTAATAAAGTTATAACTTCGAAGTGTTTCGGATTGTTGCTGTAATACTGGTTGAACATGCAATCTGTTTTATTTTTATAAGTCCATAAATGTTTCGCGATTGCCTACTAAACGAAATTTGCAACAACGACGGATATAGACATAAATTAAGTTTTGGCGCCATGCCAGCATTAGTTGTAACCTGTCTCCTTTTAATATTTTTAAGACTATCTAATTCGTCTATTTTTTTACATCTTCAAGAATTACGGAGTCGTGTTGAATAGACCACTTATGAAGAAGCTTAAGGCATTTAACACACGCTGCAAGCAATCGGAATATAACCATTACATATATTAATTTAAAATGCTGTAAAAGTCCTTATCCTAAACTATTTATCCTGTACTAATTCGTCCGCATGGAATAGTGACGTAGGAATTTTTAAATTAGTTATATATACTTTGCCGCAACACTCCTACTCTAACTTCCACTCCCAGTCCCACAGCCCACTCCCACTCCCACTCCTATTCCCTAAAAGCCAAAGAAGAAAGTTTCATTGTTCTAGCTTCAAAAAACCACGAATTTCCATACGAACTTTCATCCCCCTTTTCAACCCCTAACAACCCTTTTTTGGCATTAAAAAGTAGCCTATGTCCTGTTTGAGGCTCTAAAATATCTGTATACCATTTCATTTGAATCAGTTTTGTAGTTTCGGAGCTAAAGCCGGACAGACAGACAGACAGAGTTACTTTTGCATTTATAATATTAGTATAGATTGGGTCCTTTTTTAATACGTCTGTATGTTTTTTTCACGTACTAGTTCGTAAACGAGGTACGTCTTCATTGTTATAAGACCAGTGTTATTTTGTATAATAAAACATTAAAAAGCGAATCGCAAAACTAATTTGCATTCATTGTGAGGTCAAGTAATTCGGGTTTAACGTGGAACTAAGTACTTCAACTTTTTTTTATATAAGTTTTGTCGCCAAGCTTTATACTTCTATGTTCACGAATTCTATTTATTTCATTACAGTTACAGTTAATGAACGAGGTCAGTGGCTGAGCACATAAACCTATTGTATCCAAAGCCGGCTAAGCTCCTCGTCGATATAAAAGACAGGTTGGATAGACGCCAGAAAAATTATTGATTACATTACTGACATTACAATATATTTTCAATTTAAGATGGACTTTTGTACTGATTTAACAAAACTGTCACTTAATAACATGTTAAGCCTATATAAGACCTTTCAATACTAATATATAAAGCTGAAGAGTTTGTTTGTTTGAACGCGCTAGTCTCTGGAACTACTGGTCCGAATTGAATAATTATTTTTGAATTAGATAGAACATTTATTTGGGAAGACTATAAGCTATAAAACAAACGTATATATACAGCTATAAGATACGTATATAAACACGATACGACTTATATAAGCGAAGAAACGCCTTGACATGCGAAAAAAAAACGGGGAAAATTATTTAAATTAGTTAGAAAACGGTACAAGATACCCAAAAAAATGTGTATGGAAGAATGATTCCTGTATAAATGATCTAATAAAATGTTCACGACACTATATGTCTATCTTTTATTATCTTACAAGGACGACGGGATGGGGCTGACGTCTTGGGCAGTATAGATTATATCTATAAAGATGCAAAGCAGAAAAAACATACTTCGATGTCCAAAATAACTATTCTACACGGACGAAGTCGCTAACACAGCTAGTTTAACTAAATAAACAGATGAAACACCTGTTAAATAAAAATAAAGAAAAAGGGAACAATTGTCCCCTTTTTACATTCTGTGGATTTTGCATAAATATATTATCTATTTATCGTCCACCAGCTACCGCTATAAATACACACTTTATTGAGAAATATTAACAGCTTTTCGATTTAACAACTTCCGTCTAACTCCTAACGGATGCATTATGCACTAGTATGATTTAGTGTTTATTTCAAAAGAGCATATTATACTTAATTTAAAACCTACGCTATATATTTTTTATTTTATGAAATAGATCAAATATACAAGTAAAAAATTATATAAATAAAGAAGCCGGTGGCATTGCTGTAAGTACAAGTGACTCTGGCTTCGAATGGAAAAATAATTTTGCGTGTTTTAATTAATAAAATTAAGTTTTGCAGAACCTGAAAGACGTGGACAATGTAACCTAGAAATTTAGCTACCATAGTTAAGAATTTTTAACATGTCATATAAAATTATATATATTTAAGGACATACAGTACAGTGGTGATTTGTCTTTATCCCTAGAGTACGTAAACATCAAACGATTAATCGTTCTGCCGTACAGTAAATCGGGCGTCAAGGCCGGTCTATTGTAATCTTACGTTGCCGTTGTTTCTAAATTTACATGAATTTTATTCGTAATGAAACGTTAATCACTTTCATTTAGTAGAAAGAAAAAAGATAAAAGAGAAGTAATTTAAATTTCGTAATAGGTATTACTCGTATTACTTACTTACTGTATGTACTATTTAAGTTTTTTTTATCGTTATTTAATAGGCTTTAACTCGATTAGGTTATGTCACCCGATAAGACTAAAATTTACAAATTAATAGACTTAAACTATCCACATAATAGCCTTATAATATAAGTTTAGTAGCATCCTAGCCTCTCTCGAAAATGGAAAAGCTACTACATACCACCCAACATTTTTTACACATATAGATTTACTAACAATGTCCCTATATGTCTGCAAACATTCCGACAAAACATGGGTCACGTCTTTCACAAATTCACAATTTATACAATTAGAATTTGATGAAATTAACCTCAATGAGATTTTGTATTTGTTTGTTGGAATATGTCCGGAACGCACCCGCATTAGAGACACGATATCTTTATATGTATATATATTTATGTTATATAGTTTATTTAAGTACTTAATAGCTAAAATTTCTAGCGATATTTCACTTATTTATCCTTAACCCAAAGGAATTTTAAATGATGATTTGATAGATATACCATATTACCTCAAATAAATCGTCGTCAAATCGTCTTTGATGTAACGAAAAATGCAATGTAAATACCATGTGAAGTCAGCCTAGAGTTGATTCGGGCTGTGATCGCTCTCGCCACCTCCGTGGAGTCAGGGGCTCTTTGCTGGTGCAAGCGGAGCCGCTCGAACAAGCAGTCCGACGTCGCCTCGTCAGCCATGCGATACGCTGCAGAAGTAGACAAACTCAATTATTTATGTACAAATAATACATAGTACACGTTGATGCATTTATTTATTTTTACATTTACGACATATGATTAAAAGGAGGGTGGAAAAATAAAAAAACATAATTAGACCTCATTTTTATACATTATTGCTGTTACCAACGACGTCAACCGCGTCCCGTAGTGTTTGCAAATTAATCTAAAGATATAGATGTATACTAGAAATCTATAAAACATACTTTGCATTGAACATAGTATTACTAAGTAATTATACTAAATTGAACTACCTACAATTTTACTAAGAAGACTCATGAAGGTTCTAACATCAGACGGCCCTATAAACACTTTTTATAATCGTTGATATATTAAGCAGATGTACAGTGAATACACCGCTAATGTAGATCGTACAGTAAAGATAAAGATTATTAATAAATATAAAGTCCCAGTGACAAATAATTATTTATTTCCAGCAAACGAAAAGCCCGGGGAAAACATAGTAAACAGTTTCGGTTGAACAAGACACGGGATATCAAAACGGGAATTATACACCTACTACTACTAAGTCTGAATAATTTGGAGCCTAATATTGATTATCGTAATTTCAACGTATCAGTCACAGATTAGCATATAGATAAAAACGATTTAATCATCCCTTTTTTTTTTGAAGGTAGGTTAATGTTATAGAACTGCATTAGTAGGTGGATAACCAAGACATGTTCAACAATTCGAATATTTATTACAGCTACGTGTACCTAGAGAAATGATTTTTTATAAAAGAAACACAAGCGGGAATAGAACCTCCGAACAACAGCAGAACGTGGTGTTGCTACCAATTGCGTTTTGTCTTAATACTTTTACATTTAGAAGGTTATAAAAATACATACACATTGAAAACTTTAATTTTTATATGTTTTTTTACATTTCATTGCACATGATGGCACTATGTCATTTAAAAGTCGAAAATAAATTCAAAAAAATAAAATCGACTCGGGCAGTACATGAACCGACACCGTCAGCGTTCCGAGCTGTTAAAATTACATTGCGCGAGAGATGCATGTGTCAATAAGTTGAAAAAATTCCACGATGGGATGTAGGACTCGGTAGCTCAATTGGTAGAGCAATAGCAGGGAACGCTGACAATGCCGGATCAAGTCCTGCCCGAGTCGAACATGTTTTCATTTTATTTTATTATCAAATTTATCGCTTTCGAAATTTTTAAATAACATACACATTGTAGGCGATTTGTTTAATGTTGAGATGTTCAATGGACAAAGCCTAAGAGTTGTAATGTTATGGTCTAGTGTCGCTACGTGAAAATTACAGTATTAATGATAACTGAAAAGTGATCGCTGTCATGCGCATAAAATGTACAAATAAAAGCGTAATGAAACGAGTTTGCATACGAAAACAGCGGGACGTACGTTTGTGAGTCTATAGCCTTGTTATCGTCCTGTGCACTGTGTTCAAAATTGTTTGTTATGTTATGTTTGTATGAATACACGAGTACATCGCCTCTCGCCGACTGGCGGCCGACTGTCAACGATACACTGAAAGCCCTGAACTGCAGTGTTGCCAGCTTAAATTGCATTTTGCCTGAATTTATTTTTCCGCCGACGTAAGCTCTACTTATAATAGAGGTAAACTATAAAATATAAGATACAAGTTAAAATATCTTTCAAGTGATATTATTTACAGTTACAGATAATAAAAGGCATCGAGCAAAAACTTTTCTATGCGTGTAATGTAATTGCGTTTGGAATTTATAGTTGCAGGAAAGTATACATATAATAAGACAACAATGCTACAATATTTTTCACATGTTATTGCAAATGATGGCAGTATGTGAATTAAAAATGGATTATAAATTGAACAAAATTATGACACGTGCTCCTAGACATGATAGCTCAATTGGTTAGAGCAACAGCACGGAACGCTGTGGATGCCGGTTCCTGTCCTACGTGTGTCGTTTTTATTTTAAATTAATAATCTATTTTTCATTTAAACAAGCTATCCCCAACCGAAAAAAAATGATATTTTATATTGATGTTTCCGCACTATTATTATTTTTTCAGTGAGAGTTGCTGATTAATCAAATATTGCCACATCTGGCTAACAAGTCAAGCGCCTGGCAACACCGAATGCGGGGGCGTGTAAGTGACATCGACGCCAAACACATTCTAGCGTGGAAATAATAAAAAGTAGTGACTAACGACAAACACAAAAACACGACAAAATTATTTTAAAAAGTTATCTTGAAGAAATATTCAGTTTTAAATGTTTTGTTAATGATTGAGATGGCGTACAACTAATTATAAAGGCATACATTAGTATTTAAAATTAGGTCACATTGAGTAACGCACGTAGAGAGTGGGTTCCATAATGCGAATCCTGGTAAAACACATTACTTAGATACATACAATACAGTCTTTTATCACTTTACATTCTGTAAAGTGATAAAAGACTGTGTATAAGCAAATATAATTGCTTGTATTAAAATTGATTAGTTTTTCCGAGATTAAACAACTTTACTACTGAGCCAACGAGAACAACATTGCGTTACTTACTCTTTTTCTTAGTTTTTTTTACTTCTGTTGTTTGTGCAGACGAATCGGTTGCTGATATTACATCCTGAAGAAGTAATTAATATTCTTACAAGACAGAATCTATAGACTAAGATTTCTCGTCTTTCCTCGTATCTTTAAATAAGTATGTAAAAAGTAGATTTTGTTTTCAAAGTATATCTTCTTTTACTATCCTTACCTGACATGGCGTATTCATTACAAGTCGATATCTGTTAATTAATTCTATTATTTAACGTCCTGTAGTATATTCATTTCCGTTTCTAAATTAGCATTCAGAATTTCTTAATATTATTAATTTGAGATACATATAACCTGTATTTTAAATGTCATTGTAAAAAATTGCGTGCACCTTTCTTTTTTTTTAATTTATGGAAAAAATGGCCAGGTTCTTCGTAAGTCAGTTCATTATCTGTATTTTTCCATAGATTTTTTTTATAATCTGTATTATTTGAAACAAAGATAGACGTGGTTGTACTATATCTGTCAGCGTTGTGGTAGCAACAGCACGGAACGCTGACGATGCCGGTTCAAGTTCTGCCCGAGTCGAAAATTTTTTTCAATTTATTTTCGATTTTTAAATTGTATAGTGCCTTCATATGCAATAACACGTATAAAATAATAAAGTTTTCAAATGACTGTAGTTTTTAAATTATAAGAAAAAAAAAAAAAGGGTCAATTATTTTTTTAAGTCTTCTTACTTTCCCGCCTTGTTACTGAATTGTATTAAATTTATAAATATAAAAGATATAGTCTAAGTCTAAAAATAACCTGCTCACACAGTCTGCGATGTAGATATTTAGTGTAGTTAATTGCTGAGCAAACATGGAATTTGTAGGGGGCCGTTCAAGTATTACGTATCAGATTTATTACAATTTCCCCATCCCCTTGTCAGCAAAGTAAGCATGGACTAACGGTAAACTTTTTAAATAAAATAATTAGTGTAATATAATTACTTGAAGATTATAGATGGACTAACGATTGTCAGCAAATTTAAATGTCAATACTATGCATCTACTCTTATTGCGGCCTAGACGTAACCAAACGAGCCGGTAGCAAAATGTCAAACACGAACAAGATGAAGCCTCAAGGGATGTTCGTGTGACCATGATGTCTGATTTTTAAAGACTTGCTAACATAAGTGACTTGCTTAATTTGCTACTTTATATAAAAAAAAACATTTAATTAAACATTGTAGTAGATAATATAGGCAGAAAAGAATGGCTGCAAATATTCGTTTGATGAAAGGTGAAATACCCCCCCCCCCCCCATATCTGACCGCGCATCTCAAGATGCGCTATCAATCATCAATCTATGTTGGCTTTGATTATTCAGAAATACAGCAACCGAAACGCGATTAAACTTCACAGCTTTTTCATCTGTGGACGGTGGTTCGTGACCCGGACGGAATTTCGATATTTTTCCAGATTTCGATTCAGATTTACAAAGTCCAACGTGTTTCTGTAAAACAATAAATTGATAAGAAATATGTTACACATAGTGAGGACCGAACCGACTATCTTTCGATCATGTGCCATACATTGACATTAGACCAATGAGTCCGTGCGACGTGTCACAACAGTGATTGCACGTAAATATTTATAATAGAAATTCCAATTTGTAAACTACAAACCTATGTTTATGTTAATTGTTTTATAAAATACATCTGCAGCGCGAATCTATCTGTATCTCAGTCTCAGTAAAACGTTCATATTGAGTGAAACGTAAGACGTAAAATGATATATTTGAGGTCGATGTTATTATACATTTTTCTTTATGTTTATTGTTACCACAGTGTGGTCTCTCTCGCCTTGGTATCGGCAAATTTAAAGGTCAGTACTCTTAACTTCTTAATATTGATATCATCTCACAATCATTACACAATATCGATTGATATAAGTCCTATTCAGAATCAGTTCAATTATTTTTTTATTTACTGTTTTAGTATTTTGTATATGAAGGGTTCTACAAATGAACGTCTGTATAACATTTTTTAAATTATTTATATTAAATCGTTATTTATTACAAAAATAACTCAGTGCAGTAAAAATGGTAAAAGGAAGATAAGTCATTACTAAATAAAAAACGGCCGAACCGATTTTCACGACTTTTGATTAGTTATTTATATTAGTAGTTTTATGGAATTCCCAATATCCAAAACTAAAAATAGGTCAACAACGCACATGCGATTTATGTTGAGTGAACCCTATGTTTGTCTGTCCTCCTCAATAATAAAAAAAATGAAGCATTTAAATGCAAATCGAACTATAAGTACCTAGTCACAATAAAATGTATAATTATTTTTTTAGAAACAAAATGAAACCGGTATACTGACCACGTTGACGTTGATGTCTATACAAGATAGTACAGGAAACAATTCAGGGACCGAAATGCTTCGTTCACTAACTCGGGTTAAAAAGGCATCTGATGGTGAAGGTGACTAATGTTTGTTTTTCTTTTATAACGTAAAAGTTCTGTAATTAGAGAAGTTGTCACACTCTTTGCCAAAAATACTAAAGCTTAGGCCACAGATCATTTACAAATGAATCCTTGCAACCCTATACTAATAGTCTATTAATTTAAATGGAATATTGACTTGCAGAACTAACATTTTATTACTGATATTTTTTGATTAATACTTATTTTAACTTCGTCTTTTGTTTAGTACATTTTTGTGCGTAAACCTAGGTTTAGGTCCTGTGAAGCTCAAGAAGTGTGTAAATAATTTTAGTTAAATTTTGGGAGGCTTTCTTTTGAACCAGGACAGATTTGGTTGTCGGACCGGAAGTCGATTTTAGGTTGAAAAAAAAAGGGCACAGGCGCGACTTGAAACGGCATGCAGAGCGTTCCGTGTTGCTCTTCAATAATTTCAAAAACATTTCTCAATCTAAAAATATCATGCGAAAAATATTAAAGTTTCCAAACGGATGTGTGTTTATTAAGAGATTTTCTTAAGACCCATTATCACTATTCATTACTGGCGTTAGGTTTAAACGTATATTTAAAAGCAACAAAAATTTTACATTTCAATTGATGGTAGGAAAATTCACGGAAGCTGCGAAAATGGACCAGTTGAAACTCCTCCGGCTGATGCTGCAGAATTTCAAAAACACATGGAGCGACTCGTACATCGGCGGTTCTCATCCAATGCACCCGAACGTACCAAAGGCCTTCTCAAGCTTGTTCCTAGAAAAAATTATAAAATTCTTCTTTCCACCTGTCGGAGAAGATGCTATCAAACAATAGTCGAAGAATATATTATTATAACGATAACAGTTCACTATTTATACATTTGAGGCTTTTATGTGGAATATATATTTTTACTAACATTTGTTATTGATTCACACACAGCTATACAAGGAAATCGTTAAACGCATTGGCGGTCAATCAAATAATGTTGGGTAGCCCTTTCCTATATAAGAAAAATGAGATTACACTGTTATTTATGTAACGGTGTATATTGTTCATCTGCTACTGCATGTAAAACACAGCCTTAATATATTCTACAATTTCCATATTTTTTATAAGATAATAACGGGTCGAATTTTAATCACTACAGCGAAGTATTTTAGAATATTATGTATGAATTAGATTAATAAATGGATAAGACTTTAAAATGTAAGATTAGGAAAACAACAAATCTAATTAAATTATCACTAGAAGTGCCTTTTCAAAATATTTAATTTTATACATATTTAAAACTGTTTATTCTTTAAATTGCCAAACCTAACTGCGACTACTTTCAAAATCGTTGGTTTTGTAAAAAACAACTATCTATTTTTTTTCAAATTAGTTAAATTATCTTATCTTGTTCAAAAATTATTGTAATATTTTTTTAGTATTAATATTATTTAGATAAATAGATTGACTTCAAATCAATATGTACGACTGTACTACATTAAACGGGTCAACAATTTGTTTTGTTTTTCTTAACCTCTGTACGTGCACGCATGTTGCAAGACACGAGTATATTGAATACAAATTTTAAAGCCATATCTAGGTATTTTCATTCTTCGCATCGGGTGGGTGTTATTGAGTATATAAGCGCATTCATTAATGCAAGTACTCACATCTCGTCACTAGTGCCTCCAAGATGAAGGTACGAGTTCATTTTAAAGGACACTTGGTCCATTTATTTTTTAAATACTAGATTACTATAAATAGAACTCGTTGAAACTAGTTTGTTGGTTGTTGTTTATGTGTAAAATTGTAGGATCTGTGGTTAACAGAACTTTAGTGAAAGGTCGTTTTAGGTTGTGTTTTGTGCTTTTATAATAGAGGAAGACAGATAAGGATATGGTTAACTCGATGGCAGGTGATGCCATAACATTTCAACAAGATGTGCTGTCGATCTTCTTTGGTTCTGGATTCGGACTTCTACAGTCTGAAACCGAAACGCGATTAAACTTATCGGCCTTTTTGTGGGTGGTTCGTGTCCCGGATGGAACTATTCCCACCACCTATTAAATCTCCAGATTTTCAGACGAACATGTTTCAAAAAATATATAAATCGATTATAAATATGTTGGACTATACAGGGATCGAATCTATGACCCGTTGTTTATTAGCCAAACATTGCTCGACCACCGAGCATTTCAAGCATATATCGCTTTTTTATTTATTCAAGCTTTTGTAGTGAAGGAACATTAGAATTTTGATATAGTTAGGATTCAAAGCCACAAACAAAACCGTACTATAATAGATATATGTAAAACAGATGATTACAACTGTGCAATATCATTTCTAATTTAATACAGAGGTATTTAGGCTCTTATGTAAATGGATATATAAATATTAAAGCGTTTCTTTGTTCTCAGGAAATCATTGCATTGCTATGCGTCACGGTGTGCTGTGTCAATGGAGGTGCATTGGTTTGGCCAGGTGCCGTTCCGCTTGCAGCATCTGTCAGAACCATTATACCACCCCAAGTCAAGGGATTCGCTTACTCAACCAGCCAGTATATAAATTCTGTAAGTTGTAATAATAAAAACCCCAGTGAAGTGTGCACAACATCCACAAATAAGTTAAAATCGTTACGTTAATCCATATTTAAGCCAAAAAAAATCTTGAGTTTGGAAGGAACCCGTTCTAACAAGAAAAAATATGTATTACACATAAAGTATGTGAAGACTGTAAAATGAAACTTGGCGATAACAAGAGTAGCGACGAGTTTCTTGCCAGTTCTTCTCGTTCATTCTACGCCCTTGATTTGAGAACTGGTAGTAAATGTAAATTTAAAGTCTTTAGGTTTTAAACCGATATGACGTTCATAAGTGTACTTACTTACATTATATGATTTTTGACTATTGATTTTGATATTAAAAGTACACTGTCCTTTTTGTGTTAGTGAATAATATATATATTTTTTATTTTAAGGTGCCGCAATACACAGTAGGATATCAAGGCTATCAACCGCAGTATAATTACCAATTTCCCCAAGTAGTTTACCCTACGTATCCTGGAATAAGCTTGCAACCAGTCTTATCACCAGCATATTACCCCGGGGCGACTCCAATTTATCCCGCGGGTCCTATTGGCATACCAATTGCGCCTCCACCCTTCCAGAATCAGCCATCGCGACCTTTGCCAGTTGCTCCATCTCAAGAGCCTGCTGGTGATGAAGACACTGCTGTGGTTGATTCCGCTGACTTCGCGTCTGGACAGAGAGATCAACCTCAGCATGGATCTGCTACGCAGGGAACTGCCCCCCAAGGAAACCCAACTAACACCGGCTCTTACGATTCCAAGAATATGCCAGGATTCCCACAAATCCAACAATATCCTGATTCCCCTCAAATTCCCCAAACACCAGAGATACCCCAGATTCCGCAAATCCCAGATATTCCCCAAGTGCCACAACGTCCCGAAGTACCACAGATTCCGCAAATCCCTCAAATCCCACAAATTCCACAGTACCCATCCGGAGGCGGCTTTCCTCAATTCCCACAATACCCTCAGCCACCACAATTTCAACCAAACCCATCATACCCATCTGGTTCAGCGCCCCAAACCGGTTTCATACCATCGCAAAGTGGAAGCCAAAGTCTCAGCGATGAAGACACCGTAGCTGTAGAATCCGCCTGAATATTTAACGTAAACTAGATTAAATTTAAGAGCAGCAATGTGCATAAGTAATAATAAGTATTAGGCTGTGGTTTCATATAAAAGACGTACAGCTTAATCCATAGCTTTGTAATTACAACCAGGCCATAAAGAACGACAAAGCTTTCGGCGAAGCGAATAACTGTCAATTCTTGCGACATTGTGATTGTGTCGTGTGGTGTTCACGTCGCTAAGCTATGTCACATTTGTTACTTCGAGGGTTTTCATGTTCAAATTGTCCTATTTTGGTCAGAATATCTCACGCTCATTCCATCTTTGACACTGACGCTATACGCGACCTACGGCGTTTCTATGAGACCACAACCTAAGGATAGCTAAACCAGTCGAAACTTACATAGCAATGCAACGTATTAGGTATTCTGGTCATAATAATGCTGCAATTTTCAATTGGGTAATATTTTTATTGCGACCGATTGTAATCTATTGCATCCTTTTGATGTTATAATGTCCGTTGCATTTTTTATTTTTTATAAATAAAACGATAACTTTAAAATTATGTTTATTTCTCTTGACATAATCACCAATAACCTGGTTTCCGTTCGGGCAGCCATTTGTAATAATCAGTCGCTGTGGTGTTCTTTCCGGTGATTCCTAATGAGAAGTAGAAAATATATGGGAACCACATTGTGCTGAAGGAAATCGTTATGTTATATCCACCGACTCCTTGTACGACAGGTGTGACAAGACGGTTTGGTAGCATCACCCGAACGCAGGCTATGGTACATTCTATGCCAGCTGATAGCTAAAAAACGTATTTTATATAATAAATATACATTATGTGAGGAGAGAGAAAGTTAGATTACTAATGAATTAGTCAAGTTATTTTAAGTTTTATTTTATCTACGGCCCGACGCTTCGCATACTTTATTTACAGTACCTACCGTTGTCCCCCCGTGACCACAGCTACTAAGGTTTCACCTTTCAAGTCAACCTCATGCTTGCCCACCCTCTGTCATACGAAAAAGAAATTAAAATCCCTTTTGAATGTATGCACGACGTCGGTAAAAAACAAGTAATACACAATGATTACTTTTATTTCTACAATACTATTTAAATAATCTTTTTATCTAGAATATAATATAGATAGATTTTTTAGACTCTGTATTATAAACGGCAGAGAGTTTAAAACGCGATATATTTGCAAAGCTGCAAAGCATCCGAAACGTCGAGCCGAAGTTGAAAATCATTTTTCAAATAAGTTTAACTAATATATCGGGTTTAAATCGATAAAGTGTTTTATTTAAATGTGTACTACTCGAGTAAACTATAGACAGTATTTAATTAATGATATTTATAATCATATAATAAATATAATATAAGTTAATCTTACTTTGATAATAATGTTCAACTTTCCAGGCGGGTCTGCATTCACCTCAAATCTTTCACTATAGAAAAAAGCGGCTTGCTGCTGCTTTTTCATACTTTTGAAGCAAGTGTTTCCTGAAACGTACGTCCTCGCTCTCCACCCCTGCTTTTGTGGTTTCCTTGCTCGTAAATATTCTTTGTTAATTCCCATTCCTGAAAGTTATTACATGTTGTTACATTTAAATAATTTCTGTATTGGATATTAATAAGTATCTATGAAAATTCGATTTAAATTTTTAAAAATTACGACGCGGGCAGGTCTTGATCCGACATCCACAGCGAGCTGTGCTGCTGCTCTAACCAGTTGAGCTAACGTGTCCTAAATCAAATTATTCAATGCCGTGCTGTCAATGCCAAATATGTTTTTAATTATGCTATCAAATTTTAAACTATGTGAAAAGGATTGCATTTTACTTTTAACTTAAATGTAATAGGTGCATTTTCTTTCAAAACAAGATTTCTATCGCTTCCCCCTCTAAATTTAATCTTAAATACCGTATAACTTTTTAAAATATCAAATAAAGCTGTCAGAGATATATATTTATATATAGATAAAACAGAATACTAACTCGAACCACCGTCGACTAATTTAAAATTCTCTGGATACGGTCTCGGTAGGATGTGAGCACTGACAAAGTTAATTATCCAGCTAACATATGGATAGACATCTATGTAGAGGGGAGGTTCTTTATTGAGCCTATTTCTCATTGAACGTCTGATGCAAGGAGCACTTCCAGCAGCTATCCCCATTACTTGTACTGTTCCTTCAGGGGCATGGGTTACCATGGGTGCCCCGGGTCTAATACCACATCCAGAGCTACACAGGACATGAGTCACACCCTCACTTCCTAATTTCTGAAGGGGTATTATTAGTAGGATTATATAAAAGAAATTCTCAATGCACGATAGCCGAAATGTCTGTAGTTTACGCGCGTAGTACACATTTAAATAAAACTTTTACGGTTTTAAACAAGATATATATTAGTTAAACTTATTTGAAAATTATTTTAACTACGACCCGACGTTTCGGATGCTTTGCAACAGACCCTGCTTGTAATTGAATCTACTATATAATTATATTGCACTATATAATTTTAAAATTATTTAATTTAAATGTGTACTACTCGCATGCTATTATTACTACAATACAAACATAATTTTTTTAAACATTTATTTATTTACATTCAATTGTGGTTTTGTTAACTAATATATTTCGTATTTCAAACCGTTAAAAGTCCAAATACCAACTAGGGCGGATAAGATGGCGCTAGGGTAGAAGCTTTTACTTTGGCATTAGAGACACAAATATCAGTGGAATTGTTTTTCTACTTCTTGGCTACACAAATTGATATAATATTAAGTAATAGAGATACGATCTACAGAGATACTGTTAATGATTATCAAAATACTTTATTCAACTCGCACACTAAAAGGTAAGGTAAATTTAAAGTAGTAGGTTCCTTGGATCTGAACTCGGGACTTCTCGTAACGATAACGCGTTCAATCACTGAGCCACGACTGTCAGCGGCAGTGTGAGGTATATAACTTATCAATATTTATAATATTTAGTATAGAACAGTTTATTTTAATTAATATAACAGCAAGTTTTGCAATTATCAATTTTAAAAAATTACGAGTATATAGAAATATGTAAGTACTCACATTTCGCATTCTTTGCTTTCTGCACTCCTTGTGCGTGTAGAATTTGAGTGACTTTTTAGCCATTTTCTCAGAATCGAAGTCTCTTGGCACAGCTGTAATTATTAAATTGTTCAACTTATCAGATTAACTTGATGGTATACCCCAGCCTATAGCATCTAAACAAATCCACAGAACGGAAATCCACAGACTGAAACCGAAATGCGATTTCAAGGCTTTTTCATCTATCGGCGGTTCGTGACCCGGACGGAATTTCTATATTCCTACTTACCTTAATATCCAGGTTCTCCAGACGAAGCAAGAAACAAGTTGGTTCCGGTGGGGATCAAAACGATGGCCCGTTGGTTATCAGCAATACATTATTACTGTTACCGTTAAAAGTGCTATTTTATGCCATTAAACTATAGATAATACTTACAACTTATATAATCAACCATGAATATATATCTATTTCTTCGCCTCCGTCCGCGTTCTTCTATCGATGGTAGACATATCGGTATCATGTAATCTGAAAAGAAAATCCTTCCATTACACATTTTATGGCAATCATTTGATATCAGTGAAAAAAATTATTTCTGATTTAAATACTCGATGTTATAGCTCTAGAAATTGAGCAAAACAACGAAGTAATTTTTCAATGATGTGTAACTAACAAAAATTTTCGTCTCACAACTGAGCTCTCTCCTCTTCTCACTCATATATATACATATATATCCTGGTTGGGTACGCTGTAACCCCTGGGATAATCTTAGTAACATGGAACTCTTACTGCAGCCGTGTGCAACCAGAAGGACTACGAAACAGTTTGTGCTAATTACTACTGTTACTACTGTAGAGTTAATTAAATACTTACGAGATTTAATAGGCCTTAGCAGTTTTATAATAGCCAGACTGTTACCGACTCCAAACCTAAAGAAATGGATGTGAAATAAAATTAAAACATTATTTTTTATGTCGTGTGCTCTCAAATCTTTTAAGACTTCCTACGCAAGAAGAGCTGGAAGAAGTATTTTTATATATCAGCTGATCCAGTAAATGTTGATTTGTTCTAACAAATAATTGGTAATAATGCATGAATTTCGACCACATGTGATTACTATAAAAACGGTTCTTGAAAGTTAATCTTAAAAGAGAGGCATATACGATCGCCATTTTCTATATCATTAATTTACAGAGAGATGGTTCTTTTACACATATATTTTGGTTTCTTGAACCATTTTCCCAGCGGACGCAACGGATGTAAAAGATAAATAGATTTCCTCGTTTTTTCCAATTTTCACTGATTAATTGAAAGTTTGATTGTAAACTAATAATTTTCATGTCAAATCTATATAAAACATCGTTATCCTTAAATCTAGATTACATTTTTAATTATTTCATTTGGTTGATAAGTGATAAAAGGTTACAAAGCAAAATTTAAGTCTTAAAGTGACCTGGAGCGGAGGTTACCGTGAATCTACCGGTCGGCGCTGGTAAAGCTACCAGAAGACAACGCTGTATTCCCAAATATTAAGGAAGACCTACACGTTTCTACCGTAATACATACCTAGAGTACTCCGGATGAGGACTTATATCAATAAGTGGAATTTCCAAGTAGGCACGAGGGCATTGTACCCCCATTTTCGTTTGTGTGTAGGTTAGCCCACAATCCTCCTCATCTCGCACATAATCGCCAAATAAAACGTTGCCACTGTAAAATACTCAAATGTCTTGTTTGTATATATGTACAAAGAGATATAACAATTAAGAATATTAAGGTTTAATTAGATGTTTATGAAAAGTAAGTATAATAAAAGAAAACACTGCTAACGCAACTGCAGCTATATGTTTTTTTTCTAAACAATTTTTTTATTTTTTATTAAACGTGTTCACATAATTTTTTTTTAATGGCACCAACAACGACATTCTATGGTGTTTGAAAGAGATTGCGTATAAAACTCGTTCGACATGGACCAAACACATTTCTGTGTACCTACGTAATAATTACCAGTAAGCTGAAAAAATTTAAAATCTAGTTCGGCATCTATAGCGTCCCGTGATGTTTCTCTAACCAACAATCATCATGTGCAATAATATGTATAATAATAAAATATTGAAGTTTTCAAAGATAAAAATAAAAGCATGGCCTGCTTTGAACTTGACTTATTTGATTCAAATAATCTACTTACAGCTTATAATTCTTGGGCAGATGAAGCATATCAGTCGCTGTACCCAGGGCGAATTGCCTATGTATGAGAACTACTCTTGGCGCCTTGCTGTGGTGTGGAAGAGAGGTAGTAACTGAAAAATGATTTATCTTCTTTTCTGTGCTCGTTGCCATAGTATATATTTTTTTCTAATTGTGTAATCCAGTTTTGGCTAATGTGCAGTTTTAAGTATGTACACTATACATGTATACTAGTGGGAATTGACATTCCCTAAAATAAACAATAAACAATAGCCGTGTTCACGGACGGCGTTTTAAAGTGTTAAGTGTTTAATTAAAACACTTAAACTTATTTGGAAATGATTTTTAACTTCGGCCCGACGTTTCGTAAGTTTAACTAATATATCGCGTTTTAAACCGTTAAAGTGTTTTATTTATGTTTACTACTCGCGTAAACTATAGACAGTGTTAAGTGTTTTATTGATCAAATTATAGATACTGCTTACCGTGAATATACTGTACAAAACCGAGCCAGGGAAAGGTGTGCTCCTTTAAAACCCCGTCTGCTGGTTTCATATTGAAGTCATCCTGGCACGAGGCGAAGTCGCGTATCATGCTAATTATCTGTGGTACATTATCTAAACGAAAAGAAAATCAAATCAGAACCGCTCCTATTTCTTAATGGCGAAGAGTAAAATTCCGGAAAAATAGAAAATTGAGCAAATTTTTATTAGTTATTCAGGCAAGGGACAGATAAAATACACTATAATAAAATCGAATAATGAAATGAGAACACAATCACACACACACATATGTGTTTGTCCCGTAGAATAATCTGGAATTTCACACACGCTTAAAATAAAAGCAAAATTCTTTAACGCTTTTACGATTAAGAAAATACTTACAAAATAATAATATAACAGAGGCACGCAACATTGCGTCTTATCTTTAGCCGTAATCGACGATATTGAGATGCATCACGAAGAACTGTTTGTAAACAAAGCAAGTTTGTAATCTGAAAAATTCATAATAGCAATAATAGAATTCAGAAAATACCATCACACAAATGCGTTTAATTTAATATATGTCGTTTTAAATCGTTAAAAGTGTTTTATTTAAAAGTGTGCTACTCGTGTTATCTAAAGACTATACCTGACTACTAACTACATTCTGAATAACTATTGTACTTCTTTGTCTTTGACTTTTAGCTAAGGTTAAAATATTTTGTCGGTAATTTGAGTCATTGTGCGATGTACATATTATATAAAAAAATTGGGGAATTCGATCATCACACGACGTGCTATCAGCTTAAATAGTAAACTCCATGGTTTAGTAGTCAAGTCCCTCTTGTCATTTATTTATAATAAATAAATTTCAAAGTAAAATATTCTATTGATGATAAAATGACAGTTTTTTCTTATTTATTTGTATATGCAAAGAAACGATACTAAAAAGTCTATGTAAAGCACACTAGAATCTTAATAAAGCTAACTATATTAAATAAAATCAACTTTATGGTCGGACATATCAACTTTTAAGCTAAACGGTTTTATTTTTGTGCACTGAAAAATACAAAAAAATTACATAATCATCGTGTTTTACTAGTGTAGCCTTTTCATTAAACACCCTTATCCGCCATTTTGTATGGGTGGCCATCTTGGATTTATAATATTATTGATTTTATTATATTGTATTTTCATCTTAATTAAATATATGTGCCAAATTTCAGAGCAATCTGACAGCGGGAAGGGGCTTAAATTTCGATTTGTAATTTTGACCCAAATAAATAAATTCTGTACGGGTCAAGCTAAATAAAACAGTTTAAAAAGGAACATTTCTATTCTTGATTTGCTTTACGTAGTGCTCGACGTAACCTGTTTTTTCGGCTTTGAGTATAAATTAATTTAATTGCTTAAACATTCTAGTCTACACTTAGTTAACCAAAAGAAAATCATGTTTTTTTTTGTAGACCTTTAAGTTTGTTTTTTCTTGTAAAGATAATACAGCATCTATAATATTACTTTAATAACAAAAAACATATTAAGATAAATATTTTCTCCAAAAAACTATGCACCTCCAAAAAAAAACAAAAAATTATAAGGAACAGTAGAAACGCAGGGGAGTCATTTACTCTAAAGAAATAATTACACTATAGTATTTTTTGCTTACGTTTTCAATTTACTGAGTTTAATATAGTGATTAGTTATTAAATTTAAAAATACCGTCAGATAATAAAGACAGGAAAATATAAAAACACATTACGATTCAATTATTTCCTCCACTACATAATGTTACCTTTGTAATAATGAAGGTTGTAAAATAAAGGTGGTTTTAAGAAGAATTATTTATTAATATTGTAATTTGTAAGGGTTTCTACTAGCTAGTCGAAAAAAAAGCTTTAAAAATTCTCCTTCTTTTAATTAAATTATAAAAAATGATTGTGCTATAACAATCCTAGAATCTCTTTCCATGGTAAAACTCGAAGACGAAATTGGCGGGGGCTAAAAGGCGGTTCCTAAAATAAATTTCATGAAGCTCATATCTGTTGATCGTGTTCATCATAAGGATATAGACGATACCTTGGCAGTAGTATATGGGCAGCCTGCCTTTGAAAAACATGTACTTCGTGGGAACGTAGACTTTTATAACGACGCACTGATGTGTATATTGTTGAGAATTTTTTCTTAACAGGAGCTGAAAAAAAAGGTTCAACAATTAGTGCAATCTCAAAATTTTATCCATGTTTTGCGCTGGATAGATAAAGCAAGGCTAAATTAAGTGAATTCAGGAAATTTATGTTATTATTACAAGAATAACATGGCGCGTGATTGTAGTACAACAAAGTATTACGTCCTCTGATAGAACCTCTCCCCCTCTTGTTTATTGGAACACATTTAAATTATTTCCTCAAAACTGTCTACTAGTGTCAAGTCCCAACGATCAGCAAAGGTAGCACCTTGTGTCTGTCTGTCAGTCATCAGAATGAGCAATAATATTATGATCTGTTGCAAAGATGGTGGTTTAAATTTATGTGAAGTTATAAATAAAACACTTTTAACTGCCTCAAATTCGAAATATATTAGTTTACTTATTTTTAATGTATTAACTGTGGCCCCACGATTTGAATGCTTTGTAGCAGCCATGGCCACAAGAGGACACCGTTAAAAAACGCCGTTTGAAGCAATAAAGGAGTTTTATTAAAATGTGTAACTATAGGCAATATCTAAATATTGCCTATAGTTACACATATAGGCTTTTATAACTTCTTGGACTTACATAAATATAGTTGACTTGTGTAGTCCTAAAAGTGGGGAACGTAACATTGGCGGATTTCTTCAAGTAAGTTGGCAAAACCATATCCCGAGAGCACCAACCAAACTTGTATATACTGTTAAGAGTGTCTGAAAATAGGAGGATATAGGATATTTTTTCAATTTTAAATTAATTTTTCTTTTTTCACTGCCTAGACCTCTCAAATATAAATAAAAATATACTTTATTCTCTATAACAATATAAAAAAAATAATTAAATTAGCTTACGCGATCTCCTACTATTGTATAATGAAGCCTGTTTAGTATCCTATTCTTTCAATTTTCAATCTTTCTTAAATTACGACATCTAGTAATGTTGTAGACACTTGCCTCGTGGTAAATTTTCGTCATCGAAAACTCTGGCGAATTCGTCCAATTCTCCTTCTTCATCGTCGCTTCTTAGGGCGTATAGCGCTTGGTTAGCTGGTATCGCCCTCCACGTATCAATTATACCAACTAGATAATAAAATTACAATAGTCTTAGCATCAGACAAATCTGTTACATCATCTTTAAAAACTTAACTTATTCGATATCTTTGCCTACTTAACGTTTTATAATGCGTTCAATGCTTTATAACCAATGAGCCAATGAAGACCGTCATAAAAGTAGCGTTAGATAAAATTAAATAGTTAATTATAATGAACTGCATATTTTGACGCCCATATTATAAATTAAAACTCGATTATAAATTTAAAAAAAAATACGATATGGGCCGGATTTGAACTGGTATTCACAACGTTCGATTATAATCGATTTTTATTTTATGTAGTAAGTGCCATCATGTGCAATGAAACACATGAAAATTATTAAAGTTATCGCACATATATGTCATATTCTAATTCGTCATTCCGATCTAGTAATCTCCCACAGTTGGCCCCACAGGTCTCCACTGTAACAGTAGATTTAATATAATACAATACTGATTCAAATAAAACACTTTTGACGCATTAAAACGCAAAAGATATAACTACACTTATTGTTAATTTAATTTTAACTACGATCCGACGTTTTAGATCTTTAAAGTATTTTATAGTAGGTTTATTTTAATGTTTATTATTCGCGTAAAGTACAGACAATACTGAGTTACATTTTACCCAACCAGAGATTCGAACCCTGGACTTTATTCTAATATTAAAAATGTACGTACCACAGAAAATAAGTATTAAAGTAGAATAAATTACACCTAATCTGTCGCCAATTAAATTCATTATCGACACTTCGATCTGATGCTAAAAGTTCTATTGAAATGACAAACAGACACTCATAGAGAAAGAGAAATGACAATTAGACATTCAACAACGTTGTTTTGGAATCAACAGGAATGATAACACAAATTTTCAATGCACACCAATTTATTTCTTGTATAATATCCACGTATTTTAGGCCAATCGTAACTTAAATAAATACACCTAGAAATATATCTCTACAATAATCTCTCTTATAACACTTATAAATAATACTTTGTAAAACTAATATAATAAACTTATACTAAAATACAAGTTTTAATTAATTTTATGCAAGTCAGTAAATAAAATAAAAGTGTTGCTAATATGTAACGCATTTTAATCTTTACTAATATTATAAGTAGAGATTGCTTATTTTAACGCGGTAATCTGAGTAACTACTGGTTCAAATTGAAAAATTATTTATGTGTTAGATAGACCACTAATCCATGATAACTATAGGCTGTTTAACATCAAGTTGCGACTGTAGGAGGCTCCTGTGTTAAATATGGGAGCGAAACAGAGGAAACTGGAAAAAAGGGGAAAGTTATTGCATGACACTGTCTAAGAAAGAAAAAAAATTGTATGTAATGATTCTTCTTTAAATTATGAAAAAAAAATGTATCACATATATACACAGCATATGTCTGTCTTACTAACTAATGGTTGATGAAACTTACGAATTATTTGTAAAAGCTGTATCAACGTCGTAATATTAATTCTGCAAACAACAAGACAACGTTTGCCGGATCAGCTAGTTTGTTTATAAATTTTGAATAAAATAGGAACGTCAAATAGTAGTTTATTATAATTATCCAATGTAATCCAATTAAATCTGTTTAAAATGTATTATTTCATTAACGCAATTTAAAATGAAAATCATTGCGTGTTAATTTCCTGAAATACTCGTAACACTTTCTCTCGCATTACTCGAACGAAACTGTGGTTTCATCAATGTCACCCACAAGTGACGCGTTATAGGATCGCAGATGATAAAATAAACAAATAAAACAAAACCTTGCAACGTCGACGTCAAACAGAAAAAGTAGGACCAAATAAGATTGTTTGTGAATGAAAATATCCCAAATATCCAAGTCAGCCCTAAGAGGAAGAAAAGAAATATCGACAACCTCAATTGCGCCCCAATCAAATCTATATCGGCAGATCTCATCTTTCCATCGGGCCCATGCGATATCGCGTAAATAACTGAAATAAATAATATGACATTTATCAGCAATATAATACATATAGGTACAATAACAGTCACAATCAAGTAGAACCCTGATGGATAGCATATTCCATAATCATTGTTACCTGAAGACGAATTCGGAATGTAATTGTTAGGCTTCAATATTAATATAGAAGCGACTGGGAAAATGGGAATACCCCAACCTATAAGGGTGAATTTTATCATGAACCTAGAAGGTCGGTAGACTCCGAGTACTCTAACGTATCTGATAAATTGTAAGGCGGCCGTTATGAGCATCCACATAAAGCTTGCTAAAACCGAGTAATGGAGTAACGCACCGAGGAAAATACAAATATATTGTAATCGATCGCTACCGAAGTATATGCCCTTGTCGTCCTGGAAATTTTGATCTGCTAAGTTGAATACAATAATTATTATCAATGGTAAAGCGATGGCTGCCGTCAAATGTAAAAGAACTTTGGAGCCAGGCTTTTTTCTCCAAGACTGAAAAACGAATGCCGTTAACCATATCCCGGCTATACCCATTAGCGATAAAAAACTTCCAATCAGAGATATTATATTTAATGGTTTAGAATGTCTACTATTAATATCGTCAACGTCTTCCATAATTCTTTCTCGAATATTAATCAATTGACCAAAGTGAGTAAGGTGGTAACAATTGCATACACTTATACTGTTCACTGTTTTAACGAGATAGCAGCCCCTGTTCGACCAAAAGCCAGAAATTATTTTATTTACCATAAAGTCCCAGTAGCCGCATGCTTTCTTGAAGTCAGTTTTATTTAAATTTTTAAACACTAAAGGTATAGGATGTTTTAAATTAGGTATGAATCCTGGAATAGTAACCCCCACTATTCTGCTATTTAATTCGAAATAAGTCGGATCTAGAGCTTGAAATACCGCGTCATTATAATAAATGCTTATTAATATCCGAAAAATTTTATCAGACGCGGTTCTATTGGTTGTATTATTTGAATTACTAACTAATGTATCCATTACATTCTCAGGAATCCACGTTGCAACCTCTAAACCTTGTATTAATAGTACGTCTTCATACGTAGTGTTTTTGTATAACGGAATTATTTCCATGTCCAGAAAACTGCTGGAGTTTCCAGTTTGTTTTATTGCCATGCCTGTCACATTCTTTGTTATGGGACAACATATTTGAATTATGAATTGCGGCTGTTTAGCAATTTCGTAACCACTGCTTTCTTCTTTTAACAAGCTGGACGTATTTTTTTCAGCCAGCCTTTGTATAATTTCCCCAACTGCATCCAAAATCACGTTTGTAGAGTTTAGTGTTTGCGCTAATCGGAGATATGAATTATCGAGAATCATTACTCTATTCATAATCCAAGCTATGTTCGAAATCGTGCCCATATCTACTGAATTTTCATTCCCTTGAGCAATATTTACAAGTTGTTGTAATGATATGGAAAGATAATAAATGTCAGCCGGTATAAATATGCCAAGATCGTTTAAAACGTATCCAAGACCATCCGTAAGAAATCTAAATGTATCATTGGCGGGCATTCTGCCTATATAAAACGTGTACAGAAATGTTGTTGTGTTCGAAGGAGAATAATTTTTATTACAGACTCCTTCAACTTTGCCCCAAGTGCTTCCTGATATATAGGATCCTAAACAGCGTCGTTTGACTGGTAAGCCATTAGCTTGCAAACAAAATTGTTTTGGAGCTGCAATATGACCGATCGGTGTAAGTTCCCATTCCAATGTTACACCTTCTGAACACGATGTCGTTGGTAAACAATACATTGAGCTAGAAATATTGACGAATGTAAAGTTATGTAGAGATAGATCAGTTTCAGCAATTTTTCGCATTCTCTCATATAGAGCTTTGATATTGCCTCCTTTATCATCGTATATGTTTTTAATTGGCATATGCAAGTGTAAAATAAATGACAATTGTTCTGAATCATATGTAAGCATTGTCATCAGGAGTACTTTTTCGGCATTGAAGATTACTGTAATATTTGCACATATGTAATCCATTATGTCATCTAGGTGATTTCTTATTTCATCGTCAGTAAGAAAAACTTCAAGCGCAAGTGAAAAAACGTGCGTATCATTGCCTTGAGGATTTGCAATCACCACTTTTGTTGAGATTAATGAAAAATTGTTTGTGTGACCTTCACACCAGTATTGTGCCGAATGATCTGTTATTAAGTCAATTATATAAACAATTTTTTCTATAGTTTTAGTCTCATTAGTTACTGCGTCGACTGCATTGTCTTTTACTTCCATGAATGGAAATTGATTTATGTCAATAACTTTGACCAAGCCCTTTGCATCGGAAAAACATTGAATACCTGTATCGTTTTCATAATATTTCCATAAGCCTGAAGGATGATAAACGGTCAAATACATTTTATTTTGATTTTGATTGTACTCGAAATACAATTCAGTGTTTTCATATAATACTTCCGACCGACAAGCTAAGCACGGTAACGTTGTTCCGTCTCTTTTTTTGCTTAGGCGTAATGATCCTTCATTATTTATAGAAACATGAAAATCAGAAAATACAGATTCCAAGATACCTATATCATCACCTATATGTTTGAAGAAAGATGTTGAAAACCAACACCATGTATCTTGTGATAAACCATGAGAATTTGCCAATTCTTTATAGACATATCTGCTTAAATCATTGTCCAGATCGTCACCCATAGGGGTACATTGACTTGAATGGTTTAAAAAATTTTCGAACGTTAAATTTTCTTTACGCATTTCTATACCTGCACATATACTTTGGTCGGGGGTAAATCGAACCCCCTTATAGTTCTTTGGACATTTGGCCGGATAATGAATGTTATTTCTGTAAAAGCACAAAGATGGATATTCCAAGGTGTAGCGTTCTGAAATAACTTCTTCTTTTTCAATGTCTAATAGGGCATAAAAATTGAAAATGCACGCTCGAATCCGTATAAAATTGTTGCTTTCAACGTTACGACGCCACATTTTGCCTGGCGTATACCAAAGAATTGGATTGAACAGCCTCGGTCGACGTGCTGGTAACCAATAATATCGAGAAATGTTCATCTCTTTCAGGGTCGTCAAAACCGATTGGGCATCTTCATCACTAAGATTTGTTATGACCGTTGCACCACCACCTTGTAAACATGGATAACTCCATATACTTGCCTCCTCGACCTTGAAGCAGTATTCGGTATTACTTTCGGAGATTTTTACAAAACCAGGTGAACATGAGATATTTCGTAAGTCCGGGATGTGCAGAGATTCAAAACAAGGAGGTAGATCTTGTGCAGTAGGAATCCAAGTATTATTCACACAATTTCTAGTAATGATTATCGTATCTTGGTCGTAACACAGCGGATTTGACTTAATATCTGTTCCTTCCTCACTTTGTGGCCATCGCACCGTCAAACCTTTGTTGGTAACTTCTTCAGAACATGTCTGCAAAATATCGATTTAAATCAGGACGATTCGCAATATACTTATAAAATTAATTATTACGAAACACAACATTACCTGCACACTTGGCTTAGGAAACAATAAAAATAGCAACACGTATGTTAAACTGTCCGAAAAATAAAACAAAATCATTGTTGCGGACTACGTTAAGCTTTTAAACAGCGGCCACCATCTCGCATATTGGGTTACTGTGATTTGTGTATGGCTTTATCAGGGAAGCTTCCGAGTAAAACAATATTTTTGCATATACATGCTGATGTTTATTGTATTGTTTTGCTATCGCTACATTTTTTTCTAGAAAGTCCATGAACAGACAATGACTAGGCTATTGTAATAAATTGTTTATAAATGCTTCATATTTATATAGGAGTCAATTCTAAATATCACACATTTTACTTTTGCAGTGCGTCGGTTTAGCAGTCTAATTATGGATCAGAAACTGATAATGTTTTGCGTTTTCTGGAATTATGGTGAGTTGATTTATGAATAGATAGCATGAAAATTTTAAAAATAGGAGACATTATTTTGTGTAATACTGGGTAGATCTTATATTACCTCTCAAACTGAAACGATGGTATGTGATGACGATGATGGATGACTAATCGCACCAGGGAATTCTCATTTCTGAAAATATGAACAAGGAACTTCTAAATGCGCATTACAATTAAAAATTTTTATACGTTTTTTCCTTCCTTTCAGTTGCTCAGTGTTACAGCTGGCAATATTATACAGCACTCAGTGACTTGACCTTATCTAATTCTCCCAAGCAAGAGGGTAAGTACTAATTGAATATATGCCTTTCTTAGATAAATAGATTTCTTTAGGTACCCCGAAAAGTTTTGGCTGAAAGAAGTAAACCCGATTAAGACCATACAAATATTAAGACCAATTTTTTTTTACTTTATAGCAAAAGTGTAAATAATATTGAGTTTCAATTTAAAATATTTCCTTTCTGTTTTTAGAGAAAGTTCACAGTGAATATATCTTTGGTAACTGTAAACGTCGAGATATAAGATTCCAAGCACACATACATAAAGATCACATGGAAGTTTTGGGAAAAATCTTCTTACGTGTAAGTATATTTTATTACCTTTTTTAAACACAATATTGAAGACTTGGGCCATAGTTTGAACGAACAACGTCTTTACGACGTTCAATCTATTCGGCTCTTCTCTAATTATTGTTCTCAAAGGTTTTTATTTGATATCTGTAAAGCTTGACTCTTTTTCTTAAAAATTGGATTTTTATAATATACCTTTATAATGACACCTCGTTGAAGAAGTGAATTTAAAAATATAATATTACATTTACAGTATAAATATTAAATACAGTAAATACGAAAATTTCTGCTTAAAACCCTCGTTTCAGGCAAGCAGATGAACTTTACATTTACTGTGTCCGTTTTAAAAATCTAATCGGGTACTGGGGAAAGAATGGCCCCGGCACCGCCCAACGACGAGAATTTGGAAAGACAGGAAGGTACAGTTTGAAGACGGGCTGTCCGAGTCGTAATTTATTTTGATTTATTCTTGATTTTTAAATGATGGCAAGTATATAATTTAAAAATCCGCCCGAGAAATATACTGTTTCACAAAATGGACATCGGATAGCTAGGTAACACGGCTAACCAGGCGGTCATGTACTATAAACTGGATCCTTAATTATAAATATTTTCAGGGCTGGTTGAAGATAAGAAGAATCCCCACGTGCATAATCCTTCGAGCAACTTCTTACGAAGAAGATATGTTCAGAAGTACCTCATACAACTTCCAGATGTGTGTGCCCAGGATCGTATATTGTCACTCACAAGTGCGATATAAGTACTATTATTACGAATGGTATATACCAAACGATATGGTTGGTGGGATGAACTGGGATATATACTTTTACGGACCTACCTATCTGACATGGCAATAACTACGAGGTGACAAAGGCTTAAAATTCTCTGCAGGATTTTTTATTTATTGGGACGGACCTAAACTATAGAAGCATGTGCGGTCATTTAATTGTCAGCCCTCGCGTACTAGTATTTCTCTAGTAGATCTTGTCAGTAAGAATATTATAGTTATTACTTTAAACTTACAAACATACTTGGAACCTTGAACATTATTTTGACAAGCTTCGAGATAAATCGAACTTGTACTGGTCGAGCAACAGCTGGCAATAGTTGTATGAAAATTTATTTTTTTAATTCATCAAAATCATATTTGTCGTGTAATTTGAAAATGGAACAACAAACTCTTCATTAGGCGACGAAAGAGGTAACTTATGACAGGTTTAATATAATTTTCGAGCTGGCTTGCAAATAGACAGCTGTTTAAGAAAAAAAAAAGGGGGGGGAAAAATTTTTTTTAAAATTTCTGTATTACCTACTTATTCTATTTTTTTGAAAAAGTATACTAAGCCTTGGCCTCAACTAGGCATTGAAGGACGTTCGCACGTTCGTCCATCAATGCCTGTTTTACCATACTTACAATACTTCTTATTCATAATCATATATATTGATTAAATTGCATATAATAAAAACCTCACCCTGTAGAAAAGGTGACAACTGTAATCAGTTTATTAACAGCATTGACACTCACCCACGCAACAAAAGTTTTGATATCGAAAACCATATACAGATGTAGCGAAGTATATATGTCCAGAAGATAGCCTTTATCATGAGATTTAAGAGATAACGCTCTTAGTTGTGTCAATATATATGTAGTATCAGTTATTAGTTTTGTTCTCGACTATGTATTTATTTGGCGCGACATATTACAACTGTTGTGAATATCATGTGATGTAATCATGTTTTTTTCCGATGCATTTATATACATTAAGTCCAATAGACGAAGGTCTTACACTTAATGTCGCGTTTGAAACCGTTGAAACTCTTTTATTTATTTGTGTAGTAATTAATTGAATTACCTAAAAGCTTTCGGAAGGCCTAAAATGATTTGTCTGATCTTAATATTGTAATGAATTAGGCATTTAAGTTTACTTTCACATAATTTGTATCTTATTTTCTTTAGCAGTGTTGTGCATACCTTTAAATACTTAATCGTCACATAAGTTAATATTTAGTTTAAATATAACACTTTAACGGTTTAAAACGCGATATATTACACGGGGAGACTCCCCGTGACCACAACTGCTCCAAAGCATCCGAAACGTCGGAACGTAGTTAAAAATAATTCTCAAACAAGTTGAACGAAAATATATCGCGTTTTAAACCGTTAAAGTGTTTTATTTAAATGTGTTCTACTCGCGTAAACTACAGACAGTATTTAATATTTACTTGTTTAAATTTAAGCATGCCTCTTTGAAAAAAAATTAAGCAGTTGCTTAGAAAAACCTTTAAGAAAAAATATTTGTGTAGAAACATTACAACCATCTAGTTATATTAGATACATACGACAAGCAATTTACATAACATGTGTGAGGATTTCATTTGTATTTTCTCGATAAATTTCCGAGAAAAAAATGTAATATCCTTTGACCCTTCGACAAGAACACACCTCCTTTTTAAAAAAACTTAAAATATACAAAAAAAACAAAAAGATATTGTTTTATTTAATGCTGCAGATATATATAACGCAGCTAATGATATTTTAAATAATACGAAAATATTAAGAACTGTTGAAAAATAATTTATTTAAAATAATAATCACTATTTAATACTTACATATCAAAGTACATAGTAAAGTACAATATGTCGTCGAAGACTTATTTTAATATATACAAAATGAATATTTATATTTATTTTATATGTTTAAATTAATATGAGCATTTCATTGAGTCATCGATACAGCACAGTAAATATGTATTTGTATTTATAGTTATAAGTACAAAATTGAGTGATTTCAGATTTTAATATTAAATATTTCATACATAAAAGCAATATAACTTTAGTACAACTAAATTGAACCGATTGGCTTTACATTGTATGAAAAACATGCTTATAAAAACCTATGCAGCATCAGGTTTTAGTCCTCCTTGAGGCAATGGTGGTGGTGGTACATTAGGAATAGCCGGATCCTTCGAAGAGTAGTTAAGAATGTTTAGATCGCTAGGTTCTGATGGCGGTTGTGATGGAGCAGGGCTTTCCGGGGCCGGTGACGGCTTTGGAGCTTCCTTGGGAATTGAAACTGGTGGCAGAGGAGCTAATACATTTGGGAGAGGTCGGTACAAGGGGAAATTGGCGTAAGGGTTAAATAAGAAGGGATCGTAAGAGTCATAGAAACGCAAGCCCGGGTAGGAATAGGGGAATGTATTTATCTGTGTGAACTCGTATCCGGAACCGAAGTTTCCTAAAGGCAGAACCTGGGGAGGTAAGCCGAATTCATTGAGCGGTATTGGAGATTCGGTTTTCGGTGGCGGTGGTGGTGCTTCTGTTCCTTGGTTGCTGTCAGGTTGTGGGTTCGGTGCTTCCGGAATTTCTTTTTGTGTTTCATTGGGTTCTTCAGAGGATTGTGGAGGTAATTCTTCTTTAGAGATTGAATCCTTTGGAACGGCTGATGGCGGCAATGCAGCGGGTGGCGGCAGTAAATGCTGAAAATTACACATGAAACTTGTATAAGTATTTGTGAAATTTAAAGAAGTAATGAATAGTACAATAGACTATAAAAGTTGTGGTAACTACTCTTGTTGTAGATACATTATATTTAAATAATACTTTATACGATAAATATTGTTTTAAAAATCAAGGATGGCCGTTTTAAAGCATCAAATCTTCTTTTAAAATTAAAAATATCTATTTAGATAGACACATTTAAATTGACAGTACAGTGCTACTTAGGGTTTTCGTTTGCTGTTTTGCGTTTCTTATCATATAATTTGTAAACTCCCTTTACAATTAGTAATTAGTTGTGAATGTTCAAGTACTTATTGAGCTCCAACTCTTACATTTGTCAAAGGTAAGTCCCCATAAAAGACTGGCTGCAGTGGAAACGGAAAGGCAGCGCTGCGTAGTACTGGTTGGTATACTGGGTAGGCCTTGCTTGGTTCCAGATTCTGGTTCGAAGTGATCAGAGCATTGTACACCTTGGGGATCCTCCCTGGAGTTGGTTCAGCTAGCGTCGTGATAGCGAAGCATATCAACTGTAACGTGGATTAGATTTTAGATTAGTTTTCTTTCACAGATCAATTTATCAAACCCACATTGTACCAGTCAACTAACAACAATGCTAGCTATTCCCATCATAAAGAAAGTCGAATATAATACTTCAGCTGTTTAAAACGCTAATTAAGATACTTTATTCTTTATTTGGGCCTGGCGTTTGGGATACCTATAAGGTATCGCGAATACAAAGTACCCCCAAATTTACAAATGTTTTGACCCGTTAAATGTGTTTTATTTAAGCGGCAGTTGCAAGGATAAATAAAATGGGCTCTTTGAAACCTTATAAACATTGTAACTCGAACTATAACCTGAACAAAATTTCTTTTATATCTAACTAGATTTAAACTATACCACCATGAAAAATGCCCTCAATCTATAGGTACTAACATTATTTAAATTTGAATTTCTAAAGTAAAACACGTAAGAAATTGTTATATCAAAGTTGATGGGAATAAAAAAACAGCAAAAGCTATACAAATTGATACGTAGATAGTATTCATTGTAGATTGTTACGTAGAACAAGTGCACCCAGATCTCGTGAGTTCTTACACTGATCAGACAATAACGGCTTCAATTATTTATGTCTAATGGAAGTGTGCAATTTCCTTAGATCTATACTCAGTACAAACCTGTTTAATGAATAACATTTAAGTCTATAAAGAGAGCAATTACGAATCGCCTTGAGAAATATAATAAGCCGTTTAATCTTTAACGATATTGAGACAATATTTTCGTGTGTGTATATATAATATAAATTTAATAAAGCTCCAAAAACTATATATATTTGCATACAAATCTATAGTCTCTGTTTTGCAAGATGAGATAAGTGAGTCAAGTAAATTAATAAGGTTTTAAACACTATATAATTTATAAATCCACCTGCTCGTGTCGTAAAATTTTACCAACCTAAAACCGATTTTTAATTTAATGAGCTTCAAAAACTCATTCAAATTTGTCGTTATCCTTCCTCATGTCGTCATTATTAAAAGACAATATAAAATCTAGCAAAATCGACTAAAAATCAACTTTATTGTTTAAAAAAAAGAAGAAACATAACTTCTTCACATCTATACGTATACAATTCCAAGCGATAGATCTAAGAGAGCCAGAAGAATTTTACGAAGGCCTAAAACAATAAACTGTTGGGCTTAGGTGATCGAATAACGGGACTAACACATGAAGACTATTCATAAAATTAAGTTAAAATAAAGGCTAAAATGTCGTATGTAGAATGAGAGGTTTTATTCACTGATATATATATTTCACAGCATTTGGTCCACTTAGAGCTAATAACTAACAAGTTGTCGGTATTCCAAAGTCCAAAATATAAATTATACCTACCTGTAAAGCATTCTTGTTGTTCCAAACATGTTAAACGGTGTCTTGAAAATTATATAAATAGATCGATATATATATTGGTGGTAATAATTCCATGCAGTCAAATAGAAAAGTTATAAAGCATAAATTTATATTTTTGTTACAGTCTATGACTTTCCAAATGTTAATAAGTGAAAAAAAGGTTGTCAACGCAGCCTTAATCGAATTGCATTTGGTACCCCAAGTATGTCTTTTATTTATAAAATAGTCTAATTCTTATAGGTGTATATTGTCGTCAGTGTGTTTGTTATTTGTCTCTAATCATTATTTGATAGTGGTCAAACGGGTTTGAATAATTCAATTAGTTTTTTACTAATTCTATTTGTTCCAGTACCATAGCGACACACCTTAATATATTAAGAAGTATGTATTTACGTTTCGCAAGCAAAATATAACTATTATAACATATAACTTTAAATACCAAGGTTTAAGCAAAACTATTAAACCACAAATATACTTAAATGATTACTTTATTTAAATAAAACACTTTAACGGTTTAAAACGCGATATGTTAGTTAAACTTATTTGAAAATGATTTTTAATTTTGGCCCGACGTTTCGGATGCTCTGCAGCAGCCGTGGTCACGGGGAGACTGGGAGACGGGAAGTTTAACTAATATATCGCGTTTTAAACCGTTATAGTGTTTTATTTAAATGTGTACTACTCGCGTAAAGTATAGACAGTATATGATAACTTTATTCCATAGAAGTAAATACCGTTTTAATAATTGTTCTATAGTTATATGGATTAAATTCAAACAAATCTAATTTGGTTTCACTTCGTATAATGTAAATATTAGAAACTCAGTTATGTACAATTATTAAAAATTTAACAGCAATAATTACATATAATATAATTAAACAAATGTTACAAAAAAAAACCAAACCACATCCTTCCAAGGCTTTGTTCCACTAAACAAAACTATATGTAGATTACATAACATATATACTCTACATTGTAAATGACTAGCTTTATAAGAATGTAGATAATGCGTAAGACTTTTAATATTCATAAATGCAGATTAATTTGTTAATGCACTTATGTATTTTATTAAAGACAAGGTCGTTTTCTTTATTTAAAAGAACAGGAGGCTTGGAAGCATAGCTACGTTGTTATAATCCAAAAATCTTTACTACATAGTGCAGTAAATAGATTGCTGTAATCACTTAGATAGAGGAACCAAAGAGTTTTACACATACAGTTAAAAAAAATACAACACGGACTGGACTTGAACCGACGTCCATAGCGTTCCGTGCCGCCCTATCTATATTTCAATATTTCCTCTTTGATACCTTTACATAAAACGAGTGAAATCCCATTTCCCCCGGGCGCATGGAGCGAACATTGTTTCTCTGGACTTCGAACCCAGGATCTCTTGTGCTTAACGCAATGATAAGCATTTAAAAAAAATGGTTAAGATTACAATGATCAAAGTGATGGTATTATTATCACCCGTCACTCAAGTATGCACTATAAATGTGTAAGTGATATCTGTAGAGAACACACGTTCTGTGGCGTTGATGAAATACCCAAAGTCAGTAAGAGCAGAGAATTCTGATCAAGACTTCTGTGGTCTGCGGGAAACAATTTTATTCCATTTTGTTTGCCCTTATCGAGCCAGGCAAAGCGCTAGTAAGTTAAGCAGTCAGTATAGGCAGTATGAACCATACTCATATAAAACAAATTTCATATCACTATGAAAATCATTAGAAACTTCCCCCACAGACTATTCCGTCTTACACGCACTGTTACACCTTAATAAAAGTCTATAATAATTTCGTGCTCCATTTGAAACGAGGTTCCGTATATAATCGGCTTGGACCTTGGTATTTCTGATTTGTCATGTCGGACACCGCTCGGGATAACCAGCCCAGCGAAGCTGAAGCGAAACCAATTTGGCGACGAACGAAAATTTGATTAGAAGCGGCTACACTATAAATGCGAAACAGTTTTTAGGCAGCAAGCTGTTTTTTATAAAGGAAATAAACATTGCTTTAAACGATACACGGTTGAGTCAAGACCGTATGTGGGAAAGCATTCTGGATTATTACGGAGAAATGTCCAATAATAATACAAATACTCAGTTTTCTTAAACTATTTTTTTTGCAAACTATATTTTGTATAGCTACGTTAAGTTAAAATAAATAGCGATTAAAAATTAAGAAAAATACGACTCGGGCAGGACTTAAAACGGCATCCACAGAGGTCTGTGCTGTTGCTTAACACTACTGAGCTACCGAGTCTTGCCCGAGTCGAATTTAAAAAAATAATTATTATCGATTTTTAATTTATATAGTGCCATCATCTGCAATAATATGTGATAAATATTAAAATTATTTTAATCGTTTAATCACAAGTCTTTATTTCCTGTCACAAGTCTGTATTTTGTGTCTCTTTTAAATTCTGTATTACTTTCTTTTAATTTCTTATTTTTAAATACTTATCAAATCATAACTAAACAACATAGGTATTCCATGCTTCTTGTAGTTGCGTTTTTCATTCAGTTAATTTGCAGTTCAAAAACTTATTTTAAACATTTAATCATTTATTTCAAAATTAATAATCTATATGTATGTCAAAGCCATAAACAATTTATGTATTCTATTTTTAAATATACGATCGTGCACAGCGCAGTCAGGTCATTGCCAAACTAACGCAACGTCTCATATTTACCCAATCATAGACAATATTTTCTGCATGAGTAATTTGCATCTAAGAAACACTACACCGTGATTGATAACATTTTGTAAGACGGGCCATTATGTCGTTATTTTCAAGGGACAGGCGTAAATGACAAATTGACGATTGCTGAAATAGAAGGTATAATATATTGTAGGGATTCTATTATAGCCCTAAAACTATCGTATTGTATATCTGTGTGAAACTAGACAATTAGTTGTCATACATCAAACTACAGATAACAGTGTGTACATCATTCATGTGTCTGTCTAAATAGTCTGTAGTAATGTCCAAATACATTAAAAGTTGTATTTTTTACTAGCTTGTATAATTTTTTGGATAGGAACATAAAAATACATATGGTATATATATAACATAGATATATTAATAATTTGCTCTATAATAAGTCTTCTTTAAGTATTGTCTGTAGTTTACTCAAATAGTACACATTTAACGGTTTAAAACACGCAGCAAATAAGCTGCTGTAAATGATCTGAAATGTCAGAGAAAATTAATAACTTAACTAATATAGTTCGCGTTTGTAACTTTAAAGTGTTTTATTTAAATAACTTCTTTATAAAGAGTTAATGACTTTAAAATCTCAGCTATTAAAAATAAATTGTTATTGGTAAATTTCAAAGAAAAATTTGTAAGAAAATTGGAGGAGTTAATGTTTAAGACTTAACTTAAACTCAGCCGAATAAAGTGTCAGTGTAAAGGCTTCACAACGAAAAGTTTTTATGTCCCACCGACCTAACTTCAATCATTAAAAGTCCGGAAGTATTGACCGATCACAATAATTTAAATATATCAAGTAGGTTCAATGCCGCAAAACGACGACAGTCATCCGGCGAAGTTGACGTGGTACGCAAGGTCTAAGAAATGGAATGTTTACTCTGACGGTAAGGTCAAGTAGAATAAGCTGAGTTTTTAAACCTTTGTCAACCTTTAGTCAGACTATAGACAACCCTTAGTCACATCCATGATTTGTGTGTGAAATAAAACATACATAATTTAACCAGGTAAATATTTTAAGTTAAACTTTACAAAAATCTATGTAATAAAGACACACACAGGCACACACACATGTGTCCAAATTTTCGTAATCTATGCTCTTTGTAAACTATAAAAATAATTTGAATCTCGAACTCTTTTGCAATTATATACAAAAGTGCGTAGAATACGACTACACAATCTTAAGTCCAAGGTGTTATACCATTATATCGTCTTAGATAAGTTTTAGTGTAGAATCGTTTGACGTAGATATAACAAAAGGATCCAAAAAGAAAAAGGGGATTAAAATGTTACAGACTTTTATGATGTTGGTTATTAAAGAAAACATTTATGCTAATATTACTTTTTCATGCAAAGTCAAATAAACAAATTTATACCTCGTTGTTTTGTTTTGATAACAATTGATAATGTAATTAATTAAAGAGTAATCGAGATGATACAAACCAAAAGCAAAGGCTTCTATAGAGATGGATTATTAAATAAAAGGACAACATATGTAACATATACTAGTGACGTACTTTAAATGCACTGCAAAATATAGACGATGCGGTATTTACGAGGTCTGTGCATCATTGTGCATTCGCTATAAACGCTCTGAGGTCAATGACCCGGTGAGAAGTGACACACTGGAAGGTGTTACGAATCTCTAAGACTACCATGATCGGTAATACCTTTGTTAAATCCAGTGCCATGTGTGACTAAGTGCAGACACAGATCCGTGTTTACAGATCAGATTCATGAAAACTATATTTAATTGCTGGCCCAGGATTTAAACCTAGGATCTCTCGCAGTTGCAAGTAACACATCTTGCAAGAAAACTTTGTGCATCGTTACAAATAATGTATAATGCAAATGTACCTTTATCAATGCTAAAATGTATATTAAATGCTATTTAACATTAAGCGCGATGTTAACTAACGATAAACGGTGTAAATGGATTAAATAAATTCAGAACATCCATCCTAAAGGTTACAAAATAGTCTGCAATATTTGATGTTACAAAAGCCAGCCGTTTCGAGAATTCAAAATGAAAGATGAGGATAAAATTCAACATTCCTAACTTATATTATTTAAGATGTCACTGTTAAAGAATTCATAATTAATATTTAAGAATGAAAATATAATTGAAAATTACGCAAATAAGGTTACAATATTTCAAAGATATAACATTTACGAACAATAGCCCTAACTCACGATTTTAGTAGATATATATAAAGAAAAATCCATTCTATTTGAATTGTTTGTCTTTGAATGAAATTTTACGAATATAAAAAAACTGTATGTAATGAAGAAAAAAGGACTTGTAATTTATGCAAAAACCTTAATCGTTGTAATTTCCACCTAATTAAAATGTAACAAAGAGACCACACTAAAGCCTTAAAGTATACCTTCTGCGTAATCTTTAGTGCTTAGTTATTGATAAATATTTAATGTCTTATATTAAGTAATATAAATAATCAATATGAAATCAACTATAACCATTACATTAAAAGACACTCCTAGTAGATATATAAACGTCAAATTCAAGCATTCAAACTTCAAAACAATAAATTATTGAGGGTAGACACTCACTTTGTACACTAACATAAAAATAAAACACCAAAACCAAACACAATTAGGAAACAATTACTAAGGTTAACTTACAAGAAAACATCGGGTCGCCATTGCGTCCGCCTCGGCGAATGGTAGTCGAGTGGTGTGCTTGCGCACAGTACCACGCTTGTCACCACTTTGATAAATGTTACTAGATGTGGCATTATCCTTTTACTACAATTGACTCATACTCCTTTTCTACTCTGACCTTAACTTTTAATTATTAGTAACCGTAATTATGAGAATGGGAATTTAATCAATGAATGTGCAAGAAATAGATGGATTTATTTTGTCACGAAAACAAATTAGTAACCATTACCTCTCTAGTAATAGGTAACGTCTTTTTAATGTCAATTGTCAAACTTATAATAAAGATGGCGCCTTAATTATATTCTATTATTCGTTTACATATTCATATAGAAAACGTTTTAATATTAAATCTTAAGACAAGATTTAGTAACATTACAATATGTTTTTACTTAAGAGTAGTTTTGTTATAGATAAAAATTGATCGAAAAATGTATTAGGATTTCTTTAATAAAGAAATAATTACTTTTTAAACACTAAAGGTCTATGCAGTTTTATGATGTAAAAGCGTTTTATTTTAAACTTAATATACGATTATTGTTGATATAACCACAACAGACACACACAACACACAAATTTTTAAAATAAATAAACAGCCATGAAAGCCTTATCTAGAGAACTTAATTATATCTTCGTCGTTGTCCTTGCGAGCGAATGCAACGTGCTTTGTCCTAGTTAACTGATAAGCTTCTTAGGTACAATTACCCCCTTTTAGGCAAGTGACCACGAATGCTTGTGCCTGATATTGTCCGCTACAGACTGTGTGAGAACTTTGGTCATTGTTAGAGACTACATATGGAGGCCGGAGTCTTAATTCCATTGTTTAAATCGCGTTTGAAGATTTGGATTGTGTAGGAGTACATTATTTGGGAGTTGTTATCCATAATAGCTTATTGTTTTAAACGTATCTAGACTAATAATTTGAACACTTTTTTATAATATGTATACGATTTTCTACCGTTGCTAAATGAAGCTGCAATAAAAAAATTCAATATCTACGCTAAAGAGTTAAAACTCTAAACTATACAAAGATATTCAATTTTATTACCATTGTATAGTTTAGATTTTCCTCATATCTTTGCTCTAATTGGTACAATGGTAATCAGAATGATCACTACAGAAAACCTTATAAATAATAATGTAAAATGTGTATTTCTTATACCGCCATCTAGAGGTAACTTAACACATTTCTTATATGCTATTTTAGTTGTTTTGGATTATAGCTTATGTTGACATGTTGTAGACACAAGATGTCAGTTAAAGCAAAAGTTTTTATTTATAAACAAACGCACACTCTAAGATTTCTTAAAACGAATAATTAGATCTCACTTTAATCATGAGTGAGAGTATACAAACTATAAAAAGCTAATAAAGTTAAATGTTATCTCTGTATATATTAAATATGTTTGTTACTTGCTTTTAACTCGTCTCATTGCTCGATGCCTTTAGGCTTTACCCCAAGCTTAGATTTTAGAAGCACTTTATAATTTTTTGTTACAAATCTATGTAATGTGTCTTGAAGTTAATAGGACAGGTTGTTGGTTGTTTCGCAAAAGCAAGAATTTGAAAAGTATGTACGATCGATGCATTATCGAATGCTCGAATTGTTTAATATTATTTTTAATTATACCTACGTTTAAAAATCTTTATTTCACTTCAAAATTCAAAAATACCTAATCAAAATCACTACACAAACATCACCCTCTTTCGTGGTAGCAGTAAATTACAACATTAAAACGATTTATTTACATTTACATTTAATGTTACTTCAGGGTTAAGAAAGTTATCCATAATGATAATTGGGGTTAAACGATAACCAAGTTTTAATACCTAACTGCAGGTGGGGCTGATAACCTAAGGCGCACGAACTCTTACATTCGCATTCGGTCTAATTCCTTAAAAAACATTGTGGTTTATCATACAGTATTTATTATCTAGTAGGTTAAAAGTTACACATTAACACTTAAATGAACAAATATGTTATTTGTTTTCCCCGAAGTAATAAATATGGCCTATTTTATACAATCATGATAGTAATATTTTCATTATGCCTTTAGTTAAACAAAGTATGTATAATAATTAAATTAAACATTTTAATTAGGAGATGGTTAAATACTGTCTATAGTTTACGCGAGTAGTACACATTTAAATAAAACACTTTAACACTTTTTTTACCTTTTTTTACCGCGTTTTAAACCGTTAAAGTTTATATTTAAATAAGAGATGGTTTTTAGGTATGTCTTTAAGAAATATTGTCGTGTATTGAAGTGATGAAAAATTTAAATCTCATTTTAAAAACACGGGCTTCTTGTTTAAGGTAACGATGCAGCGCTTCCCCGAGCGGTCCAAAATGTTTCTATTTAATTTATAATTTTACACAAACATGTTGGACTTTGTCTGGAAATTGACGTCCCATCAAGTGAACCATATCTATGTTGTTTTATTTTAGTTTTTATTACCCACTTAAGTTGATTTGTAGATCTAGAATAACAAGAATTTATATTTGACATGTATATATAAATACTGTCTATAGTATAAAAAATAATGTATATATAATTAAAAAACGTTGACATAATTGTCTGTTTTTTTATGATAGAGAAGGACATCTATGCTGTCTAAAAGTTGAAATAGCACAGCCATATAACACTTAAACAATGTGAGATGTCTACCTATTTTACTGCAGACATTTGAACATCATATTTGACATTTAAAAATAGATTTTTAATTTTGTCCGGTCGTCGTTTGTGACCCGGACGATTTATTTAATATCCATATTAATTAGAGATGGTAGGATCTGGTCCAGACTAACATGTTTACGAAAACACATTTCAAATATTACACACAGAAACAAAATCTGGTATAAATCCCACCCGTTGGTAGTCATACATCCCTACTATTGGACATTTGAAAAAGAAACACCTTCGCCAGCAGTAAGGAAATGTAAAGCAATGCAAATGTTTAGATGGGAATTAACGCGTTTCCCGTTTATAGGCACTCGAAGAGAGCACAAATTCGAGACAATACGAGCGTCATTGTCAGCCGGCATCCTATACATAGCCAAAGCACTCCGCTTTGTTCCGTCGAAGATATCTCAAGAGGCTTGTACTTCCATCAAAGATAGTTGAGTTGGCAAGAATACGGCGACCTTGAACTGAAAATATAGCAAATACCAGCTAACCATATGGCGCTGTTTAGCTCTGTTTTAATTATGCAAAAAATGTGCTGTCTGTAGTTTACGCGAGTAGTACACATTTTTAATAAAACACTTTTAACGTGTTAAAACGCGAAATTTATTCCTTATATACTAATTATGAGCGGACGTTTCGAATGCTTCGCAGCAGCACACGGAGGGGACATAGTTCCTCGAAGAGCGCGTTACTCTGTCGATCCCAGTATTTAGTAGCGGGAACAGCATGGTTGGTCTAAGTCATAATATATTTGTCAAAGTCTTTTTTTAAAAATCTAAAATAAATTGAAAAAAAATTTTCGACTCGGGCAGGTCTTGAACCGGCATCGTCAGCGTTGCGTGCTGTTGCTCAACCAATTGGCCACCCAGTAACTCTAGAGTCGAAAATTTTTTCAATTTATTTTTGATTTTTAAATTATATACTGCCTTCATGTGAAAAATAATAAAGTTTTCACAGTCTTTATTGTCATTATGCTAAAATGGCGTTAAGTGGCAGTGTATTGAATTTGGCCCCTGGGAAAACAAAATAAGAGCAGGTCAGTCAGTAAAATAAGGGCGGGCAGGTTGTTTTGCATTCGACTAGTAACAGACATAAAAATGTGTCTTATAATGCTTCATGTGGAGGAAGCAGGAAATTTACAATAGATATAGTCTTCCCTTTAGATGAGTTCCATAATGTAAACACCGTAGTGGACTGACTGGTCTAATTGGACTAACAATTTTGTTTATAACGAACAATCTAGATTAGTTCGCTGATAAATAGTCATCAAACTAACTACTCAACGGTATTTGTACTCTGAAGTATTTGTATCTTAAGGCCTTAAATTGATGTCACTTATAATTGTTGTTCTCATATTTTGTTGTTTAAAGCAATTGAATGTTATGCGTAGTTGACCAGTATTTTTGGATTAATTAAAAAATGTTTACATTGTTGAACTAATCTCTGAGTTTCAGGTAATATAGTAATACTAGCTGCGTCAGCGACTTTGTCCCCTTAGAATGGTTATTTTAGACAATTAAATTTGTTTTTGCGAACCTCCTCTTCATCTTTATAGATTGAAACTGTTACCCAAAAAGAAATACATTTTTTAGATGTAAAAAGGAAATGGAAAAAGGAATCAGTCTTACATACCGATTTGGATATATTGAACTGATTTCACAGTGTAAGCAACGGTAACCCACAAGTATAAATTTAGATTATTTTTTTCACATTTTCCGCTTATTTGCTCCTATTAGTCGTAGCGCAATTATAGTGTTCCTCGATAAATGTTAAAGCATTCATCAAAAATCATCATAAAAAAAAAACATTCGCTCCAGTAGTTACTGGGATTAGCTCATTCGAACAAACTCTACAGATTTATATATTAGTGGAGATAGCAAGAAAAAATAATATAGATAATATAATACATTTACGTTAATTCATCATAATGTATTTTATAAATAATATGATACATATATGAATTATTTTGTTTTCATTTAATGTGAGACTAATAATTGAGGAAACTCCTTAAGGTCTTTCGAACAGCTAAGAATCCAATGGATATACGACACGTTTTAATCTGGTTTTATTTAATATGACGCATGACAAACATAAGTAGGTATGAGAGTTATGTTGGAAGATAAAATTGATCGGTCTTTTATTAAAAAAATCAGATTGATTTGTGAAGCTATCAATAGTTTGCAGTATTTTAAATAGATATGAACCGCAACTGAGTTGAGAACTTATTGTAAGTTGATAATACTTCTTGTTTATGTTGGAAAATGGATAGAAAACTTATTTAAGAGGATGGATAAAGTTTTATTACAAGCTCTGTCGGCTTCAGTTCCCCTCGATACTTTTTCATGAGCGCGTGCGTCTTTCATATTGAATGGCATTATTCTTACAATAAATTCCTTAATAGACTTATTTACTATTCCTGATATAATTGTGCTAGCAACTCTCTCAACTTGCAAGAGTTATACAAACAGAACACTGTTAACGATTTGAAACACGAAATGCATTTATTAACTGATTTAAAATGTATTTTAAATACGGTCCGAAGTTTCATAACGGCTTATTCATTTCGTGTTCTAAACCGTTGAAAGTGTTTTTTATTAATCTCTACTACTTGCATAAACTCAATTTTTGAACAAGGGCTGGGGAAACAATAAATACAACACTACTATCACAAACGTTATATTAAACCTAATAATATTTACAAGCTATTTACATTATTATTAACTCTCTTAAATATATTCAAACGGTATGTAGCACAGCCTCCTCACAACTAAAAGAGGAAGTTGGGGCAGGCAGAACACTAAGAATATCGCGAATGGGCTGAACAGAATGAATGATCCCAGCCACGCCATCAGGAACCACGTCGGAAGAAACGCCATTTGCTCCATGGTTATCTTTGTGACCCCGAAAAGCTCATTCTAGGTACCCTCTAACTTTGTATTACCTATAATATCTAGAACTTTCGATATAAGAACTATGTACTGCATTCGATACGCGTGCAATTATGAACGCCATCTGTAAAGAAAAACAATAATTAAACGCTTATTATAGAAGAATATTTATATAATAATTACATGTTGACGGAACGCTGACGATGCCGGTTCAAGTCCTGTCCGAGTCGAAATTTTTTTCAATTTATTTTCGATTTTTAAATTACATTAAAACCGGTAAAATAAACCCTATTAACGAAATACCACAGATATGATAAGTGCAATAAAACTCCATTTGGGATAATCTGTGCTTAATTGCTGAACAAAATAGGTGGGGAGAACCACCGTCCACAGACGAAGAATTAGTGAAGTGTAAATTCATGTTTCGGTTTCAGTCTGTGGAATTCCAAATGTCCAAAGCCAAAATAGATTACAACGCATCTGAATTAGATATTATAGGGCCGGGGTGTTTACCTGTGTAATACACAAGTAATACTTTGACTAAGTTACGATGACATTCTTTATAGCATAAAACTAAGTCGCTTTTTCTGTCTATATGTACGCTTAAATTTTTAATGATTGTTTTTGATAGAGTGATTCAAAAGGAAGGTTTTTATATGCAACGTTCACAGTTTTTCTTTAGTGTATTTAGTATCAGCATTGCACCCGAGCGAAGCCGGGGCGGGTCGCTAGTGTACGATATACATTACGATAACTGATAAGTAACAATTTCTTAAGTTTGTGCTACTTTTGTTTGCTGATTAAGCGGACTAGATAAACGAATAGATGGACTTTTAACACACTCAAGGCGCGGCAATTTAATTATTTAATTGGTATATGAGACAACTATTCGAAGAATAATTGTAGAAGAAACGTCATTGTAAAAACCAATAACCGTGAAAAAATATTCCAGAGTTTAAATAAAACACTAACGGTTTAAAACGCGATATATATTAGTTAAAATTATTTTGACTAATATTTGTAACTACTCGCGATGCTACAGACCGTATTTTGATATTCCGGCATACTTCCGAATTGTGTTTCAGCTTAAGCTGTGGTCAATGCAGCGTTTGTCGTCTCGTGGAAATATAAGTGTCTTCTTTAAAAGTGTACTATTCATGCGTTATCTACAGTACGAGTATATTGAGTTCTATAAGACAATTTAGATTTCTTTGTTTAAACGCGAAAATTTTGTGCCTTCTTATATTAAGAATAATTTTGTCTTAATGTAGCTAATATTAGGTACATTTGTCTGGAAATATATATGTTGTCGAATAAAAGACTTGGCGTGTAAAAAATTTGAAAATTTTTCATTAATATATTACTGTTTAGTGGTAGAGTTCATCCTGTAAGTCGCATTTAGGCTATACAAAACAGTCCACTAATGCTATATAACCTTTTTGTAGAAAGTTAGACTTACGAACGATGTGATGCGACCAACGTCGTGGTAAATTAATACACCTTAAATATTAAAAACTACCAGGACGAAGAGAAGGTCCTAAAGACAAATTTGGATGTCCAAAATTCTAATCCTACCGTTACGCTTTGGACTAACTATTTTGTAAATAACGCGGTTAGTTTGATATATGTATATTATGTTGGTGCAATAATTTTGACTATGACTAGTATTATCAAAGTAGCTACAGTGGAAAGGTTTTGAAATTCAATAATTATATAATAAATCTTGAAACGTAAGAATTGGATGTTTTCATTTCTCTGAGTTTTATAAAAGCCATATTGCCACTTTACAACTCGAACAAGCAGTCTGCGTGCAGTGTACAATTTCACCGATAAGAATTCTAATGTTCAACGTTTCTATCAGCTATACATTTTCAATGCGGTGTGGATTTAAGCCAAATTATCAAATCTATTTTTGACGTTTGGCATAAAAATCGCGACGTAGTTAATGTTACTTTTCAAAGTCATACTAAAACAGATGCAACTATCGCTACTACGATGACGCGATACGAAGCATTACAAAATGATTAATTTTATACATTCTTTACGAGGAAGCCATTTTTTTAATACTATCGAAACAGCAATAAAGTAGATTTGATACTAAAAAAGGTTTCAAAATAAACAAACTGATACATAATTTTCTATGTCGAGTTTTAACATAGAAAAAATATGTTTTTTGTTTTATTTATATGTGGAATAAATAAATACAAAATTTTTATAATATCTAAATGAAAAATTCGCGGTCATCGATGCTGCAAATCATACGAAACGTCGGGCCGTTGTTAAAATAAATTAAGAAATATAGTCCACATTATAAACAGTTAAAAGTGTTTTTCAATATTCGCGTGAACTGCATACAACGATAATTATCACTTAAAGAGGTAATTTCATCTAAAAGTCCCAAATACCGAACAAATATTGTGCCTAATACGGGACTTCGTCCTTGGACCTCGTGATCTGCAAGTCAAGTGTTCTAAGCAGTAGATAAACTATATCGAGGCAAACATATATGCATAAAGCACCCTAGGATACCATAGAGAATGTAATCTATCTATACTTAATATATAAAGCTGAAGAGTTTGTTGGTTGTGTTGGTTAGAACATTTATTGAGGAAGGCTATAGACTATAAAACGTCGCCCCGTGACTAATACAAGCGAAGATACAGCGAGAAATGTGATACCCAAAAATATCTATCTTTTAAAGTTAACTTGCATGATCAACGGGAATGAACGCGACCGACGTCGCGGATTAGCTTTGTTTATAACGATAAAAGGGTTTGGAAACAAGAATTTGGATGCCCAAAATAACGATTCTTGCGGACAAAGTCACTGACACAGCTAGTTACTTTATAACACAAAATCAATTATTTTCTCTAACGTACCTCATTTCGTTTAGTGTACACTATTCTGCAATAGTTTATACAAATACATGTAAAATTATTCTACTAATGTAGTTTTTCCATAACATGACAGAATTTGCAACACTAACGGGAGGTGATTAACATTTCGTCTAGGACTTTGGATATCAGATTGGTATAATGGCCATTCCATTAGGTTTATGTTAGTTAAATTATATGTTGAAACATTTATTCATTAAAGTGATATCCAACACATTTTATAGATAATTTAAAGTCAAGATTTTGACGATATTTCAAATTATGACAAATAAATATTCCAGCTTTATGTCTCAAAACTATATCATATAACATTTTAACGGTTTAAAACCCGATATATTAGTTAAACTTATTTGAAAATGATTTTTAACTTCGGCCCGACGTTTCGGTCCGAAGCGTCCGATTCGTTAAAGTGTTTTATTTTAATGTGTACTACTTGCGTAAACTATAGACAGTATTTATATCATATAAATACACGGAAAGACATAACTTTGCTTTAAAAAATAATACTCAGGATAACAAACTTTAGATAGTTGTTATCGATAACGACCAAGGTTTAAAAAATATATCTCTGACGTAATTATAAATATATGTACGCCTGCCATCAATTCCGCATTATTTGTATAAATACATGCCCCGACATATTTATTCTGCACGTGGGCGCGTGACGTTTTCATTTCCTTATGACCGACGCTTTATGATAACAAAAGATTGCCGAATGACAAAAGAACGCGATAATTCTAGTAAAAATCTGATAATATTACATTAAATACATGCTCTCATTAAATTTATGTATGTATAGTAGTGAAATCCCAAATCCCCCCATGGGGCATAGGGCAAACACATTTCTGTATCACATTTTACTGATCGGTTTCATTTACAGGCAAGTACCTAGTTGATTAGACTTCTGTGCCCTGTCCAAGCGAAACATTCTATTGTTTTCTTGTGATATTTTATAGAAAAGTATACATGATTAATTTAACATTGAAATACATAAGAAAACAAGTCTATAAAATCCGGATAGGTATATACAATCTAATGAAAAATAATAAAACAAATCAATAATTATAATTCGCCTTCAATCAACTAACAATTAAAAATGAACCGTATTTAGCGGAAAATAAGTCTAAATTCGATTCGCAGCGCGTGATATTTGAATTGTGTAGCGAGCCGTTTTATTATTCCGAAGACACCAGGATACGAAAATATGCTAACCTATGCAGGCTCGTTCGTTGATCATACATCCAGGGGTCACAGAACACGTGTTCAATTCGAACTATCACTGTCACTTTCAGGTACAACTAAGTTATTTTAGCGTGGTCCAAATGCGAACTGCGACGTAAAGAGCTGGGCATAGCGCGAACGCAACCTAAGGTTTCGACATCAAGAAACGAGGGACTGGCGGTGATCAGTGTGTCTCCTTTCCACATGCGCTGCTGCCTATATGTGAGGGAGAGGTGCCTGCACCAATTGCATTTTAGCCACTACTGGTTGACCTTCTTGCAGCACCATTACTTACTGTTAAGCTCGTCTTTTGCAATCGGCCCCTTGAGCCATATTTGAGTTTATTATTTTTTGTATGTAAACAACAAACATTTACAATGATGATCAATTCCATTCTTTAAACGTTACACAATATTGAAACACGCTCAATATTTCAGTTTTTAAAAATTCATAAACGCGTACCTCGTGAAAGACATCTCTTGTTTCTTAAGCCGATTAAAAACTCATTAGCGAATTTTAATGAGACAAAAATGCTATAATACAAATAGAATGGAGGTTAGTAAGTTACATTTTGTAACGTGTAACATAATTACCATGCTTTGTAGGCAGTTGTTAGATCATTGTTCTGTAACATGTTACCAAATTTGTGTCTACCTCCACGTTTCACAAGACATTGTTAATTCTTATCATTGTTTTATCGGGAATTTGGAACTAATACAGATGTTAAAGAGTCCAATTTCGAATAGTCTAACATTACTTAAGTATTAATTTTGATAAAATTGTAATTGGAATCGTTTATCTAGCAATACAGAAAAAACGATGACGTCACATTAGCTGGCTTGATTGTAAGTAGTGTAACGATAGCAATGTAATGACGTCACTGAGAATCTAGCCAATTGATTGTTTTTACGGATTCAGAAAAAAATCGATTGACGGAAGATGTAACGTTCAATGCTGATGTTATGTAGACCTGTTTTTCTTGTGGTTATTCTAATTTTTTAATTGAACAATATACACATAGTGATTATAAAGACATAATTTTTGTAATTCTTTACATCCTTTGTATGTTATATTGTATATGACGCGACCAGATTGATAACACAATTACGTAAGTAAATAATGCATTCTTATTGTTCATCGATAAACAATATCAACGCCTGGATACAAGATACTGCAGGGTAGCAAAGTTGAATATACTCTTTGTTGTTTTTTGATAAAGAATCGAGATTTGGGAACTATTGTTTCTTTAAATTACATAATGATACGTTGGTAATTATAACTATTTTTTGTAGACTTCTTAAGAAAGACTTGTAAACAAGACATTCATAATAGGAAAAACATTTAATTAAATGTAATTCAGTACTAGCTGTAGTTTACGCGAGTAGAACAAAAATAAATCATTTTTTGTGGCCTAAATTTCAAAATGATTTAGTTTACCTATTTATCATTTATTTTAACTACGGTCCTACCTTTCGGGCGCTTTATAGTAGTCAAAGTTTTTGTCTAAAGTTTATATTTAAATACATGTAATTACTTCTATACTGCCTATCTCATAGTCTACGTCATGTTATGGTATTCTTGTGATATTTTAGAAAGGTCTGTAGCATAACCAGTTATTTGCTATTGATCAGATTACCTTGAAATGGTTTATAACTACTAAGTTACTTTGTTAGGATTTCGATTTAAAACAAAAACCTTGAAGAATAATAATTCGTCGAATTTAAAAGATCATATTTATCTATCCAGATCTCAAAGCGCCATCGAGTTACAAAGGATATTAAAAAAAATGCGGTTTAAGATAACATCCTAACGTAGGTAGGTATAATATTACGATTACATAACAAATTATTATTATATCAATACGTAACTTTAATTAATGTTTACGAAACTTTGGTAAGTATGACAACATTTACATTACAGATAACAAAACTGATTGATATCAACACCGATGGTTCTATTTCACTACCAATGGCTCTATTTAAACAATCCTTAGTTATCTTGCCATTAAAAACGAAGGTTAAAGGTGTCACAATAATTTATTATACACAAGGTTACCACTGAGGTTAGGCCGTAGAACATTAAGTTACACTAACATACAGATAATGATAAAAAAAAATTGTACTCACATCATCCACAGATAATCTTCTGTTTTCGTTGCCTGTTTCTGTATTGGCGGAAATTGGGCACCTAAAATTAGAACTACAGATTAAAAAATATACTAATAATATAAACCAAAATATATATATATAAAAAAAAGAGTTTGAAGTTGGTTTTTTCCCCAGTATGCTTGCTAGGAAATTATTTGTATTACTTCGTATCAAAATATATAAAATTCTGTCTTCGAAAACTATACCTTTACACGCAAATTATAAAGCTTAAACTCATTTAAAAGTTTACAGTCTAATTACCTACTTTTGACAGAAAGCAAACGTAACCACGCGTTATAGTTAAAAATCAAGTTTGTTCACCTTTTTTATAACTTGATTTTTAAAATGTTAATGCAGTGTTTAAAACTGAGTTTGATTTTTAATGCATCTATTGTACGCAAATTGAATTTATGTATAATGTCAAATTTATTACAATTTTAAATAGGTATTACGCGTTTTTTTTAAAATACATGCTTGAGTTTAGTATTAAAACTAAATAATTTTACAATTAAATCAATGGTAATGTCAACTCACCTGATTCACTTGAAGTGTTTGAACAATTAGAAGTTATACTGTTCTCACTGTTCGTTCTTTGCCTTGAATTAAATAGTATATTCCAAGGAGAGTTATTTACTGTCCTATTTTCGGCTTTAACTTCAATTGTTTTCTTCGATGACTCCATGGCTGTATTCGAAGAATAATGATTTTAATTTGAAATGATGAATTTAGTGAACACAAGTATTATTTAGAAGCGTTGAATGATAAAAAGTGTATGCACGGCCACCAGCCGGCGAAGCGAGCCAGCAAACATTGTTTTGATACGATAGTCGACGAAGTTTGACGGACATACACGAAGTTGTGTTTACTAACAATGGACTTTGTACTGTGGGGTGGAGACATGCAGTTTAACAGGTACTAGTGTCTAGGATTCGGCTGTGGGAAGTTTGGAATGTTATTTTACATAGTCCCGTTCTTATTATATGCGATGGCGGTTTTTAATGTTCCAAAACTTTGTGACTGCGTTTTTCTAAGGGATTACGTGGAAAAATAAACAATAACTAAAATTATTATAGGTACCTAAAACATAATTTAAATTCTACATGGGCAAACTTCTCACAAGGACTCGATTGAAGCAGAGTTCGTGTCACGAACATACATGTCAGATATCAAATAGAAGTATTCATTAAAAATCACTTAAACGGTTTGAACGCATAAAATATTAGTTAACTTATTTAAAAATTATTTTAACCACGGTCCGAGGTTTCCGACGCTACGCCAGCGCCATCTGTTCCGTCGTAGTTACGTGGTTCGCCAAATACCAACAACAACGAAACAGATGGCGCTAGCGAAGCAGTTTTTATTGTGACATTAGAGGCACCCTCCATGTTTAGTCTCCCCGTGACCATGGCTGTTGCAAAAATTATCAAATTTGTTTAAATAATATATTTCGTGTTTTAAACTGTTAAAGTGATTTATTTAAATGGATATAGGTGGATGTTTTTAATAAAAATGGAGCATAAATTATAGAAAAATTTATAGACGCGTCAACCCACTGACAAACAATTAAAAGTCAAATTTCGTTATACCTATACATTTATTGTAAAAAATAAATTTTACCTTGTTAATACAAAAACATAGTCGAAGTGAGAAACATGAAGATTCCATACGTTGTATCAACTAATACACGCTGGGCATACAACACTGCGCCCTTGATGCATGCCTCTTTAGGCGAAACTGGTCGAAAACTAGTGCCCGAAGATTTCGAATGGGATGACGATTATACACCGGCGCCTCTCACCCTCTATGCAGCATTAGCTCTGTCCAGGATCTTCCATAGAATAAATCCACTCCATAAGATTCTTCAAAAGGACGTAGATATACTTATGGATTTGTTTCCAGCTACTATACCTCTGAAGTTCAGTGTCCGCTTTATAAAGGTACTCTCTTCTCTTTTCTTTTTTTCTTCGTTAAATTCCATTCCACCAGTGGTGTAGACGTCATGCAAATCGCATGATATTTTTATATCCATATAGTCAAAAAAGGCCTGACACGCTGCAATTATCTGGTTTCCCTAGGATGAACAATACTGGAAACGATCGTTTTACACAAAATTCCCTGAACGTCAAGAGCTCGCTGTAAGTTTCTGGAAAGGAAAATTCCTGTCAGCCTGTCTTCAGGATTATCTTGAAAATATAAAGCCTGATATTTTCATAGAAGACGATGCAGTTGAACTTGCTTCTCTGGTAATTATCACTGAGAAATAAAATTTATTATTGTAAAACAATAGTTAAGAATTGTATCTTTTAGGTAAGCCCGTACATTTACGAATTGAGCTTGAATCAACTGCAAATGATCCGGCAGCCGAAGCCGCCACTACCATCAGACGCTGTCGAAGATACTTGTGAATATAGTGTAGCAAAACTGTACGACCACATACCCCTGGAACCAATTCTCATGAAACTATATAATCTTCAAGAGATATCACTGGTATTTGGTGTGAACAATCTAGCAGAAGAGTATAAACCGAGATACTTTGAGTTTTCTTTAACTGATTGCGAGTCCCTCTGCCGAGGTCTGGAGTATTTGGCAAATCTGAAAATATTCCGCATCAATCGTAGTAACTTGGATTGTTCGAAAGTTAAGCTTATTTTACAAAATCTAGTCAAAAAGGACTGTATAGAAGAGTTAGACTTCAATCACTGTAAAATTGGTGATTATGGTATGAAGGCTTTAGGTGGTTTCATATATCTACACAAGAATGTGAAAAGAGTGAGGATCGCAAACAATAGGTTCAAAGAAGTTGGTGTTCAGGGAATCGCTTATGCTTTGCAAATGCATCCCGCTGCACCAATAGAGCTGTTAGGTAATTATTTAGTTTCTTATATTTCATCAGCGTGAACAGCACAGCTGGGTCTTGGTTTCTTCGACAGTATATAAGCCTTAATCTACTTTGCTGGCCCTATGCCTGTTACCGTATGACACATATAGACGAATGGATTATTATAAACCATGCCAATTTGGTAACGATGTTTTTCTTCAATGGGACGAACGTGCATAATACAATAATATATATTCTGCCCTCACAAACGGTGTCCTTCTGCACATCTCTAGACTAATATGATTTTTGGTATTGTTATTTAGATAATATTATTTCGCGTATCATTTCTCTTTAATTCACTATTTAATCTAGTAAAGTGAGATTTTTCAAAGACTTCAGCTTAAACCCAATGTCGTTGGAGTGCGCTACAATATTTGCGGCGGCGTTTGTAAGGTGTAAAGAGAAACCCCAGACGCTTATTGTCAATTCTTGTGGATTCTCAGGAGCGTCTGCTGAAAAGGTTTTAAATCCTCTTTATTTACAATAAGTTTGTGTTGCCAGACGTAAGATAAGAGTCTATTCTCTTCGGATCAAACGTGAGCGAAAGCTCGTAGCGATATCTCAAAATTACATCATTTCAGATATAAATAATCTTTTCGCGGCGATAAAAATATTCTCAATAGTTCTATCACATTCAAATATCATTGAGCAGATTCATAAATAAAATATATAAGATAAACGAAATGATGATAATAAAAATAATAACGTCCTGTTATCATAGCGATAACGTCGTAGTAATATAATCCCTAATTATTCTACATATATTCCAGTGCTAGATTTTATATACGGGCAGAGAAATCACCGTTTTTGCCCTGCCCGACCGGAGCGATTTATCACGTTCTATCGAGACCTGAATCTAGGACTTACATAAAACGCATCGCGTCCAACTTTTAACGGCTTTTATAAATGGCATCATGTTCGTATTTTTAGATGGCTGGACTGTTAAGCCTGAACCGAGGTCTCACCAGATTAGACATGGCCGCTAACAATTTATCTGGAGAAGCTGAAACAACACTCATACGGGCACTTGAACAAAACAAGAAAGTCCTAAAAGTAGATTTGAGGAGAACACGTAAGTTGATTAAACTTTTAAGAGGGAAAAATTACACTTCAAGCGCCCTCAAAAGTTCGTAATTGAGAGCTATCCCAAACGTTTTATGGTAATGGAATATTGAGATATTTTTTCCAGATCCCCGAATATCGCAGATGGTTGAAAACTTCGTTCGATTTCAAATCTGAAGCTTTCCAATTTGTTTTCAGATATATCTGATGAGACACAAAAGAAGGTCGATGAACTGCTGGAGCGCAATAGGAGTCTGCTGGGTCAGGAAACTGAAGCCAGCGATGAAATACCACCACTGTACCTCAATGAACCTGAATATTTAATATGGGAGTACAATCCTAATAATCCAGATTACATCCCGGGAAGATATCCAACGAGGGTCCCTGAGATATAATTTTAAACAATTTTTTCCTAACATTTAGTAACAGTTTTTTTTTTTTTTTTGACTGAAAAAAAATGTGTTGAGAATTTTTGCGTTTATATTTGTAAAGTAGACAGTTAGTACAATTAATAAACGCCAAAATACAGTAACTAAACAACAAAGAACTTTTTTTTTATGTATTACATAATAAATATATCACTTATAATGGGTTATTATTTTACTCTATCTACGTATAGTATATAGTCGCTCACCAAATTTTTGTCTACTAAAGGATTTAGTTATTGTGTTGATTTTATTTTTAAAATATAATTAGAGATAGTATATCAGTAATGGTATGGTGTTATTTTATCTATAAGTAGTTTAGCTATAGTATTTTAGTGTTAATTTCAGTTTAAATTTTCTTGTTATTGTATAATTTTATTTTTTCATGTTGAATTTGTTGTTTAGTAAAATTATCTTTTCTTTATTATTATTATTATAAATAAAACCTCTAGTTCGGCATACATACAGAAAAACATTAGTTGTTTGGAATAAGGATTGATAATATTCCAGAACCAAAAAAGAAAAATCATGCTTCATATAAATAAATCATACCAGGGTAATATAGACGTGGTAGGTATAATTTTTAAAATTTTATTCAGCTTGACCCGTACGGAATTTATTTATTTGGTTAAAAATTAGACATTAAAATTTAAACACCTTCCCGTTCTCAGATTGATCTGAAATTTGGTACACACATTTAATTTAGATAGACAATACAATATAATAAAATCAAAAACATTATAAATTCAAGATGGCCACCGATACAAAATGGCGGATTACAGATTTTTCCTTAAGCCCCTCAATATGGGTATCAAATGAAAGGGCTTTACTAGTAACTAAAACTGTTGTAAAACTGTTTACCTTATAAGTTTTTTTAAGTTGACACTTGTAATACAAGTATGATCAGACGAATAACATTCCCACAATATTGCAAAACGTCCATATTAATGTAGATTATTTCCGCTCAAGTCACTTTGAGACGATGATAAATTAACAGCTTCTAGTTTAGAGGTTTTCACTATAATTGTAACAAATGTTGCGTTTAGAATCATTTATCACTATAACGTTTCTACTTTAACTTTGTAATTAATATTTAAAGACAAACGATTTCAATTAATTCGCTAGTTCGGTATTATGCGTTACTAGTTGTGCCCGCGACGACGTAATATTTTGGTCATCATAATTTGTTTTTGAAAACCTCCTTCTAATTTTTAAAAATTATAGCCGTTACCTGGGACACGGATGACGTTGTGATCTCGACGTCATCCGTGTCCCATCGTTCCTATTAGATTTTTTTTTAAATAGACATAATATACTATTGCGAACATTTCTTCAGATCATTTAGAGTAGAATTATTCTTTCATATATATTTTTTTGGTATTTGAAACTATTTTCGCAACGCGCTCAACGGAAGCCCTTAAAGATGAAAAAAAAATCCCCGTTCTTTTCCACATTACCCACTGTTTCTTCGTTCCTATCAGTTGTGCTTGATGGTACAGCCTTCCTTGATAAATGCTCTAACTACCAACATTTCAATTCGAACAAGTAATTCCTGAGATTAGTGCGTTGAAACAGACAAACTAACAAACTCTTCAGCTTTATAATATTAGTATACATGTAAGTACAGTACTACAGACTTACAGAATACTAAATTGAAGCACTTATGACCGTACAAATTGTTCGAGCGTGGCGTCCTATGAAAACAGATAAACTTTGTTTTTAAAATTACTTCCGCATAAACAATACGCCTGTTTCTTTTAAATAGCAAAAGTTTTCTACGATGATGCGTTTTATTCAAAGTTTCAACTTTGGTGAATCTATATATATAATATACTTATTTGAAAATGATTTTTTCGGCCCGACGTTTCGGATGCTTTGCAGCAGCCGTGGTCACGTGGAGACTTTCTCCCCGTGACTGAATCTTCGCCGTGAATATATCGCGTTTTAAACCGTTAAAGTGTTTTATATAAAGTATAAAGATGTTTGTAAAATAATTTTCCATTAATGATCCACCTCTTGATTTCCATGTGACTCCGTTAAAGATAAGGTTGCGAGAAACACGCAGTATTCGAATGAATAATTCACAAACATGTCCACGGGCTGAGTTTCGTTTTCGAATACATTTTAATACATTCCGTATAATATCACGGCCTCCGAAATTCCAATACGCTCTTACAATAAATATTATATACGGTTCCAATAATTATTTGTGCCAGAATACAAATATTGAGGTTTTCTGAACTCCGAGCATGGTTTGATATTTAATAGAAGGCAGTAACAATAATTTCGTATAATTTGGAGGGCCTTAGATAAGCGCGGAATGGGGTTACATTCGTCAGAGGCAAGATAAGGGGCCACATTATTGCGATGTAAACGATTCAATAGATTGCCACTATCACTGGAAGTACAACCAATTTGTATGGACCGTAAAGATCTAATAGAAATCAGGAACGATTGTTTAAGAACCGTTTTATCAATGCGAAAGTGAGGCAATATATGGCGAAGAATATGTTGAAGAAATATATAGCTATAGCGTTCATTTCAGATTTTAATTAATTAAGTAAACAATTTAAATTGACGGTAGTAATGAAATTCTGTCTAGATTACAAACGAACGTCCACAGATTAAAAAACCGTAAAGGCTTGAGTCTGTGGATTTACGAATCCAAGCTAATAAAGTTAACACATCTAGTTTAGATGTTAAATGACTGGGTTATTTTTACCATCAAGTGTGCTCTATGTTCGTCTGACCTGCTCTAATATAAAAAACATTAAAAAATTTGTAGGTACAGTAGATTTCCGATAGAGACCAAATTATTTTTTCCTTACATATTGTTTTCAATGGTAATAATTTTGTAGGTGCTTAGTTTATAGAGGGGATAAAAATAAATAGGCAGAAATATATTTTTTATAATTTATAAAGAAGGGATTTCAAATTTGTATGAATCAAAATGAAAAATGGAGACATTTTCGGAGAATTTTTAGAGCTAAAAACAACGTCTTAACTAACTCTTAATAATTAAATTTATTTATTGAAAATTATTTTAAGTAACACTGTTGTTAAATACTGTCTATAGTTAAGGCGAATAGTATACATTTAAATAAAACACTTTAAAGGTTTAAAACGCAATATATATAAGTTAAAATGTTTTTTTTACTTCGGCCCGACGTTTCGGTTGTCTCCCCGTGACCACGGCTGCTGCAAAGCATCCAAAACGTCGCGCCGAAGTTAATAATAATTTTCTAATAAATTTAACTAATATATCGCGTTTTAAACCGTTAAAGTGTTTTATTTAAACACTGGTGTTATTGTAGAAAAAACAGATTTTGAAAAATACCTACTAGATTTTGCATTTAAAATATCGTTCCATAACAGTAGAGTAAAGAATGTTTTTTAAGATAACCCGAGAAAACTTAAGTGTAAATAAAATCGTGTTTTATATTTCAAAGCAAACTTTCATCCAAGCTTAGAAGAGAATGTTAAAGAAAAAATTGCATCGCTGCTTTAAAATTGTCTGATCCAAATATTTATAAAATTATACGTTCATATGAATAATATTTGACCTTATAAATATAATTAAATAATAAGCATAACTCAGCATTTAAATAAAGCACTATTAACGGTTCAATACACGAAATGTATTAGTTAATTTATTTAAACTCCGTTCCGACGTTTCGGATGTTTTAAAGCAACCGTGGTCACTGGGGACCACAGTAATAAATGTAGGTATAGTCTGTGTAATCCCTTCGTAGGCCATGGTGCAGGTATTAAGATTAAAAAAGTGAATAACACGGGCGGAACTTGAACCATCATCCATTTGTTTGAAGAAGTTTGATGATGATGATCACGTTAGCTCAGTTGGTTAGAGCAGCAGCTTTCGTCACTGTGAATGTCAGTTCAAGTCTCGCCCGTTTCATCGAATTTATTCAATGTTATTTTATATTTAAAATGGACACGTTTTTGTCACAATTGATCAAAATTCACTGGGTCGAAACTATTATTTGTACTGGACTTGAACCCTGGAACCCGACGTGCTTAACTATAAAAATTGGCCGTTATTATTTTTATACGTTGTAATATTTGTAGTTGCAAGACGCCTATTTACTTTTTATCTCAACTGTAACGTCAATAAGTCTGCCGCACATAGATGTAAATGTTTTATTTTAGCGAGACACGCGTTTGTAATCCCTACAGTAATAAATGCGATGCAACTATGTACTTAATATCTTCGCTTATGTTTAGTGGAGCGGTAAATGTGCTCGCTTCCACTTGAAAAATGTTACTCTGTCGAGTGTTCGCTCGAATCGCGAGGAATTCACGGCGATATAAATATGACGAACGTGTTGATACTGAGCTGAAAATGAAAATTATGCACGACGAATACGTTATGGGGACCTATATAAAGACACTGGGAGCCGGTACCTTAAAAAAGAGTCCAAACTGTCTTATTTCCTCTTAATAGTGCGTCGATGCATTTTTTTTTATGGATACATATATCCACCTTATATCCGTCATTGGCGTCCCATCGTTACATATACTGTCGTGGACATTTTTAAAAGTCATTTATTAAGGAATCATTCTTTGATACATATTTTTTGAATCTTTTCCGCAGAGCACGCAACTGAAACATGAATATATCGGACATTTTTTCCACATTTTCCACTATTTTTTCGATGCCTTCCTCGATGAATGCTCTAACGAACCCAAAAGTAATTTTTCAATTCAAACCAATAGTTCCTGAGATTAGCTCGTTCAAACAAAGAAACTCTTCAGCTTTATATATTAGTATAGATAAGGCCGCCTTTACTCTTACTTTTTTATGTAAATTAGGAATTTATTATATTTTTATTTCTTTGTGCAATATAGTGTTTTATTATTATAACTCTTTAATTGAAATCCCGTTTCCCCCTCGTGGGGCACATTTTTGTGTTCGCGTCACTGATCCGTTTCTCGATCCGAATTATAACTCT